GTGTGGTATATGGGTGTGGGCGGATAGACAAGAGAGACCAGACAGACGGGCGAAGATCGAAGGGCGCGGCGGCGGCAGCAGCAGCAGCAGCAGCAGCGGCAGCAGCAGCAAGCATAGCAACTTAGCAAGGACTTGCCTAGCCGTACCCAGCCACAGCTGTTCCGCTACCCGCGCCACATTTAGGCGCCATCATTAGTCCCTATTTAGGTTTAGTCTCTGACCAGACGGTGTGGGCACGTGCCATCCTCCCGGTCCGCGCGGTGTGCCAGACTGCCAGTCACGGTTTGGCGGACCCCAAAAAGCGGGCTTTGCAAACCCACCCCTCAAAAATCAACAACAAACCCGCCTTTTGGCTTCTTCAGACTGCCATCTTTTCCCCCTGCCAATCCACCCAATCTGCCCCGAAAAGGCTTGCATGATCTCGTAGATGTCGCAACATGAATGATGCGGATGGGTTGAGCGTGTTTTCGACGGGATTTTGCCAAATTTTCCGAGACCTGTCGCCGGCCCCTTCGGACACGTAGAGAGGAGGAACTGAGAAAGAGAAGAGCTCACAGATCAGGAACGAGCTTTTGCTTTCCTCCCAGGCCCGCAAAGCTTATCGCTTTTTGACTCTTCCCCGCCTGTTCGCCTTCGCCTAATTGCCGCCGGGTCCCTCGCTTGATATCATGTGACTGCTGAGTCAGCCAACTCGGCTGGGGCTGGGGAGACTTGGGACTAGTCCCATTCGGAACATCATCCTCATTTGCAGTCAATCAAGTTATCATCAGACAGCTGAGCGCACGCACTCCCCAAGCTGCAAGCTGGCAACTCTATCTTGCAAGTTACATTCAGAAATTCGAAGGTTGTCTCTTTCAATTCGATCTTCTCCCTCCCTCTTTCACTATCTTCCAGAATCCTGTAAAAGAAAAATGTCCATCAATTCTCTCCTAGCCGGCGCTCTTCGCGGCGCAGTACGAGGCGCTACCATCGCCTCCGGCACCCAAAGAACCTTTACCACTACCCGCACCAGATTGAATGCACCGAATGATTCATCGTCTAGTGCCTACCGAGACGGCGTAAGCGACCACTGAAGCTAACCATCTTCCTCTCTTCATCCACACTTCTTTCTCCCAGGCGTTGCTTACAGAATGGTAGATGACCCGGTACAAACTCTTCATCAGCCCCTTTGCCAAGGTCTTCCTGGGCGCCGTCTTCACCTTCCAGGTTCTTCATTGGACGTGGTTGAAGCTTGAGATGGATGAATCCAAGTATGAGAAGAATAGTAAGTTCGAACCCTGGCTCCGCCGTGATATTATTGTATCCTTGTTTGATTACGTTCTATACGGGTCGACCTTGATATTCTGACTAGCGATAGAGGAAGTCACTGCTCTTGAGGAAAAGGCTCGGGAATTGACAGGCACGCAGAGAAAGATGTAAATGCTTGCATGCCTGAGTATTCGGGTCTTGACTGGATCTTACTGGAATAGTTAATGGCGTCGTGTTCCTTGCTATCGATTGTACTCTATCCGCCTGCATCTGCCATTGTATATACCCCATGCATCAATGTCGCTTACATGGAAATGGTTGAAAACAAAGAGAAAGGTTGTCTAGTACTCGTATGTCTGCATCCCTTGATTGTATAGGGGTAATTGAGGTCAAAAAGTACACGTTTATCGTATAGAATGCTGCACATAGTTTGGAAAAGAGAAAAGAAAACCGCAGGCATTTATACATCACATCACATAGCACATAACTCGCCTGGTATCGGGGTAAATATCATCTTTCGCTCATATGAGTTCAACTTCAGTTGGCGCATAGCATTTCAATCAGCTCACACGCCTATCGCACAGAACTTGCGAACGTCAACACTGCATATCTCCACTTCCTGGATAAAACACCGCAGTGACTGACTTTGCACCATATCATCCAGCTTGTCAAAGGATATGCTGTGGTTGAGTCTGTGAGTCGATGCTATAGCTACCCAAATATCCATTGATATATGGTGGCTCCGGATTCGCACATTCGGTCCTGAGAGCCTCACATGGGCCGACATTTGAGGCGGAATAGAGGACCGAGTATTTCCTCTTCTTCGTGTTTCTGGGACGGCACGAAAGGCGTGTTTGTGATGACGTGGACGGCAGGGAGCCCCTCGACTCTGTAGGTCGTTTTCGGGCAGGTTCATCATCATCATCCAGCAGCATTTGATCGTGGTAGGAAGATATGTTTTCGCCCTCCTCCAATTGTCCATCGCTATGTGCACAGTCGCCTCCGCTGTGCTCATCTATGGTCAGCTCGCTTTCGCACCCAGCATCAGCCGACATGGATTCATCTCCTCCGTGTAGTTTCCGATTTCCGGTAAGCTGGTCAGATGAAGACACCCAGTCTTCGATGCGCTCGCCTTTCTTGTAATGTTCTGTATCAATGTGGTCGAAGCGCTCATTCCATGCCTCGAGTTCATGGCCCAAGGGGAGGTCTTTCCGACAGAAGCCACACCAGAATGACGCCCGCCCGTCCCGGGAGATGCGACTATCGGAAAGAACCGCTCGGACCTCATCTTCCGCATCTATCTCATGTTGTTTCTTGAGGTGCTGGACGTAAGTCTGCTGGCGGTAGAACAAACGGGCGCAAGGTAGGTCCTCTTTGGTAGCGTCCGGTAGTGTACAGCGCCAGCTTTTCGAATGAAAGTGCTGTGAGTTCTCATGTCTTTTCCAGTCCTCTTTGCTTCCAAAAGTCTTATTACAGTGCGAGGAAGTACAACTGTATGGACGTTCATGACGCTTCTGGTGTTTTCTGGTATCGCAAGGTTAGCTGTCGGTCCACGTCCACATTCACAGAGCCTTGAACATACTTCATCTCACAACGCAATCGCGTCTTCTTGCTGCAAAAGTCACACTGAATCCATTTTCTTTGATCGGGATGCATGGCGGAACTCCCCTCCTGAAGTTGGCGACTAAAAGGATATGGCTCCGAGCTTTGGTTTAGCATGCCCAAGGCTGTCGTCAGAATCGTTTGCAAGATCTCCCGCTTCAGCTTGGCCAACTCGGCCTCCTGCTCCGCAGCACTTTCTGCGTCTTTAGATTGCTGCCCTTGCCGCTGCTGCGTGAGATTCATGGATTTTGTCATGGTAGTAATCAAGTTCATGGCTGCTTCAGCTACCATGTCTTCCCTCTTGCCACCTCGAGAGATGTCCGACCGAGCCGCAAAAGTCGTTCGCGGACTTAGTGACCCGTCAAAGCTGAGAGAGTCCAGTGGTGGTAGTTCGACAGCCTGTGGACTTGAATGCGCAGGTTTAGAGGTGGCACGGCTGAGACTTGGACGGGCTTGCTCGTCCCTGACTGAGCCGGGGGTTATCGTTTCCAGTTCCGCCCGAGCCCTTGCGTATGGGAGAGAAGGTGGCACTTGAGGATTCTCGGATCTGTCCCGTGACTCGTCAATTATGTCCTGTATCTGTGGACTACTGGCTTCCGAAAGATGATCCATCAACGACGATGCCATCACTTGCGGCTTAAGGCAGTCTTCGTACCACTCCTGGGATCTTCACAGGGGGTTAGCATCGTCGGATATCATTCGCTTCGACACATCGGCACGAGACTCACTTTCTCAGCAGTTCCTCAGCATCTTCATCATTGTGCATCCGAGTAAGGTGCTGGCGGAAGTTATCCAACCGAGGCCATCTTTTATTCTTGCGAGGACACTTGACTCCGAAGCACATATACACCACTTTGGGCCCGCGTTCTGGTTCTTGCTTATGGACGCACTTCTTATGACGTGCCAGATCATTGATCGTCCCGAAGCCATCCTTTCGAGTGCAACCTGGCTCATCGCATTTGAACAGCTTTCTGTGTCGGGCTTCGTGCTTGCTGGAGGCTGTTAGCTAGCCAGAAACACGTGCATGGAGTCGGTCAATGGGTCTTACCGCTTATCAGACGGACATTTCCCAGTCCACTGGCAGTCAGAGTAATCACACTTGATTGTGTCGGGACCCAGGAGAGATGGAGACTGCATTCGCTCCAATACATCCATTGGATCTCCATAGGAAGCAGTGTTCAGGTCTAAAACTGATAACTGTTCATCCTGTTCTAATTCGAATGGTGCGGAGTAGGGGCTGCAAGCTGGGTCGAGTGCGTAAGATGCGGCCACCGAGCGAGTGGTGCAACTTTGCGTGCTATACCCTGACTCCGATGGATGCAGACTAGCATATTGGCTGTCGGTCTCAGATGGCGTGCTGTAGTGGCCTGTAGAGAGTCTGCGATCGAGGCCAGACCATTGTTGACTTGGCCCCATCGGGGGACACATGAGAGAGCCGGCATGGGTTGGTAGGCCGGTCACCTGAAGCGGCGTCCAAACATCTTGATCTGCTGCGAATCGGGCCAGTGGGTACTGCGAAGAGTCGAAGCTCGGGGCCGGGTCATGATATGGAAAGTGCCGGCCGAGGATTGATGTCAGATGGGGTGGAGGAACTGCGGAGTGAGAGCCAAATTGGAACCCCATCGATGACGCTGAGCTATCGAGGCGTATTGCTGGCGGGGTCAGCCCGTCGGATGAGGTATGTTTATGTGATGATGTTGGCGTTGCTCGTGAGCCATTGATGCCCCGAAGAATATCATTGGATTCTTCCCAGAGGGTATTGTTTCTGGAGGCCTATGGAGAGGTTCTTTAGTCTGCAAATCCTTCTATAGCGCTATCTGTTTCAAGCAAGACAGGGCGAACACAAGCATACCCTCATTGCGCTGACTCTGGAAAGCCGAGGCTCTGTCGTGGTCGGTCTGAGGTACAGGAGAATAGCGCAGCGCAGAGGATAGACCAAGCTACTAGGATAAAAGTGGGCGGGTAGGTTATATAGACGGGAGAAAACAGGATTTCTTCGCGACGAAGCTTGTGGGCTTCTTGTTAGGGACAAGTAGAGCAGCGCAAGAACATTTGCCGCCTGTCTCTTTCTTGTCTACTCTCAGCAGGAGTAATGCGTGAGCTTCGTGCTAGTTGCCGGTGCTTGAAACGAAGTGCAATCTGGGCAAGCCGGGCCCGAGCTTGAGGCATCAACAGAAGCTGAAGGAGAGGCGTTGCGTTTTGAACAAGCGGCGCGGGGATCTGCCTGGGAAGATTAGGACTTGCGCCAGGAGAAGGAAAGATTTGCAAAGTCCAAAGGAATTATCCTTGCGAGACAGGAAGTCGGGATGGTAAAACTAAATAGAAACTGAGGGGGTGCAAATGATGAGTAGAAAAGCAGAGGATTATTGTAAGGTGACTGGAATCACCACCACCCTGGATAGTGATGAAACAAATCTCTCAGCAGGACCTAATGAGACAGGAAGGGATGCGGGAATGAGATGGAAGGCTGCAAGAGAATTGGAGAAAGTCAAAAGAAAAACAAAAAGAAACGAGAAGGGGGGAGAAACAAGAAAAGAAAAAGCAATGAGGGAGATCAAGAGATTTTCAGTTCATCGCATCGTCAACCCCACGCGCGATAACGTGTTCAGCGAGTCTTGGGGGAGATGCCGTATGGGGTTGGCATGTCTTCTCTCCGTACGGATAGTCAAGTCAGTAAGCTGCAGGTCAAGCATCCAAATATTCTCTAAGCCTGTCAGACCTGTTGGCCTGTGCTGGTCCAGATCGTCGCTTGCGGACCGAATGAAATGAGCATTAATTCAGTCATTCATTCATTCATTCATTCATTCATTCATTCATTCATTCATTCATTCATTCATTCATTCATTGAGGGGCGGACTCTCTCCGTCGACCGGCATCAGACCTGTCAGAGACCATCTTCCCGATTGAGTATCAGGGCATGTTACGGAGTAGCTCTGAGCTGAGATGCATGCATGTCTGGCGAGAGGGTGGGTGCCAGTACGACGAATGAAGCCAGAGCAGATGAAGAATCTTTCCTCGTAGGCACAAATCATTATCCCATAGTCGCTCTCTTTCTCGCTCTTGGTTGGCGTGGTTGGGTCTTCGGTTCTGGATTGCGTAGACATGAGGTCGATAAATCCCGCGTTGGCTTTTTTTTTTTGTTTCCTTTCTTTTCTTTTTGTTAAAGGAAAAAAAATTGGTTGAAAATTATTATTTTTCTCATAGTTTTGCTTTTTGCCCATGAGGTTCGACAAAAGTACCGAATTATGCAAGTGCCTATACCTAGCTAGTCGTCCTCTCATGCCCCAGAAACAATGACTAGTAAGTTAGCCATCAAGAAGAGTCTCAATCACAAAACCAAACCCCGGCGCCGTCGAGATGATCTCCAGACCTCATTCGGATTAGGGTTAGCTCTCAGCTCCTGCAGGAATGATCGCCCAATAAACATTATTAGATGGCATAGGGAGGGTCGGATTGGAAGGCAGCACCTGTTCACGCCTCGCCAGCGATTGTTTTTTTTTCTGGTTCATAGTGGTCGGTATACTCCGACAGGGAGGGGAAGGGGGGTCGATTAAGCGAGAAAAGGAAGCATGCTATCTTGATATCAGCCCGGCCGGATAGGTCGGCTTTCATGCCTCTGCCTCTCAGCAGGCTATGAAGCACAACAGGAATAGAGGCCGAAGTATGTAAGGGATCATCACGCGGATGGACGCGGGGATGGGGGATGAGCGGGCCATGCCGACAGATGAACCATTCATTCTCTCATACCCCGGCAATTGACCTGGATTGGGACTAGAGGTGGCTGTGCCTGTAAGGGAGACAAGAGTAAACGAGAACGAGAGACAGAGAGAGACAGAGAGAGACAGAGAGAGAGACAGACAGAGATCGCCTTCGGTCTGACAGGCTCATCTCATCTCCCAAGCACTCACTGCATTCTACCACGCGACACCGTAAGAAGACCGAACACAGGACGACTAGCAGCAAGCCCAGCTATCTTATGATCCTATCATTTATCATCCTATGATCTCCATCTTAGATGGGCGATCGCCAACCACTCGGCCCGGGCCTATCTGTCTCTAAGGACGAACTAGTCTACTGCGTTTGTTAACCTCTTCAGCTCCTAGCTCGCGATCTGTACCGTATCTTGTAGACTACTAGTAACTGCGTGTGGTGTGGGGGGATTACTTCATTTCGCAACTCAGTGTTGTTGCTGTTGCTGCTACTCCTTGCAAATTCATTTTCTGATATGAGATTCGGAAGCCAACAAGTAAACTTCTGGATACTAATAAACATTACCGCAAATGGCTGCTGGGCTTTACCACTGCATCACTGCACCCATCGCCGCTCTCGTATGGCACATTCCATACTCCATAGACAACTCGGTACTGTATGTACACGAGTCCACAACATGACGGCATCGGTCGGTGTTAATGGCCTAAATTGTCAATTTCAGGCGAGTGTTCGGCGGCTGTCGTGCAACCAACCTATGGTTGAATGGTGGAATGGATGTGACCAAATTTTGAACTGGACGAGCTGAAACTGGTCAGCAAGGTTACTTACTAGGTACTTACTACGTACTATCTAGGGTTTATCTTTCTCTGGCCTGAGAGGGGCGCATCTGCCAAGCTTGGTGGAGCAGATCGGTGATTCAAGTTTCAACGCACTTACACATGCAAGTCCTTTTATTTATTTTTACCCCCCTTCTCCTCTTCCCCCTGGTCCAGCCCGACGTTGACAGGTCGGTGGGACAGCCCGTTCTTGCTTTTGGGTGAGGGGGTTTACGGAGCACGGAGGTAAGGCGGTTTACCGTAGTTAGTCACTTAGTGTAGGTACGGAGTAAGTTGACAGTAACTACGGAGTACTAAGTTTGTAGTTACTGTACAGGTACAGTACTGTAGTCACTGCACTCTGTAGATCTCCCTCTCTTTCCTCCACTTACTTACCTCCAGCCCTTCCTCTCCTCTGCTCCCATCCCCCCACAACCCAACGCCCTCTCCCTGCCTTTCCTCTCCCTCCCTCCATCCCTTCCCCCTTTTCTTTGAGCCGAGTAGCCCGCTGCAGTGTGCCGTGAAGTCGGCTTGCGACGTGCATCTCCTTCTCCCTCCCCCTCCCCCCCCCCGGCCCCATTGAAAAAAACAAAAATCCGTCCAATCACAGCAATGTGACCAATTGACAATTTAGGGCCATACATGCAGCTCACATACCAAATGCCAAGCGCCCCTGTTCGATTGAGACTGCCACTGCTAGATAAGGAGGTGCACCCATGGTCCTGCCCATAACTAAATGGCGCGTCACATAGCCATTGTTGACATTTAACGTTTACGGCTGCTGTCGGGTTGATCCGCAACTCAACAACAAAGGGAGGAAGGAAGGGGTGTCTCAGACTTTTCTGACTCACTCCAGTGAGGCCTGACCATAACTTGGACGAAAAGACGAAATCCAGGTTTTCTGTGTCATGCCATGACGGCAATGCTTCATACAAGGTATCTTGATCAAAGGATTAACATTCGAGGTAGAACAAGAACTGTACAGTACAAACAGCCAACATGACGACCAGAACGTGGGGGTATCTCAACGGTTTCCACCGACCAAAGGACCACAAAATTCAAAGCGAAAAATATTTGTTATGCTCACCATGGACAACAGTGCTGCGGGCCCCAGGCTCTTCGCTCACCAGCTCTCATCTCCAAGTGGTCCGGTAGAGAGCAGCTTATGTGGATCGATGCAAGACTCTTGAGGTCTCGATTCGCTTACCATCAGCCTTGCTCGCCGTAAACTCCAGCGACAGAAGGAATCGTCCGAGTCATATATTTGGGGAAGCCAAAACGATCCTCCGCAGACGATGACAGGCTTGTTAGGTTCTGCGCATTGAAGGTGGGTTGCATTTCCGTGGGCGACATGCTTATTCCGTACGAATCTTGCAGCACATTCATTTCAGGATTGACCACCCGAACTCGAGGGCCAGCGTTGAATGGGGGTGGATACGTAACCGAAGTCTGGTGCGTGGCCACGAACTGGAACCGATCTGCAGGCTCCCCTGGCAGACTGGAAAGGTAACCTGAGGTCGAAATGTCATGATACGCGTCCATCGTCTCAGGCTCCGCAGAAAAGCCGCCCGACATGGTTGTCGGTTGGGGGAAGCATGTAGGAGTCAAAGCCACCATGGGCTCTCCAGAGCTCTGCCGGTCGGCATTATCGCTAACATGTGGTGCCTGTGTGAGGCTCAATGTCCCATCTGAGACAGTAGTATCCATACCATTTGACTGCGGGAGGGAGCAGACTGGCTCGTTCGTAATCGGCATCGAGCCGGGACCATGAGTATTTGGCACGCTGTAGGCACTAGCACCGCCATTCAGTGACAATTCCCGTTCGTTTACAAGCCCCAGAACAGGCATCGCGATTTGCTCCATATGTTTAGCCAAATGCACCGTAAGCTTTTTCCAGCTGCTACAGACATTCCCACAGAAACGGCATGGTTCATCTTTGGGGCCTCGGGGGGTATCATGTCGGCATCTTTCCACAAGTTCCCAAAGCTGCTCGACCCCTTGTTCGCGACTGGCGTGCTCTCGCATGTCCATCGCAATGCTTACCGAGTCATTTCCTTTTTTACCGGGTCCTGGGTTCTTTGCTTTTTTCATCTTCGGCTCCGGCATCTTGTGCTCTCGAACGAGATGCTGCACAAAATTATCTTTCCGATAGCACGTATGATGACAATCCGGAAATGTACACGTCCACCACTCTAATTTGCGATGTCGCTCGCTCTCGTGTCGAACCCAATCTGCCTTTCGTTTAAAAGACTTCGGCTCGGTGCAATGGGGAAAGGTGCAGGTAAATGGCTGGACATCTTCGTGGACATGCTTGGTCCAATCAGATGGCTTCTGGAACTTCTTTACCCGAAAGCAAATCGGACACTCAAATTCGGCTGGCAACCGTTGAACTGGCGGCAAAGGCACACCTGAAGGGAACTGTCCCGCAACCACTGTGGTTTCTCCCACTCTCTGAGCATCGTCACCAGCCTCGTTACAACTCAAATTATCGAAGGGCGTGTGTAATGTGTCCGGGACGTGGGGATTCCCACGAGGCGCGAGAAGCTTGGCTTCACCACCTTGTGCAAAGCAGAATAAGCCGGATGTGCAATTCTGTGCCTCCAGATCTCGAAGATGTTTTTGTTTGCTGTCAACTAGCTTGCGGTATCGGCGAAGCTGCTCCTGAGCGAAGCGTTCGACTAACTCCGAAGGTAGCCGGGGATTCAACGCGGTGATTTGGGATCTGAAACCATCAAGCGTTGGTACTGGTAGGCGTGACTGTACCGGAAACTGCATCACTAGACCCTTTTCGGTTGGCAAGTCATCATCTTCATCGTCAGCGTCGCCAGTGGCATGGCCTCCTTGAGGTGCCCCTTGCAGGTGGACACCGCTGTCGACCACTCGAGGGGAGTATGCGAGGTTAGGAACAGGGGGCCCGCCATGACTCGTCATCAAATCGATCAATCCGGGTGACGACGCTCTTGGCAGCTCGCTTTTGCTTCGCCCCCGTCCTTTGAAAACCGGCCATGGGCTCAGCGTCGAATTTGGTGACGCAGCGCGCAGCGAATCCTTGCCTCCAATGGCAGCCATCTGGCCAGCAATCGCAATAACAGCACTGCTGGTGCTGAGGCTGGGAGACCTAGACCGAGCAAGGCTTAATTTACGATTAGGGAAAATGTCTTTTCTCATAGAAGGGTCTGTCAATCCATCGACCTTGCCAGCAGTATCGGCGCTCGGAGGAATGATGGATAAATCCGACAGTCGTCTCTTGAGGTGGTGAGAGGGATTGCGCGGTAGATACTTGCGGAGGCTGCTTCTTCTTTCATGCTTCCTAGCCTTATTATCACTGATAGTCAGATTCTCGAAGGAGCCGCCGGTGCCTATGATACTGTTGACCTCGACATCTTTCAAGTATCGCGTGCCCCATGTAGCCGCACGAGATGCACTGTCAAGATCTCTTGCTCGTCGTTGATATTCCATCATCGCTGCGCTGGAGCTTAACGGCTGCACCCTAGTTGGGCGAGGAGCTGGATCATAATCAATATCCTGCCACGGCGGTGCCTTCAAGAACTGATGAGGCGATGGGTCATCGTCTTCAAGTCTGTTCTGCTCGGTGCTAGGGACACCCTCTAGGCCTTCACCGGTCCACTCTCTCTCATTTGCATCGGCTGCAGGCGAGTCAGATCGTCTTTCGTCACCAGATCGATACTCACTAAGCTCCTCATCACTGCTTTCGTGGAGGAGAAGACCAGGTCCAGGAACAACCGGCTCTAGGAACTGGGATTTCAGGTTGAAGTAATCCTGCTGAAGAGAAGGATCACCGGCACTTTTCGCCCTGCGCCGAGCGCCAACATGCCGCTTCCGAACGCGGCCAAGGAGAATTTCCTCCTCTGCATCGCTATTTGCAGCACTGACGGAAGCCGACCATGACTGGATATCAGCATTCTTCTCTTCCAGTCGTCTCCAGGCTTCCAGTTCGTTTGGACTGGATATGTAAACATCCGCTCGAGATGGCGGTTCGACACCAGCCTGGCCCGTGTCAGTGTTCGGAACCCAGGAGCCGTCGTGTGTCCGAGATATCGGCGTATGGCCCGGGCTGAGGCCTTCGTTGCTAATCTCAAACTCTTCGAGCTCCGAGTCCGTGGTCATTCCGTTGGGTGCCAAGTGCGTGGACGACAAGCCCCGCCATCGCTCAGTCGGAGAAGCATCCCTGACTGGTGAATCTCCTCGGGAATAACTCTCGATCTTGACAATAGGGCTTCGTGCTCGGGCTGAGTCAGGTCCCACCTGTACACTCAAATTGTCACTTGGTGCGTTGGTGTTCAGCGAAAGAGGCTGTGGAGTGCGCGCCTCAATTTGATCGCCGGCTGTTTCTGAGGAAATGTTTGGGGTTCTCATGGCCATTGTTTGTGACGGCTCTGCTGCGCTTTGCGGAGCCGCAGCATGTAACACAGGTTCATGGCCCGGTATAATCCGTTCCACCCTGTTGCCATGTTGCCAGACACCAAGGCCCGATTTCCCGTCCACAGTCAGACTGCTAGACATGAGATCTACGCTAGGGGATGTGTGCGCACTCAAATCGCTGGAAAAGTCGTCTGTTGGGCTCAGAAAGTCCGAGTAAGATGCCTCCGGGCCTTCGTTGATAATCTCAGGATCTTCAGTACAAGACTGTGCTAGCAGAGGCGAGGCAGAAAGTGCGGTGCCATGATCGTTCTCGTTGACCGGCGTTAGTCTTATAGCGGACGACTTGAAGGAGGCTTCATCAGGGTCCACAGGAGCTGAGAGATAGGGATCGGAAAAATTGACATCATGGAAACTCATTCCAGTGGGCGAGTCATCCTGAACAAGCTGAGGTGATAATGTAGACATGTTGGCGGTCATGATTGCCAAGGCAGACGAGTGTTTAATCGAGGAATCTTGATCCGCTGGGACGGGTGCTGATATCCGTTTCTTGGAATGGACGGACAAGACTTTCTGAAGGAGGGGGATTGAAGTAGCGTTGTCCCTGCTCTTCTGAAACTAGCATAAAATCAGAGAAATCGTACTGGACAGAGAGAGTCGGGTCGGATTGTCTTCGATGGCATATCTATAGAACCATGACCCGGGCGGTGAGACTGCTAGAATGGAGTTAAGGAAGTTGTCGCAGGACAGTCTCCGTCCAGAAAACGCCACGAGAAAACCCCCGGGAAGGACCGAATCTAGCTGGAAGAAAATCAGCTTATGCTGTTGCTATCCGTGTGCCGATGAGTAGCGAGCTAGCAGCAGAAAGTAGGAAGGCGTCAGGAAGGCGGGCAGGAATCAGGATTCAATGGGCCAGCGATAATAATGGAATGGCGTGCGATCGGAGATCTGAAGCTCACCAAAGAACAAAGATGGCGAAAGAGAGGATGGAGAAAAAATTACAATTAGGAGGAAGTCAAGTGTGTAGGCAGATGTGTCAGAGATATAGAATAGATAGGATGCTTCAAAAGACCCGAATGAAAAAGAGAGAAGGGGGTGGGGGGGGAAGGAAGTGGGAAGAAGGATAATATTGTATGGCGCTAATAAGGCCGAGTGACAAGCGGCTCTTTGCGAGGCGGGCGGACGAGCCACCAGAAAAAAAGAACCTCGACAGAAAAACAGCAACTGAGACTCGAGAAATAAAAGAAGGCGCAGTACTGAGGAGTCTGAGCAGAGTGAGGGAAATGCCGTAAAGGCTAACGGGGGTGGATGGGGTAAGTAAACATGTTAAAGAGAAAAGAGAGTTGATGTCACGATCCTGCCGGGAAAGTAACAGTAGGATCCGTAGGAGATCAGAAGGGAAAATGTGCCTTGCACTCTGACTGAGCCACAATTCACTTCAAGGTGGAACACGTAAGAAAAGGGAAAAGGGGGATTTTGTAAGCCTCAAGGAGATATTAACCTATCCATAGTCTAGTCTAGTCAAGATAGCCAAGAAGACAGTTGGTTAAGTCGAGTACTAATTCACTTACCACCTAACTAGTACCTGGTACAGTAAGTACCATTGGAGCCAGTCAGCGAGAAGATTGGGCGAGGTTAGTATCTTATGTACATACTTTCATAGTAATTGAAATTATAACAACATGACTAATTCTTCATCTGGTCAAATCCTAACTATTCAACCACCTTGTGTCCTACTTCTTCCCTTCTTCGATACTAGTCGGGGTTTGTTTCAAACCAATCTTTGAGATGAACCGTGGTTAGAGCGTGGGGGCACTCGGGGGGGGGGGGGGGGGGGGGAAGGGAAATTCCAGGGCTTGTCTTCGGCCCCACTTGAAGAGGGTCCGTGGATTCTTCAGTCATCGCAAGGTTTTACAATATGAGTTGAGTACTCATTGTTATTTCATACGAGTGTGTATATACTACGTAGTAGTAGTAGGTTAGATAGCGTCAACTTCAAAGTACTGACAGCCTAGTTGAGCCACTATTCCAGTACATACTGTACTATGACGGTTAAGTTACTATCTTTGACTTCTTCCTTAACCATCATCAAAATTATCATTCTGATAGTACGTAGTGGACTCGGACCGACTCAGCCTCCTTCCAAGCCCCATTCCTCAGCCCTGTCAATCCTTCCCTTCCCCCCAACCATTTACAGGAGGGGCTGCACAGAAGACCACATCAGTTATGGCCAACCAGGTACTCAGGACACTGACTCTTACATTGTAATACTTTGCTTTAGTCTTGCCTTGCCTAGTATATCGTTTTCCCTGTTTACCAAGTCATTGGGCTAATTTCATTCATCTTCACGGCAGCGCCCGGATTCGTGGGTCCAATTGACATCATGTCTGTGGCTGTGCTTACAACACGATATCATTCCTCAAACCGGAGGCATAGGAAAATACATAGAAACATCCATCGACAGACCTTTGCCAGCCATCTCACGCAAAGAGCAGCCAAAACAAATTAAACGTACAAGAAACACAGGTGGAGGTGTTGACGTCTCTTGGAGACTCACCAGGGCAATGGATGGTACATGCCGTATCAGATCGACGGACAATCGCTTAACTCGCTCAATTGAAACAAGAGATTTCAATAAGAAACAACCACAACAACACGAGATACCAACACCAGTGAAAACAGAATGATTACAGAGACAGGGAAAGAATAAAAGCTTGCGCTTCACAGCGTGGAAATGATAGAGAGAATACATTGATGAGAAATGAGGTCAACGTAAAGTGAAAAAATCCTCCCTAATCGAGGAGCATCGTGAGGAGACATTGGTGTAAAGAAAGGAAACCCAGATCCTGTCAAATGAATGTAAGCGGAAGCTTAAAGGACTTCCGTAAGCTGCAGCACCATGCCTAATGATAACAAGCACAAGTATGCGGTGTAAAAGGATAGAAGAGTACACCCACGGAGAAGAATAGAAGTAGAAAGCAAGTCCAAGGGCGTCAATAATCGAACAAATATATTAGTTGTAACTCACCCCCCCCCCCCTCCGGCCCTCTGATGGCGTCCTGCGATCCGCGTGTTCATACTGTAATGTCCACGGGTGTGCCATTCATTTCATCCCTGCTTCCCTTGCTCTTTTTGGATGAAGGGACATCCCCATCACGGTGGATCGATTCACGCGAGCCACGGCGGGAAGATTCATCCCCACTAGCCAAGGCGTCCGTGGACTTCTTTGCCAGCTCTTGCAGCCGGGCCATTACCACGGGAGAATCGGAGTAGAGGACGCAACCCTGCGAGTAGGTGCAAGGTTGAGACTTCTCCTCTTCTCCGATAAAGTCCTCATGAGCTGCTTCGCGAGTGATTCGGGGAAAGGTTCTGAGGATGACATGACGTGTTGGGTCCTCCTTGGAGCTAAGAGTACCTTCCTTGGGAGTCCCATATTCCGCCCAATCGTCGTTGGGGACGATATCGGCGTCCGGCGCTGGCAGTGAAGCCAAAATGAGCTCTCGCTCAACCCGAGCCAGTCGCCAAGTTTCGGCTGCTAACTTAACGATCTTCCTTACGCCAACTAGAAGCGCGTCCAAATTCCGGGGGTCTGCAAAGTGCTTAAGCTGATCAATGATCTCATCAACAATGACCGCAGCAACCACATTGATTGATTGCTTGGCATCCGATGTAGTGTAAGCTGCCTTCAGTGTCTGCTGTCTCCAGAACGCTTCGCGTCGCACGGATTTGCGTCGGATGTCCATCGAAAGCATCTGGAAGAAAGTGTCCGCCTTATCGTACCGTCGGCCAAGGGTAAAGAGGAAAGGGTGGAAGATCCGATAAGTCAATGTCTTAGACACGACATGTTGGACATAAGCGGAGCGTAGTTCACGCGAGGCCGGAGTGTTATCAAGGAACGATGGCAGCTCAGGTGGAAGCTTGGAGAGGATGTCCTTGGGAGGATCAATTGGGAGGTACGAGAAGTGCTCCTTAGACAGGGAGACAATAAGACGAGAGAGTTGGCCGAAGCAGTCCAAACTAGAAGTCGGAATATTTATCAGAGCACGTACATTTATAGCGTTACCAACATGTCATCATCATCATAATCAGTCTATAGAGAAAACAGACAACATAGGAAAGGAGAAAACAAATGATTGTGGGTCGATCTGATTCATGCAAGAAGGAAAGGGAGGCGAACGAGAGATTCAGACGTATCATCAAGTCAAATGCAAGTATCGGGGAGTTCGAGTCCCATAAGAAATGAGAAGTGACACAGGAAAACACATTCTCTGAACGAAAGTCGGGTACTAAAACATATTCTCAATGCACTAGGTCACTTACAAGAAAGAATCACCCTTCGTGCTCTTGAGGTCAGTTGCTTCTCCAAGGCTGTGTAGGGTCTTTCTCAACCTATCGCAATCTTTGTCCAAGTTGTCGATTGTGAGGCGCATATTCTCCACCGCGTGTTGAAGCTGCTTCTCCTTGACAGCAACATCCTCCTCGAGTTTCTTGTTCTCACGCTCGAGGTTCTCGATGGTCTCGGTCTTCTCTGCGACTTGCTGCTCGAGAGAAGACTTCTCGTCCGCCCATTGCTGCTGCTGATCGGCAAAGTCCTTCTTCATCTCAGCCACTTCTTCTGCATGAGTGTTGTTAAGAGACTCGACTTCGCTAGCGTGCGCTTGGTGGGCTGCATCCAGCTCCTGAGCATGTCTTTCACAGGTGTCCTCCAATTCCTTCTGTTTGTCGGCAAGCTCGGTGGTCCTCGTCTCCAGCTCCTCTTTGGCGGAGGCCAGCTCAGTCACCTTGGAGTCGAAGTCGGCCTGCAGGGTGTCATGTGCTTCCTGCATCTGCTTCTTCTGGTTCTCGTATTCATTCTTCATCGCATCTTGCTGGTCAAGTAATTCTCGCTCGCGTGCTGCCAGGGCTTCTGCTGCTGCTTTCTCATCCTCCGCCTTAATCTCTTCGAAAAGCTCGGTCAACTCTTGCTTCTGGGTTGCAAGAGCCTCCGCCTTTTCCTCTTTGGCTTTGTCCATGTCTCGCTCATAGGTCTCGTACGCCTCTTTCAGGCTGCTGTCGAGCGACTCAACCTTATCCTCAAGCTCGGCCTTGGATTGGGTGAGCTCCTTGTTGGAATTTTCAAACTCAAGCAATTTCTCTTCAAGATCCTTCTGCTTCTCATCAAGGTTGCCCAGCTCCATCCGCAGCTCGTTGATCGTGTTCTTGAGCCTGGTGGATTCCTCGGCACTCTCGTTCGCAGTTTTCCGCATCTGATTCTGGAGTGCCTCGATGTAGAAATCCTTGTGCATCAAAGCCTGCTCATGCTGACTCTCCATCTGCTTGAACTCAGCCTCCCGTGCCTGCAGCTTGCCCTTGGTATTCTTGTAGCTCGAGAGCAGTCGGCCGATGTCAGGAATAGCGTCCTGAATTCTTTGAAGGAGCTCGATAGGCTCCTCATGTTCAGGAGGAGATATTGTGCCTCCCTTCCCATTGAGGCCATGTCCATTGGCAAAGCCCAGGTCGCGCAACATCTGGAAGGATGCTGCTGAGCCTGGATCTATGGAGCCTCGAGGTGTGGGGTGGACGTTAGGAGATGGCTGATAGTAGGCATACTGGGGCAAGTACCCATTGGCGCTCATCATAGGCGAATGATAGGATGGAGGATAGGGTGGCATGGCCTGCAAGGGCACTCTTTGCCCCATTGGCGGCGGGGCCGACTGAGGAGACATTACGGGCGACATGTGCCCCCGTGCTAGTGGACTGCTGACTTTCGGAACTGGAGACGCTGGTTTGGCGACAGGAGAAATGTGTTTCTGGACAGGAGAGATTGTTTTCGCCACAGGAGAGGCGGTTCTCTGATCTGGGGACGTCGGTTGCGCCATGGGTGAGGTTGGCTGAAATACTGGGGACTCAGCTGGCGGTGTAGGAAAAGCATCATGCTGCGCCAGAACAGCAGGCTCCTCTTCTGGCATCATAGTTTCAGCCATCAGTGAGGTATACTGTTGTTCAGGCGGAGCCGATTGCGGGACGGGCGAAAGAGCACGTGGTGTCGCAGCAGCACTCTGCGGAGCAGGCAAAACGGATTTGAAGGATGGAGATGCAGCGGGAGGAATCGGTGAAGCTGCTTGAGGAATAGGAGACGCAGGCTTAGAAGTGGGTGGAGTTGTTTGCTTGGGGAGCGAATCGGATTCAGGAATGGGCTGAGCGAGCTCTGCTTCGGAAAAGGCCTCAGACATGACAGGGTTGTGCAAATCGCCAGCAGAATCCGCGGCGTCAGCGTAGGCAGGAGCTGCCACGAACTGATCCTCCGTTTGCGCAGGAGACTCCAAGGGCTCTGCAGATGTTGGGACGAACGTGGGCTCAAGCGGTGTTTGTGGTGCTGTCACTGGGTTCTCCTCCGTGGGCGCTGCAGTGCCACTGGGCTCAACCAGAAATTGATTGTCCTCCTGAGTCCCTTCGGCCTCTATCACGGGGGTTTCCGGCGAGCCTATTGCCTCCCAGGCTGGCTCTTGTGGTTGTTCGGGGCTGTTCTGTACATCGTTCACGTCTGGCTCTTGGCTAGGAGCAAGCTCCGAAATGGCTGGCTGAGCAGACCAGCCCTCGTCACTCACCGGGGGCTGAGCTTGAGCCTCGGTTTCAGGAATAGTCGAGTGTTGCTCGACAACAGCTGGTGGTTGCTCCAGTTCCGATTCTTGGGGTGGCACCGACTCTGACTCCAATGTAGGTTCTGCTGTTGTTTCAGAAATGGTTTCTGCCGCTGCTGGTTGCGATTCGATAGCAGCTTCGACTTGCGGTTGTTCTTGCTCGTACTGCTGCTGCCCTTGTTGTTGTTCTGGCTGTGTGTCGTGCTGTACTTGCTGTTGTTCTGAAAGCTCTGGTTGGGGTGTCTCTGGTTGTTGGTCTTGCCAGCCTAAGTCTTGTGGTTCCTGTTCGTGACTGGGGGTCACCGGTTGAGAGAGTTCCTGATGTTCGTCTTGCTGTTCTTCGAGAGATAGCTCAGGTTGAGGTGTCTCTTGTTGATTTAGTTGTTCATCTTGCTCGACAGCGGCAGGCTCGGGCTGAGGTGTCTGGGTCCCAGAGGCCTCTTGACTCTTGCTCTTCTTATTCTTTTGTTTGTTATTAGCCTTGTTGTTCTTTTTGGCCATGACTGATAGTAGTGCGTGCCCAAGTTGAAAAGTAAGGCTGACAGACGTGTTCCCAGTAAGCTAGAAACTTGATTCTATCAGTAGAGGCTCGATTGGGTGAACGTGGGTTTAACAATGTACATTTGCAGGCGCGTTCGGCGGTGTCAAGTTATATTCCGGCTCCGTATAGGTACAGAGCGAACGCAAGGAACCGAAATTGGTCAGTCTGGAAGCGTGGGCGATCACACGATCAGACAGAGTTCTTCGGTGGCAAAATGGGTAGGGGGAGAAAAGGATTAGGAAAATAGGAGGAATAAAGAAAGAATTAGAGAGTATGCAGGGAGTGGGCACAAATGAGTGCCATACACGAAGGCAAGTGACTGGGTGTCAGATGGCAGCTTCGCCGGCGGGCAGACAACTCGGAATGCCAGGATGGCTTTCCACACGCTGGCTCTTAAAATAGTTGGGATGCTGAGGGCTGGGGACCAAAGAGAAGAGGGACGTGGAGGGAAATTTGAACAGCTAATAACCGGTTCTCAGAGACGCCCAAACCGGGAATGAATCGCATGGTGAGAAAGAGTCATTTCAACCAGCCTCAAGGGGGCTGGGCAAGGCGTCAAACGGACCGAACCTTAGAGGACGATTGATACCCATCGTCGGTCGTGGATACGGAGGCCAACTAGGCACAGAAGGCAAGCATGCAGACACCTCTGGGGAGGGGGGCAAAAGAAAGGAGTCAGAAGGGTGGACCGAAGCATTGGAGATCCGACTTATTCCAGACCCAATCACCTCACGCATTGGGCATCAAAGACGCGATACTCGCGGTGACCGGAAGAATCAGAAGAGGGCGGGGAAAGGAGAAAATAGACTATGAGTAAGAACGAATAGCTATTCTAAGCTCGATAGCCTGAAATCTTCTTCAAACACCGCCGTCGGGGGGGGTGGGGGGCGGAGGTGCAGACAGGACTGTACTCGAGTAAGATGGTACTTACTGGTTGGGAGGAGTATGTGGGTGGGGTATGGTGTGGGACAACGCTAAGTACAGATCGATGACATGTCCCCCTTGATAACCAGAGGATGCGGAGTCCACATGATTTGGCACAAGATGAAACCCAATTGACATCGCGCTAAGAGTGAGCAGTGGAGAGCGCCATGTTGAAGTGAGGCAGTTAGCCATGCATCAGGGCCACCAGGGCCACCAGCCTGGGGTGCGGTGTAGAGGACTTGGGAGTGTAGACTCGCTCGCTACCTAGTCTAGTCGCTATTAGGTATTGACAAGGAAGCCAACACAGCGAGCGACCCGCCAGTCGTCGGCCCATGCACCCGCCATGCACCCGCCAGTCAGTGCACCACCAAACACCGTTCGAGGGGGGTTCAACTTTCAAGGCGAAGGGTTTCCCTGATCCCTCGGAAAGAAGAGGGAGAATAATAGGTAGTTAATGCAGGTAAGGCGATGGCCCGAGGGTCTGAGGGTTCACATTTGACCAACATGCAGCTTTTATTAGGCTGTCAGAGACTGACATGATGCTTTGACAACAAGAAGAAGCAACCTGATGATTTCCCGGGAGTAGGTAGTCATTACGGAGTACAGTATGGATGTATGTACAGAGAGTGCTCCGTACAGTACATGCTGTCCCAAGTTCACCGCAGCGGCGGCGTCGGGCCCTGCCTTTACTTACCTAAGGTACAACAGCCGCGCTAATCCCGCTGGGGTTAAGACCCGAGCATGGCAACCCTAAGCCCAATCCAGATATCGTATCACGTGATATCCGCCTTGAGCCGTCCTTCTGCGCTTTCAACCTCACCAGCAAGCCCCAGCGACGGCATCGTGATTGTTCGGCGCTGCCAATTATTTTCTTCCACACCATGTTCTTTGCCAGGCGATCGGTAGCTTCGGCGCGGCTACTGCTGCGGAACCAGCAGCCCCATCGATTTGGCTCTCATGCAGCTCACCACGCTGCCCCTGTGAACGAGAGCTTCGGCGTACGTTCCCCTACCTAACGGTTCCCTCCAATTGGGAACAATTGACCCCCCCCCCCATCCGTGTCGCCCGCGATGGCTGCTAGGATCCTACGCTGCAAGATCGCATTGTTCCTGCTTCTTCAAATGAGTCAATTGGGCTAATTCTGAGATCGGCCAATCCCTACAGCGGAGTTTCTACGTCACCGTCGGCACCTTCGCTTCCTGCTACGTTATCCACCGCATCCACAAGGCCACTGAGGAGTCCGGCTCCCAGTCTTGGATCTCCAACCTCATCCAGAAGTGGACTCCCTCGGAGCAGGTCTTTGAGCAGAGAAACGCCATCCGGACGGCGGTAATGGAGAAGGCTGCTCGCGACCGTCACTTGTTCGCCAGTCAGGGCCCTAGCGAAACATATGGATTGATGCAACCCGAGTACGAAACTTCTGTAGCCTTCTTAAAATCAGAACCGTGGGCACTAACGTATGCTCTTTGCACTTTTTAGGGTCAGCTTCCACGCCGTTCAGCCTATCAACCTTGTCGCCGGCTACGATGCGGACCTCAGCAAGGTTGTCGCACACTACGAGCGCAAGAACCAGGCCATTGAGGAGGACCGTGTTGCCCGGATGAAGGATGGCAAGGTCGTTTCTCTCTACGAATAGTTAAGCTGAATTGATTTGAATTGTTTGGACACAAAACTCTGTCGGTAGACCTGGGGAGCACGACACGTTGTACATGTACATATAACAAGACAGAGGTAAAAGGTCTCGATGTCTCTTTTTTCCTTTTCTACTCAGCCAGATTCTTGACGATTCACCCTTGGGGCTGTTCTATAGTGCCAGAGAGTGAGTCTTGAACAGCGCAGACACAGCTACGTAACAGATCATGTTCGCTTCCGCGCCCGAGCCAATGAGAGTGCATGTTTATCTAAGCCCAACTGAATTCCAGCACCATCATGGCAACACCAGAACTGCATATCGAGTTCTCAATACTCCTATCCAAGCACGATTTCGAGAATTACTCTTCCAACACCTTCAGACTTGATATCTAGTCGCTCTTGCACCCTCAAGTTACCGCCACTGATTCCTCCCACCACAGCAAGGAACTCATCCACCCCACCACCCACGCCGAAGTAAACCTTCTTCGCCGCTATCAAAGCCTGGCTTGAGAATCCTTCCTGCGCAGGCCGACGCAATAAAGCAAGCAATGTTTCCGAAAAGGCCTGCAGCGAGGCAGGAGAGTAGATGGTCTCGCTTGCGAGAATCAACGCATCGCTTCTACTCGATTCACCGGATGAAAACACCAAGTCCACGAATTCGGGCGACCAAGCGCCGGAGACGAATTCAACCGTAATCCCCCGCCTTTCCAGGTCTCTCTGGAAGCTCGCGACAAGCTCGGGACTAATGTCCAGTAATTCATCCTCAGTGTCCCCGTCTTCGGGCGATAGAGACTCGGTGGAGAGCGGCGTTCCCTGTGCCGAGACGATGTAGTTCCATGTCAGAAGGAGGTTCGGGAAAGTGACGAGACGGAGAACAGCGGAGTTGTAGTCCGCGAAAGTGAAGTGGGCCCTTCGTTGAGCACTGGGCTCCATTGATAGCAGCTGTGCAAACAGGGCTAAGGATGGCACGGCAGTGCCTGCCCCGAGCTACAAGTCATCGGAGCATTAGTATGAGCTCCTTGAGCTAGTGGGCCGTCCCAACCGTCCTTGCATTTACTCACCTCGATGAAATGCCGTTTGCCGGCAGTTTCCGTCATCGCATTCATCGCATTAGCGTCAAGAAGCAGTTTCGCCAGGTCCAAGGCACATTCCCACGTCTTAAAGCCGCCCTCGTAGAAGTTGGGCTTGATGTCGCCTTTCTCAAGCCCAGTGATCAGCTCATAGTTGTCTTCTCTGTCTTCGGCAGTGTCTTCTGCCATCAGCTGGGTTCGAATGTCGTAAACATCCCGGCGTGCGAGCGTCACTGGCTTCCCTGGGTTTCCATGCTGAGAAATAGGGATGGCAAGCTTGTTGTACGAGATTTGTGAGGGAAGCGAGGGAATCTGCAGCACGGTTACACCTTGACACATCTTGCATGAAGCCGATCCGGGATTTGAGAGCTTGCTTCCGACGAGGACTTACCCACTCTGACATATCATGACGCCTGGCTGGCACCAACTCGGGCAGTGTATCACTAATGCCTTGTCGGAAAGTGAAGCCTTCTTGACTGACATCGCCGGTATCATTTTCGTCAATATCAATATCATCCCCCGCAAAGCCAAAGCTGAATGTGGACGACATGATTGAGGCAATTCCACAATTTAGCCGCTAGCTTTACCTTCTACAGCTTTCTTTCACCACGGACTTGATCGCGCAAAACTGAAATATGCGATGTAGCAGTCTCCCAGTTACTTTCCGTCGAAATGAGGTGGGGTATCCTGTAACTTATAGATTGCACTGCTGGCGTACAAACGAGTTTGCGGTTCTTCAGCAACAGCGTGTAAGCTCAGAGAAACAGATTCTTTGAGCTATGGTACATAGGATGGCAGCTTTTACTGTGCCCGAGATGTTAGCAATATTACCACGCGTGGTCGACCTCCAGCCAGAAGAGGTCTTGATCCTCTAAATTTTTTTGCAGGCCAGGACAAAAAAAAAGATGACTAATCATTTTTTGTGACTTAACTATGGCCGACGATTTCCATACAAACAATGCAAGAACCAGAGTTCTCTTTTCACTCAAGACCTACGAACATTTTTTGTCGGGAGTTGGTTCAACGAGTATTTTCGAATATTCTATGCGATTGCAATACACTAAGTTCAAGTCTTGAGTACTACGCTTTCATAAGTACCTAGCCCAGAAACAGATATATTCATTATCAACCGTGTATGCTGCGCTCATAATTATTTCACAAGGAGATTCGTAATTCTAACCAAAGGGACGAGGTTCTATGCAAGCTCCTCACCATGCACAATGTTCCATGCCTTGCTTCGTCGATTAGTTTCCACCGAGTCTTCAATCGATGCGATTGATCTAGCCCTCTAATGGGTCTATCTTTTCTTGCAGTAAACAGTTCTCAATCCTCGACGACCATTCAATCAAGCGCTGCCGTTCTCAATGGGGCGGCTAGCAGCCACGGCTTTCTTGAGGGCCTGAAGGACATCAGCCGTTAGGTCTTCGGCATCTTCAACACCGCAAGAGATGCGAACGAGGTCGTCGTAAACACCGGCGATCTCACGATCGGCCTTGGGAATACCAGCATGGGTCATGGCTGCGGGAACCTCGCAAAGACTCTCAACGCCACCCAAGCTCTCCGCCAGGGTGAAGACCTTAGTGTACTTGCAGAACAAGTGGGCAGCCTGCTCTCCACCCTTGATACGGAAGCTCAGCATACCACCACCCATGCCTTGACGGTGCTGCTTGACAGCGATAGCGCGCTGCGGGTGAGACTCGATACCGGGGTAATTGACGGAAATGACATGGGGAGAGGCCTCAAGGGCCCTGGCGACGGCCGTGGCATTGGTGGTGGCCTCCCGCGCACGCAAGTGGAGAGTCTTCAGACCGCGGTGAGCGAGCCAGCAGTCGAAGGGCGACGGAACGGCACCGATGGCGTTCTGAAGGAAAGTAAGACGCTCTTTCAAGCTGTCCGAGTTGAACGCGGCAACACCCATGAGGACATCCTATTCCTAGTGTTAGCCGATAGGTCCTACTGATGGGGAATTCGAAGCCAAGCTTACCGAGTGACCGTTAATATACTTGGTGACGGAGTGCACAACAATGTCGGCACCATGATCCAGGGGGTTCTGAACATAGGGGCTCATAAAAGTGTTGTCGACGACCACAATGATGTTATATTTGTGCGCGATGGCAGCAACCTTCTCGATATCGACCAAACCGAGGGTAGGATTGGAAGGGGTCTCGATCCAGACCAGCTTGGTCTCGTTGGGGCGGATCAACTTTTCGACATTCTCCTCAATGCTGGGCGTGAATGTCACCTCAACTCCATGGGCAGATGCGACCTTGGTGAAATAGCGATGGGTACCGCCGTACACATCGGAGACGGAGACAATGTGCGAGCCCGCAGCGAGAGACTGCAGAATCACGGCAGTGGTGGCAGATCCGGAGGAAAAGGCCAGAGCATATTTACCGTGCTCAACGGCAGCGATAGCTTCTTCGAAGTTGTCTCTGGTTAATAGTCAGTGTCCGTCTAGTTTGGGAGGGACCCCAAGCTCACTGACCGGTTTGGGTTCGAACTGCGAGTGTACTCGTAAAGACCGACAGGGGAACCAACGCTGGTTTGTGCGAATGTAGTAGACAGAGAGATCTAGTTCTTTTGAGTTAGTAGTTGCATGATAACGAATTCCTGGCGAGGAGAACTGACCGGAGCAATGACAGCGCCGGTGGTAGGATCATGGGGAGCACCAGCATGCACGGCCAAAGTTCCGAAGCCGCGTGCCTGAGAGACGGAATCTCCGTTTTGAGCGACCATTATGACGAAATGGGGTTGGTTGAATGCGGAAAGAGGGTTTGAGAGATCAAAGAAACCAGGAGGAGGATTGGCTTCGATTATATAGTATGCTATGCTAGTGAGCCAATTTCACAAAGAAATGATGTGATTTCTCAACGTTGCCGTTTGCGATGGACACAGGACCAACAGGTTGACTTATATAGGAAGTAATAGACTGAATGAAGTTGGAGTGGTTTTTGTGCAGGCTGTAAGCACGAGAATGTAGAAAGACAGACAGATTTGTAATAAGAACAGAGAACCCCCTCGAAAGAAAGGACTACCTAATATAATTTTTGCCGGAATGCAAATGCGAACCTGCCAAGACTCCCAAGGGCGTAGAAAGGATCAAACTCCCTGCTGAAGAAGAAAAAAAAAATCCAAAGAAGAAAAAAAAAATGAACCAAATTCTCTTGGATGGACGAAGATGAGTTTCTTTTACGTTGCCGACTGGAGATCTTCCGGAAGTCGATAGGACGAAGCGGCGGGCAATTCCCCACTCCGCCTTCCATTCATTCTTCCATCCGTTCCACAATCGGATTATAGTACAAATAACTTGAGTAAGTTTCTCGACTGCCGCCACTAACCGCCCGCTGCCAGTCGGAGATGTCGGACGAGCGTCGGATCTTACCTAGTACTCTCCGTATACTACCTAACTTATAGTATCCTACTCAGTAATCTATGTACTGATGACTATGTACTCAGACATACCTCGATACTTGATACACACACTATAGATAGTCTCTCTCCGTCTTTCACCGCATGCTTATCAATATCGGTTCAACGCACCGCACGGACTCTTGCTGGTTTCCTTGTTATTCTTGCTTTTAGCGGTAATAATCATGATTCGCAGGAAATGACCAAACTAATATTATAATCATAAATAGGTACAAGGTAGGAAGGTATCTAAACATCGCCAGTAAAAATGAGGGCAGAAGGCACGGTGCTTGTGCTTGAATAACATCATAAGAACTCATCTTAGAGATCATTCACCCTCAGACAGAATAGCACAGAAGCAAAACACAGTCGCCATCTCTCCATTATTTACACAGGACGGTCCCAGACCGTAGCAGGCAAGAGAAACAGAGATAGATGGCAGGTTTCAATTCGTCCCGGTGGTTTCCAGTCATACATTCCGATTCCGTACATACATGAGGGGGGGAAAGAACTCTCTAGAACACCCTAAAAGAAAACCCCTATACATCGCAGAAAATGCCCAGCCCTAATGCGAACCCGTTTGCCGTTACTGTGAGGTGATTGCATGCCTTATACAGGTATTGTTCTATCGAGCGACCATCTGATTGGAGCCAGGGCCGCCTAGGATGCCAGCCGATTGATGTAAGGAGTTGGCAGGCCGGGAGGAGAGAGAAGGAGATGGCTCTCGTTTGGACGAGGCCGATTGAAAAAGGCCCAGGCGGGCCGACGGGGGAGAGTAAGCAGCATGCTGAGAGGTGCCTTGAGGGGAGCGGTGGTCAAAAGCGCTGTAGGAGGCGGGATGTGGTTTTCGCACGTCGAGCGGGGAGGAGCTTAGAGATCGAAATCCAGACCTCCGGTCTGCATCATAATCGGGGTTGACGAAATGGCCAAGATTTGGAGGAGCTTGTTCTTGATCGAAAGGGGTGTTATTGGCTGATGAATTTTCCGCGATGGTGGAGGCTGAGCCGTTGGGTGCGTGGATATTAACCACTCGTTTCTGAGCAGCAGGGGTAGTGTATGCAGGGGCCCGGGGATTCTCGTAAACTCGGTTCTGGGGTCTTTGTGAAAATGGTTGGTGTTGATGGACGGGATGTTGAGGGTTGGCCCATGGTGTCTGCTCCAAGAAAGCCTCCTCTGCTGATGTACGGAAGACGCTCGATGACATGGCTGGCATAGTTCCCCGGGGTAAGGTAGGTTGCTGTTGAGCAAGTGGGGGTTTTGTTTCGATAGATATCTGAGTATAAGGGCACGTTAGCAGGGGTTGCCGATGATTTGTAGCATGACTGGGATGACTTACGCCCATTTTCTCCAGGTCATCTTCCAGCTCGGAAGGTCGCGCCGCGGACAGCGAAGGCGCCGCAGGAAATCCAACGTACTTTGCGACTCCGGCCATGATCGAGACCTCTTGATTATACGCTGTTTGATGCGCGATTTGTTGTGAGCGACGCGTCGGGAAAGGAATATAATGCTGTGGACTGACGTCGTCCGTCTTGAATCGATCGTGCTGTATAGAGTAGAACTGTTTGCTGATCGCACTAGAATGCTTCTCGCGAATATCCCGAGTCCGCTGGAAATATGTGCTGTGTGCTTGCGCTCGTTCAGCCAAACTCTTATTTAGTAAAGCCTGTATTCGGTACTGGAATAGCGTGTGCTCATATTTGATCTTTGAGTCTCTGTAGCGGGCGAGGCAGTCGAGCTGCCGCAGGAATTCAGGGTGCGTTGGATTCGGACCATTCAACATTTCGAGTTCCCGATTCAGTTTGGAGATTCTCTCGTCGTATATTCTAACCAAGTTACATAGGTCAGTTATGAGGGGCCAGGTAAACCGGCGGTGGCAGCAACTTACTTGTCACGCAGCGTTGCGAATTCTCTTTCTAATACAGCTAATGAATCCATGGCAGCCATTCGTTTCGCTGCTAGGAGTGACATGTTAGCTATGTGTCCATGCATAACCGTAATAGAGCATGATCCGAAGACTTACACTCTTCTTCAATTTTAGCAGCAGCTTCACTGTCGTCCACATCTTCACCGCGCTCAGCGGTGTCGTCTTCCGCGAGATTGTCATCGACTTCCGCGCCCATGTCACCGAGGCCGTTATCCATATCGTCATCTGCATCTCTAGCTTTCCGTCCTTTCCGCTTGCCCTTCTTTGCCCTTTTACCTTTCGTGGGGACTGTATGCGAGGTTAACTCGGGCGTCTCATCTGCCGGTGTATCCTCTTCAATGGTTTTCGACGGGTCTTCCATGGGCTCGGGGCTTAATACGATATCGTCTGGAGGTGGGTCGCTCAAGTCACTCTTCATTGAGCCGCGACGTTTCTGTGACGGTAAGTCATCTTCGTCAATTTCGGTACCCAGCTCGTCGCCGGACTCCAAGCGCTTGCGTTTTTTGCCAGTGCCTTCTAATGATAGCGTTGAGCCCTCGCGCCCAGAAGTCTCATCTACCACGTCATTGATGCGGTTGATTCTGGCGCGAGGCTTGCTGGGTGAGTCGTCTGCAGCATGTTCTTCTTCATCTTCGACATCATCATACGTCGTCGACTGGGCCAATTTGCTGGGGCTTGGCTCATAAGCAGCTGCACTCACGACAATATTTGTTTTGGAACGGAAGTTTGGGGAGTCCTCGATGCGCTCTGTTTCCGCTTCCGAGTCATTTTCTGGGGCCACCCTCTCAGGCTTGGGAGACTCATAATCGGATGGTATATTTTCGGACACATCATCAATCTCACTAAGACTACTCGATCGGTCGTCACCCATTATCGAATCGTCTAGGAGAAGGCTCTGTTCCCCATTGGCGATGGTGGTGTCCACCCCAGGTGGCGCACCCACCGCCGCGGGCTCTGTACTCTCGGCGACTTCCATCTTCTTGCGCAGCAGTCACAATAATCAAGTGAGCGGGTGTAGGTGATTGAAGAAGTATTGAGGAGGCTAAGCTGAGATTTGTGGTCGGTAGCCTGGTGGGAGGGGGGGGGAGGGGGAAGAGGGATGCTGGGCGAGACGGTCAAAGCCGTAGACCTAAGGCCGGAAAAGCCAGAAAGTTAGACATATTATACACAGACATTTCGCCAAAGCAACAAGAAAAGTTCTATTCAGAACGACAGTCGATCAAGTTCAAAAGCAGGGTGGAGGAAGAGGGGAGCGACAGAGTCCCAAAGGCGGTGCGGAGATTTGATCACACCCCAGATAGAGCGAAAGTCACTCTCGCTCCCGGCTTGGGCTCTGAGAACTGCGCCGGCCCGACAAACAGGGCTCTGGGCTCTTGTTCAAGGGTCTGGGGCGCTGAATCTAGTGCGGTTGATCCAATACCGATCCTCCACTGGCTCGAAAAGCATTGGGAAACATACCGTTTAGCAATGCGCCGACAGTGAAATCCGTGGTGTTTCAGCTGCCGCGACCGAGCACGATTCCCTGAACCACCGCGGTCGCGGAGAAGGAACCAGGGAAGGTAGGCCTATCCACAAATTTCCAGAGCCCCGACCTTGCACTCAAGTATGTCTTCGGTCTATGGGAATGCGCAGACGAACTTCTAGTCAACGAGAAGCGAGAGGGACAATGAAGAGGCGGTTGTGGTGGGCGTCGACTTTCAGGAAGCGGGCAGGACGACAAGTGCAGCGTAACGGAAGTCTGAGCGGCATGGAAGAGAGAAGCGTAGTCGGCTGTACAAGGAGAACGGATGGAAGCAAAGGTAAGAGAGAGAGGAATGGAATGAAACAAGATTGGAAATTGAAATCACCAAGTCTGAAGCGCAGAATCGAGATGGCAGCTTGAATGGCGCGGGAGGAGGAGGGAGAAGAAGTGCGGCAGCGGCAGCAGCAGCAGCAGCAGCAGCAAGCAGCAGCAATCATCCTCACCACTCACTAATCAGAGCCGGCGTCACCCTGCTGTATTCCGCCCGTATTGAGTTCTGCCGGCTGTATATTCCTTTCGCCGGATGAGGGCTCACCGCCTGAAGTGGTTGGCTAGGGCATTCTCACTATAGTCTGGGGAGAACACCGAGCACGTTTTACACTGGCCAAAGTTGCGATACGATATCTAACATAGTTTCGAGGGGGTCAAAGCATCTCTTAGAGAATTAAGCTGACCTCGCTATCTGAGCATAGCTTCACGACATTAGTCTCCCACAGTTCTTTGAGGGGATTAGAGTGAGAGGAGAGAGCCGACTCCACGTGATCTGCCCCGGCTTTCCGTCGCCAAGACCGCCTCCAAAAAAAGCAAGAGAAAAAAAAGTTGGCTGAAGGAATACGGAAACAGAAACACCCGTCATAAGATTTGCAGCAACGAAAGCGAACCTGATCGCTGTCTCGTGTTCAAGTGGTGGACCATTCATCGTCAAAGGGTTTCCGATATCTCATAGGTTTTCGCCGTAATGGCCAAGACAGAAACATCTGTCTCCCTTCTGGGAACAACTGCCCCCATAGATCCTTCTTTGGCTTCCTTGTTCGCGACGAGTGTACGTTTCATGCTTTTTATCATGCCCAAGTGCCAATTGAGCTGACACTTTTCTACAACAGGCCGGTCCAGTCAAGACTCCGACAATAATCGCTCCGGCAGAAAAGCGCGCTACGAAAAATGAGCAAGATGACGAGAGCGAGGATGAGATCTCCGAGGCGGAAGACGAAGAAATGGAAGAGGCTCCAGAGGCCGAGAGTGATTCTGGAAGTATATCGGCGGTGAACGTCTCCGAGGCCTCTAGTCGGAAGCGGAAGAGGGCGCCGGCCGAAGAAGTCGAGGACTCGTACATGCGTCGCATAGAGAAGGAGCAGCAAAAGGAGGAACTCAGGCGTCGTGAAGAGAAGGCTAAGCGACAAAAGGTTACAGAGGGTGAAAACGAAGGCGAGGAGGAGCAGCCTAATGAAAGCGACGATGAAAGCGACAGCGAAGATGAAGAGGAGACTGCGGTGCCGAAGCATGAGAGTCTTACTGGAGCCGGTGAGAACGCGGAACTGGATAAGTCTAATCGCACTGTGTTCCTTGGCAATGTGTCGAACGAGGCTATCAAGTCTAAGTCTGCTAAGAAGACGCTTCTCAAACACCTTGGGTCTTTCCTCGACTCGCTTCCAGAATCCACAGGACCCCACAAAGTTGAATCAATCCGCTTCCGCTCAACAGCCTTCGCCAGCGGAGGCAAGGTACCAAAGCGAGCTGCATTCGCAAACAAGGAAGTTTTGGATGACACGACCCCGTGCACAAACGCATATGCTGTGTACTCAACGATGCAGGCTGCCCGAAAGGCCCCGGCTGCATTGAACGGCACCGTTGTCCTCGATCGCCATCTGCGTGTTGATAGCGTCGCGCATCCCGCTCAAATCGACAACAAGCGGTGTGTCTTCGTTGGCAACTTGGACTTCATTGATAATGAGACCAAACCTGATGATGAAAAGAGGAAAAAGCCGCGGGCCCCCGCAGATGTGGAAGAGGGTCTCTGGAGGGTGTTCAATGCCCACACCGGGGGGTCAAAGAAGGATAGTTCTGGCAAGGGCAGCGTTGAGTCGGTTCGAGTGGTCCGTGATTCTGCCACGCGTGTTGGCAAAGGGTTTGCCTATGTTCAGTTTTATGATCAAAACTGCGTGGAGGAAGCCCTCCTGCTGGAAGGAAAGCAATACCCCCCTATGCTCCCGCGCAAGCTCCGTGTGTCTCGAGCTAAGAAGATCATGAAGAAGCGCGATGATAGTGGCAGCAATCGAGGGAAGGCCCTTGCAGGCGCGGATAAGACACTTCAGGGTCGTGCTGGTAAACTCTTTGGCCGAGCCGGAGCATCCAAGGTCAAGGCTGCAGGAAGGACCTCCATCTCGCAGAACTCGTTGGTGTTTGAAGGTCAGCGAGCCACGGAAGGAGCATCACGCATCCGAGTCAAGGGGAAGAGTCGTGGATCGAAGGCTAAGCGCAACAGTCGGAGTAGCAAGCGCGCTGCAGCATACAAGGCTGGTGGTGGTAGGAAAGGCAAGTTGGACCAGTAGGAATAATCTTCCGTTCGTTGTATGGCGCGTTTCATGTATGTAATTTATCATCCCGGATGGACATAGGAGATTGCGAACTTGTGTAAAAGCACAACTGGGTGTGGGATTCAAGTCAAACCTATAAGGATCCTCATGATCTATGTTTGTCAGGGGCTGGTATAGGCCTACATGCTACAAAAGTGTGCTCGTTCCTAACTTTCGTGGTGCCGTTTGCCTCCAGGAACTCAAGACCAGTGACGTCATTGCGCGGGCGCATCCCTTATCGATTGTGAGCTGCTACTAATCCGTACCCAGACTCCACATTATAATATCCGGTCACTACCCCGTCTCAACTAGAAATCAGGATAACCTTTCCACATAAAATCAACTTCGCAAGTTTGACCTCTTTTGTGGGACAAACGCGACGTATCCCCGCTCTTGTCGTCTGGCACGCGTGAGGTGCAGTAGGAATATTCAAGCGCCTCACAAGCAAATGCCCGAGACGCTTCAAGCCCTATTGTTCGTCTTTGAATAGAAGTGGATCAGCCTGGCATTCACTCACGGCCAGCAGTCCGATGCGCTTCTAGGTTCGATGAGACATAGCTTCGTACCTAACAGATTCACCCTCGCAACCGATTCGCTTATCATACTGCAGTCAGTTGCTTGATATCAAGCGACTTATATTACCCACAATGATGCTTCCGTTCGTCCATCGACTTCGAGGGATTCGAAGACCTCCGAACCCCTCGGGTAACGACAACGAGACCGGCGCTTCATCGGAGGAAGAGGCCAAGGCATTCGATAACGATGCATACTACCCTAGCTGCTACGACGTGTTGAAGGTCCGATACCTGCTGCAGCATATCTGGAAATGGAAGAGAGACTCGGAGGAGCTGTTTCCTTGTGAGCTTGTGGACATGATCGTGGATGCAGCCGAATACTGGGCAACCAGCGAGTCTAGCCTGGAAGGAGAGACGATTATCCGAAAGGATCAGGACCAGGTGCTGTTAACAACCGTGCCACTGTGCTATGCTGTGGAGGTATGTCCTTACCGTCCCAAGTGACACCGGTCTCGCATCCAGTCGAATAATGGAAGCTACAACAATGATTCAAACCTACCGGAACTGATGAAAACGCATAGACATTAAGTTCCGACTCTCCCCAGGTGCTTCCCCATCGAACCGCTCACCCTTGCCGCAAGATCATGTTTACCATCTCAGCCCATGACCAGGGATGGGGTGGCGGTGCCCGCAATAAAGGTCCGTACGACGGGTCTTTTACATGGTTCGACACCCAGATTATTCACTCGGCCCAGAAGCCGCCTCCACCAAATGAAGCGCCGAGTCAGGAGCAGCAGCCGGTTCACTTCGAATCGGGCGACCCTCTTCTACTCCCGAGCCCTCATAAGCTACAGTCAAACCGAACGGCGGACAAGAATACCCAGCTACATCGTATCACTTGGCATTATCTGGATAACATCCCCAGCGACTCCAGTGAAGCAGAAGACATCGAAAACAGCCAGGGTCGTGGGCGTGCAACCTTAGATGGTAGTCAAGTTCGTGCCTTAGAAGTGGGTGATGCCATCCAGATCTGGGGGAGAGCTCGATTTGGGGGATGGATCAATCATGTTGAGCGGGTGATGGTGCGTGTATTCTGGGCTGTGTGATTAGGCCGGAACGAGCTTTTCGTTCCAGTTAAGGTGGCTTGATAAGGGCCAGTCTCGGACGGTAAATGATAGTCATAAACTAGCACGGCAACATCAGCATGGATCAATCGCATAGTTAAGTAGCCAGCAAATAATCATCGTGTATAAATTTTAGGCTCAAAGATGATTGCTGTGAGTAGGAAGAGCATTCTCAGCTACATGATCATTTAGTGCCAGGCAGCTACGGAGTAGCATACCCCGGATTTCCGCCGGCGGTCGTGGCGCTGACGCGGGGGCTAGAAGGTTAACAAGTTACGGAGTACAGTACTAGTGGCGGCCTGCCAAATCAGGCACGAGGGATGATCACCTCATTCCTATACAAAATCACGCAATTCTGCCGAGCGTCCCATTCTGTTAAGTCTCACCTGAATATAAGGTCGCGATCTTCCTCAAGGCCAGCAACGTTGGTTGCTTTTACTCTTGTTGGTACACAAAGTTTGCAAATGTGAGACGATCAATCGATCTAGGGAGGGTTCATGCTGCCTTTCCCTGAACACTAATACTATTTACTATTTCACTCTCAGCATTCCCGTGTGTACAGAATGGATACCAGAATACGCCATGACAGCAGCCGACGGAAAGCGAAGCAGCAATTCCGGTGGGGCAGGCCGCGTTGGTTGCGCAACGTCCTCAACCATTGATCAGTTGACTGACTCCCAAACTCCCAAACAAGGAGCTGCACTGGCTCACTGCAGGAGCCGGTAAGCGGACTGTTCATCACCGCCTGAACTGTCTGGACGGTGTGTGATGCGTGATCTCGCCCGAGAGTTGACGCAGACACCGTCGACACCGTCGACGCCTGCCGTCGGTCTCTTCGGGCACCCTGCGTGGTCAATCGCCGATTGACCTCATTCGCCGACTGAGCAACCCTCAACAACAGCCCTCCTCAGGCTTGCTAAGGTATCTGTGTATCTTTCCAGAGTGACCATGATGAGTCTTATTTGTCTATCCCCGAAGGGGTTCTGTTTTGATCATTTCGCCGAGAAATACTCCGGCAATCCTCTTCAATCGCCCTGAGCGTTTACCTTAAATTGCTCATTCGCCCTCTCCTCTGAAGATATTCAGCTTGCTCTTCGGATACTACATACTGTGGGTTTTCTCCATAGTGGACACTTGGAGCTTTGATACGGTATCTCGTTGCCTGAGAGACTCTACAGTCAGAAACCGTCCTCAGAATGGCACAGCCTCAGAGATGTGCCGCGGTTGTGGTGGGAGCTGGTCCTGCTGGTTTGGCAGTCGTTGGAAGTTTACTAGAAAAGCGGCTTGGTGGCAAGATAGCCTGGGTTGATCCGTACTTTCAAGGAGGGCGAGTCAATCGGAAGTATCGCGAAGTTCCCAGGTGAGTGTATCCGGATCAGGCTCTCTAATTACGATCGAAACTGTGGCCCGGGAGCATCCTCGCTGACACCACAGCATCAGCAACACCAAGGTGTCGTTTTTCCAAGCTTATGCTACCGCCGTTCAACCCTTCAGATCCGTTATTGCCGATACCCGCATGCCTAATCCTTTTACGACTATGGCCAAGCTTGACCAGGATAAGACCTGTCATCTACATCATGCTGCGGATGTGGTCTGTGCGCTCACCGACGGACTCACGAAGATGGACAATGTTCTGCCATGCCGGGGTACAGTCACAGCTGCCAATCTTTCCGAGCAGGTCAGTTCGCGCTGTTCTCCTGGTAAAGCTTCTCTCATAATGCTAACTTTGTGTGTGTAGACATCCGATTGGACAGTTCGAATCAAATTTCAAGATTCCCAAGACGAGATTGATGTGATGACACCCCGACTCGTTCTCTGCACGGGGTCATCCCCCACGGAAGTCTCGATCCCTATTACCGGGCACCACATCGAAAGGCTGGACCTTGATCTTGTGCTGAAGCCTAGTGAACTAATCACACATCTTCCCCACAACAAGCCCTTGGAAATTGCCGTGGTAGGAGCCTCTCACAGTGCAATTCTAGCCCTACTCAACCTGGCAGACTTGGCACGCAGCTCCCATCCTGAACTCCGCATCAAATGGTTCACGCGACATCCGCTGCGTTACGCGGAGTTTATGGATGGCTGGATCCTCCGAGATAATACTGGACTCAAGGGTCATGCTGCTGATTTCGCTCGCCAGCAGTTGGAGGATGACAAACTACCCCAGTCCGACGCCGGCCGCTTCATCACGAAGGTAGACTGCGGGGGTGGCCAGGAATCAGCCCAATACCAGCGGGTCCTGCCATCATGCACCCATATAGTTCAAGCCGTGGGCTTTACGCGAGACCCACTCCCAGAGCTATCGGTCAATGGCCGTCCATTGGAGCCTGACTTTGACTCGGTCTCAGGTGGCTTTTATGATCCCGATGGGCGCATTGTCCGAGGCCTTTATGGGGCTGGTATCGCATTCCCGGAGCGGGTGGTTGATCCATATGGCAATGTTGAACATGCCGTCGGGTTCTTCAAGTTTATGAAATACGTCAAACGGGTGACCCCGCTGTGGGCAGCTTCGTAGATGGATGGCTCATGGTTTTTTCAATCCACTAGCGTGTTTGTCCACCCTCAATGCCCGGTTCGATGGCTGTCGCCTCTGGTAGGTTCGCAGCTTGGCATTGATGGTCTTATCTAGGCTCGTAATGAATAATGTGATGATATTTGCTGCGCCAAAGATTTTTCAAATTAATTCCACTGGCCACTGTCCGCGGGTTAGTGGCTCGCCTCATCTCTGAGATGTGAATAAAGCTTGCCCTGTTGAAGATATTCCCAAGGCTTGTTTCCGTACTCCCGAGCAGCTGGCCCTTAGGTCGGCATCCCATGCTCGCATAGAAATTCTATCTCAGCATCAATCACAATCTCTTCAGGTAAACCATGTTTATGATATATTGGTCCTCTTCAGTGAATGATCAGCCTATTGAACCCTAAAGCAGCAGTTTCAGCAACCATGTATGCCAGGAAGTCGGACCAAAACATCGACGTACAACAGTATGAAGTTGATATATCGCGCCTGCGCCAAATCAACATAGCCTATTATGTTCCTGCCTGAAAGCAACTTTTGAGACACCTAGCCAGAAAGAGAAGCCCCCCTCCCCTCCTAAAATTACACACGCCCACATCACTTTGATGACTCACTTGATCAGATTTTCCCCAAATCGATTTCTGTAGCCAAACAAACATATACGCCAGGAATGAACACGACCAGGAGATGGTAACTCTACAATAGAAAGAACGAAAGAAAGAAAGAAAAAGGATCCATTCGATCACCACCAAGATATGGGTCCCAAGCCGGCCATTTGCATCGAACCCTGCCTAGCCGTTAGTATCTGATAATCCATCCCCCACGAGGCACACAGATTTAAATCGATGGGAGTCAAAAGTGAAACGTACAATGATTGAATATGGTGGTTTCCGTTCGATCACGGCGGCGCCATCGCCTAGATCGGGGGCGTTGGGGATCTGATCATGCCACTCCTCCATCTCCACGCGGAAACGGACGACCTCTCCGACATCGAAATAAAATGTCGAGCCGTCTTCATTCTCCCAGATCCAGACTTGGTCTGCGTAGTCGCTATTTGTCCTTTACGTTAGTATGTGGTGGGAGGTGGGGATGTTACTAGAGAGAGGATGGGGGCTGGGTATTAGGGAAGCAGAAGGCAAGGGGGGAGGACTTACAATCTGGCTCCGTCGAGGAGGAGATCGGGAGGGACGAGGATATCGTTGAAGAATTCTACACCGACTAGAAGGAAGAAAAGCCCATGTGTCAGAAGTGGAAATGGGCCGTCAAGGCGAAGAGCATGGGCTATAGTCGAAAGGAGGCGGAGAGGGAGGGGGGAAAGCCCACTTTTGATGCCGTGTTCAGTAGCACTCGAGATCTTTCCGAGCATGATCTCTCCCTTGAAGGGACGGAAGACGATGAGTCGGAATTTTACTGCCATCCGAGGTCAGAAAGGGAGCTTCTGCATGTTGAGGAAGAGGAGCCTTTACCGTTCACATTGACGAGTCCGGTTCCATGGCCGATAAGACCGTCCGAGGACTCGAGCAGGTCATAGAACCCAATGCACAGGCCGATTTTTTGGATCACCTGTCCCATGAGGTTTGAGTTCATGTAGCATATATGCTTTGGACACTCGAGGGACGGGGTAGGGGTTGGCAAGGGTGAACTTACTTTATTGGCATACTTCTCGTTGATATTATCTTCGAGGGCCACAGCGCTGTACTTCGAGAAATCCTCGGGGGAGATCTGGATGAGATCGGAGACAGTGGTCTGTGAAAACCCGGTCAGTCGATGTTACATTTAGGTCAAGCACAGTTACTGCAGCTAAGGAGAGCATATGGGTTTCAAGGAGACTGACAAGGATGAACATGCTGGGCGAGGATGCGCACACGGCGTGTTGGTGACGGAGCCCGGGAATTTTTTTTTCTTTCGTCCCAATCGAGTAATAATTTAGGTAGGGATACAAGACACGAGAACAAGTCAGAACCTCAGAGGATGATGGGACACAGTTCCATATCCCGTTTTTGCAGGTCGTTATCAGATTCTTCTCATGAAACTAAACAGATTCACCCCTCCGACGCCATGTCAGGGCATGTAAAGATCACGACTCAAACAATATCCGATTGATTAGCTGCATGCGATAAGATGCAATTCCCACCATTGGCAGGCGGCAGATCGGCCTGAATTTTCTGCCTGAGGGCAAACCGCCGCCTCCTCCGGGGCCGAGATTCTATCACGTGACTCATTTGCAACTTGAAGCGTCCTTCGGAACGGAAGAATCTCGGCGGCAGTTGCAGCGAAAGGTCCCATCCGCCGTCGCCTCCCATTTTGTTATAAGAAGTAGCGCCGAGCTCGACCTCGCCGCCGCTCTTAGATCCGAGAAAAAGAGAATGGCGTGCATGCTGGCTGTCTCTATCACCTTTGGAAGATCGATCGAGGCCTTCTCACCATGAACAACAATCCTCAGGGGTTCTCTTTTCCTCCGCCTCCCCCTCCTCCCCCTTCCTCCCAGCAACAGCACCCGCACCAGCACCAGCCGCACCAGCCGCCACACCAGCAGCACCCGCATCCGCAACAGCAACACCACCATGGACACAACGCTGCTCCCTATGCAGCACAGTACAATCCGGGCTATGACGGTCAACAACGCGGCGGGCGCGCCCCCGGTGCACACCATCGAGGTCGGGGGAGAGGAGGCTACGGAAACCATCACCGTGGCGGCGGTGGAGGGGGTGGACGTGGCGGCAGCCATTACATGGCACCCGATATGAATGCCAATCGGGGATATTCGCCTGCGACTGTCGCGGCCACCGGTTCTGGGTCTGTCGGCGGCTACACACCGATGAATTACGCGGGATACACGCCTCAGCCTCTCGCTCCCACTCCACGAGCAACTCCGACTCCCCAGTTCGCGCCTACGCGGTCGCCCAATTTCCAGCATCGTACTACAGCTGCACCATCCTTCAACCCGCCCCAATCGTACGTCCCAGCGCCCGGAGCACACGTTCCTACTCCGTCTCAAACCCAACAGAACTACCCTGTGGCCGCTGCACAACCTGCTCCTACATACCCTCCCACCGTACCTTCTCACAACCATGCTGCGCAAACGGTCCAGCCCCCACTCATGGGACCGCCTATGCGCTGGGGATTTGACAATTTGGGATCGACGGGAGGCTTTTCCGGAGGGCAACGCGGGCACCAGCGAGGTGGACGCGCCTTCAACCACAACCATCACAATGTCCAACCAGATAAGCAAAGGAACCACGGCAATAAACGGGACCATAAGTCGGCTTTTGGGCGCTCACCTCAGACAAGTGTGCCTCGAGTTGCGGCACCACCACCGGTCCCTAGTTTTGGAAACCCTCTGCTGCCCTCCAAACCACCTCCAACGGCTGACGCCGCTCGAAAGCCAAAGAAGAAGAAGAGAAAGCATAACCAACTTGGTTTGACGCCGAAAACGGAAGAGCATGAGTCTAGTGAAGAGGAAGACGACGTGGATGAGGAGGCACGGCTGGCCGCCGAAAGAGGAACTGGGGCAGTGAGCGCTTCTGCGCCTCTGCAATTTACCTACAGGGGACGGACTTCGACGTTACAGTCGCCTGAGGACATCAAAGCGTGGATCGAAGAACGGAAGAAGCGCTTTCCAACCCAGGCGAGAGTCGAAGAGAAGAAGAAAGCCATGGAGGAGACTAAGAAGGCCCGAGAGGCGTTGCGGCAGAGGAGGTTGCAGCGACAGGAGCAGAAAGCCCCGCAGAAGGATTCAAAGAACCAGAAAGGGCGCGAGCAGCAGGGCCAAAAGGACGGGCAGAAGGATCCTAATGATCCTGTCGATATTGCTGCGAAGGCCAAGCTCAAAGCGGACAAGCTGCGGCGAAAATTGATTAGAGAAGAAAAGCGGGTCGCTAAAGCTGAAGCCGATGCTGAGAGGGCCCGTATGAAGGTGGAGGAACTCCAAAAGAGTTCAACAAGCACATCCGCCGATCAGGCTCAGCCTGTTGCCCCAAGAGAAACTGCCCCGGATCTTCTGATCAAGCCACCCGAGCCCACTACGCTACCAGCGGGTGCCCCAGCTGCGGAGCAGGTTCCTGCAAATGATGCAAACGCACAGGTTGCGGGAATTCAGGTCGACGACGGAGCCAGCGTATCGTCCCTAGACGACTCTGATAGCAGTGACTGGACATCTTCCAGCGGATCTGAATCATCTTCTGAGGGTTCTGATGAGAGCGACGATGATGCTGCACCTGAGGAAGCCACATCCAAACGCGAAGGGCCGGAGCGAGTGCCACCCCCGGCTCGCGAACCGAAGAAGAAGGTATGCCGGCATTTTGCCCGTAATGGTCGTTGTTTGAATGGGAATCGGTGCAAGTTCTCGCATGAACAGCCCGAGCGAGGAGCCAAAACAAAACACGCGGAGCAAAAGGGACGAAAGGGACTTCTTCAAGCGGTAAGTGTTCTTTGTCGGGCTCCCAAGTCCCGCACATCCCAACTAACAGGCACAATCATCAGCTTTTGGATCGTCAAAAAACCGAGGATGACCGTAAGGTGATGGAGGCAATTGTTTGGCTTGGAGAGAACGGCATGCTCGATACACCGAAGGAGCCAGATGACAGCAACGGCGCGACATCTCTAGCCGAGGAGGTAAAAGCTGCGCCCGGAAATGAGGAGCGCCAGGAGGATGAGGAGGTGGCAGTGGTGTCCGCGAGTACAGCTCCCGGACAGGGGGCCGATGCCGTTGCTACTCTCACGACGGCATAGATGAAGATGACTGCATGACTTATAGTTAGACGTTATTTCCAGCGCCATTGCAGCGGTAATGCGATATACATACATTCATACACACTTCTCATGTTTACTATACAAAAAACAATTGGTAGACCACACTTGCTATGCCCGGTACGGGGGAGCATGACGCCCGACACCATCCCGCCAAGTCCAGCAGCTGCTCTTCGCGGGTTTTCCCCACTGAGTCGGCTAGATCTTCTTAACGGAGCACCCTCCGGGCTCTTCGCTAGTAGGTTGGAGTTGCCCTACCGTACATCCTCCATACTGTACCTGTCCTTGCAATGACTGACCCACTCGGACACTCCGAACTGCGCGCCCGCGGTGGTGGGAAATGGAAAAGGACGAAGGTAGATTCTCTCTTCTCCTATCCCTCCGCTCCCGAAAATAGCCATGTGGCTTTCCTGGGTAAAGGCTATACGGAGTCCTCCTTTGTATGCCTTCGTACTTGCAAGCTCGATACGAGATGCGATGCTCGGACGCATAAGACCTGTCTGTGTCTGTTGGGATGGTTGTCATTGTCAGTGCCCAGTGGGCGAGGAGACCTGCTTTTTTGGCGGGAGAGCGTCCCGGAAAAGGGAGGGAAAGCGGATCAGACGTCGCGGGCGTTGAGCACGGAGGGAGGGGGGCCCTCCTTTCAGGAAGGGAGTTACTTCGGATATCATCATCATCATCATCATCATCATCATCATCATCATCATCATCATCATCATCATCATCATCTGCCTTTTTAATGAGAGGAGACTGGTGCGGGCAGGCAAGTTGGTTAGTTTGGTACGAGCGTTAAAAAGACGGGCGGGCACTCGGGAGGTGGGATTCGTGCAGACGATCCTTTACCAATTTCGGGTGCGATGGAAGTGGACGGGAGGGACGGGCGAATCGTTGCTGGAGCTGCCAGGTGGCTGATCTACCTTTGCAATGCGACTCATCTTGAGGAGCCCAGGATTGTACAGTACTACCTACAGGACTCCCTGACTGTAGACTGTCTGCAACCTACTATCGAGCTGAGGTCGAAAGTAAGTCAGGTCAACCTAACGCATTGCGATGAGATGGGATCAGAGTCTCGATCATGTCTCACTCTTAATCGAGGGCTGTCGAGGGCCAGGCTTCTTAGGTTAGACTGCTTTGACCCTTTTTTTTAATATATCGATGACAAGATCGGCTATGGTTCAGATATTTCTACTCGGTATGTAAGATAAGATACCCTACTGAAGTTGACATCCATCACCATTCGCTCAAAATAAGTCACAGCCATGTGTGTGCAACCAATGCGAACCACGGAAGCATCATGGAAGGCCACATTCCAGCCAGTCCACCACTGCACCTGGCAGCTGAGATGGCGATTTCAGTTCGGAAATTCCGCCCGAGCACCCTTAGAACCCTCCGAACCAGCGTTGATTCCGTACCCTTGCCGGTCACGGTACCGTATCGTACCCAAAAGTAAGGTACCAGGCACCGCCCAATGGGATGGGGACGGTGGGCAAGCGGCTACTAACTAACAAACCTTGCGCGTGGAGTGGAGACTCACCGAGGGTTCCAAAAAATCAAAATGATGTTTTTTAATCTTACATCCACTACGTAAACTGATCAAATCAACGGTGACTTAACGACGAGGGGTCCACTCCTCCTAGTGTCCAGACTCTAGACTCGAGACTCACTCACTCTACGGGACGGAATAGGGTCCATTGCTGAGAAAGCAGACTTGGTAGGACAGAACCACAACAATCTCAGTCTAGATCCCAATCTTCTGACTGAGGGGGTTCTATCAACATTTTCCTTCATGAATCTACATACTGTATCGTACGGATAGTGAGTCGTGATTCCGTGGTAGCTCAGGGTTTTCTTAGTACTATTCTTAGGGGGAGTATCTAAGCTCAATAGGGACAAGAGAACTGCAACAAACCATGGCGGACTCTCGATCTATTGATGATTTGACTTTCCACTTTCATCGCCACGGACCGGAGGGGGGCAAAGACTGGGGACTTGGGGACTCATGGAGACTTGAGGACACCCAATGCAGGCTAGTTTTGTAGGAGGTGGTCCGGTACGCTAAAATCAGGTCGACAAACACAGTCCCAAACTACTCGTGCTTTGCCTGGCTGTCAATTGCTTTGCTGCGTTGATCGGATCTGTTTATTAGTCCTTGGCCTTTCTCTCTCTCCTCCTTTTCCTTCCTTTCTTTTCTTTCTTCCTTTTCTCTCCCTTCCTTCCTTCCTTCCCTTCTTGTGCGACAGCCAAGTTCTTGCTTCCCTCCTCCGTTCATCAGCTCGTGTCTACTACTCACCCGGTTCACTCTTTTCTGACCGTCTGACTCCCAAGTCGCATCTCACTCACTTTCACTCTTTATCCCCCAATTCCTCCCATCTCATCCTTCGGACTTGCATCGATAAAATATCCCTTTCGGATTATATCAGATTCCATTGTCTATCTTAATCCCTCGCCCGTATACACTTATCAAGATGCGTTCTATGCTCTGCCTTGCGCTCGGCGCCATTGCTACTCTCGCCAATGCGGCCAGCAACCCCTTCAACGTTCCCGAGGGTGGCTACACCTTCACGGCCGGATCCCCGACTACTCTGACTTGGGATGCCAACTCCAATGGAACCGTCAGCCTGAGACTCCAGTGGGGCGCCGTCTTCACCACCTCCGACGGTGACAGCCTTGCCGGTGAGTATTTGCGGCCGCACCAATCGTTTACTATCAAGTACTGACTCCCTGTAGCGGGCATTGCCAACTCCGGTAGCTTTACCTGGACTCCTTCCGCCAGCCTGGTCAGCAGATCCGATTACGCGATCGAGATCATCAATGATGAGGACACGGATGACATCAACTACACTCCCCGCTTCTCCGTCGCCGGTGTCACCGGCGTTGTGTCCACCTCGACGGTCAAGTCGACGACTTCCAGCTCCTCGACCACTTCCTCTTCTTCCAGCGAGAAGACCACTGGCACCGCCACCACTCTGTCGACTGTGACCAGCACTGGCGCCGTCTCTTCTACTTCTTCGGGTTCTAACTCCACCGCTGCGACTGCCTCCAAGACTTCCACCGCGTCTTCTTCCTCTGGCTCGTCCAGCACTTCGGGCACCACCTCTGCCACTGCCTCTAGCACCTTTGCCCCCGCCAACGCCGGCGTGGTCAACCGGGCGTCCACTGGCATGCTTGCGTTGATTGTTGCCGCTATCGCTCTGGTCTAGAGGGCGGCCGAGAACGAGAACCATTATCGATCATGGTTGACTTATACATTACTCTTTTTCGCTTCTAGTACATAGTTTTTGAGCGCCTTCTTTCACGCTTCGACCATCTTCACTTCTCACACCCCTGTTTTTCTACCTCACAACTTTTCCTCCACTGCACGATGTCATTGTCAAGCAATTCTCGAGTCAGCGAACCTCTCTTAATATGGGACGATGCTGTGGTATTTTCATTTTACAATTATCACTCCACTGTTATACTCCGGTTGGGCGGAGCTAATGGTTTTGAACGTCGATTTGTATGGTACGAGGATGTAGATATGGATACTGTAATGAATGACACCGGTCTTCTTCAAGATGAGCACGTTCGAGAGGCAGCTGTCACGAGGGATGATCCCCGGGGAGGCGTTTGCAGGAATGTGGGTGACAGGCAGGATACCTCGGTAACGGCGTCGTGCCGCAACCTGCCGGGGCATGCGGTGTACCTGCGTCGCCTGCCGACAGTCCACCAATCCCCGCATGGTAGGCAACCAAGCATCACAATGCCAGTCTAGTTGCTATATAGTACATGCTATAGTGTATGTAAGCTGACCCTAGGCGGGGTGGGGCCACCAGCACCAGCACCAGCAGTTAACTACGGAGCTCCGTACGGATTTCACCTATCCCACCCCCCACAAGAAGGAACCTAGAAGGGAAATTGGCAGACGGCAAGAGGAAACAAAGAAATGATTGAACAATAGGATGATAAAGAGAATAGAACGGAGCCTCCAGGACCAGCGCCCAACAGAAGCAATTACTCAGTCAGTGTACTACGCCTAGTTCCATTGGTGGACGCCTGGAGGGTAAATCATTTCAATAATTGACTACTATTATTATACTCGAGTAGAGAGTAAACAAATCAGACCGTTAAGACGCTCGGGTTCTTCCATCTGAATGGTTGGTGGGCCTCGAACCGGAAATTAAAGCGCTCTCGGGCCCGGAGGGGAGGAAAAAAAAAACTGAGCCTCTCGAGGTCAGCTCTGTGAGTGTAAGGTATTTTGACATACCGTATTTGTTTCGACTCCGTAGGCAAGGTGGGTATCGCAGCGGTACGGACTTACGGTATGTAATTTTACCTCTTGACACGGTCACGGTGGTTGGTGACTTTCCTCGCACGATGGATGTGATTTATCATCGAGTACGTAGTTAGCTATTGATGATTCGGATATGGGAGGCAGCAGCAAGCAACAGAACTCAAGCTTTTGGGGGGGGAGGATTGAACTGGTGGAGAAAGCGAGCGAGCGAGGACTCGAGGCTGAGCCCACCTCTTCTGTGTGGAACTGGTATCTATCTCCGAGGCCATCATTCCCCCCGGGCCCCCCCTGACTTATATACACCCCATTCTAACTGAATCCAGCTCGTTCCTCCATCTAGTCGTTCTCCTTTTTGCCCGAAAGTCCGCCGCTAGCCTTTTAGGTTCATCTCATTTCCTCTGAGGTCACTTTCCTTCCAAATGTTACTTGAATTTACTAGTCGTTGCTCATGCGTTCGTCCGTCGGACTGGGGTTATGGTTCTACGCTGATTGACTTACTGGTCGGCTTCAAGCACAAGGGGATCCGTGGACGTCTCCCTGGAAGAGCAAGATCCACCTACCGTTCTGACCGAGCATGACCATGGGCGCTGCTAAGAGATGCTCGGTTACAATCAGCAGGCTCTACTCCGTATAGTGGTTCGATCCCTAGGGCAAAGGGGGTGGATCGGATCCCTCTAATAAGAGATGGATTATGAATGACATTGCCGACGGCCTTCAGATCGCCCCCACGCTACCTACCTACTATGTACCTACCTACCTGCCTACCTACCTACCTACCTACGCATCTAGCACTATGAATGCCGAGACCGGTCCCATTGTTGAAAGCTTAGCTCGGTTACACGGGCTTAGGTCTGGTTAAATTAGTTCTAGTTTACTGGGGTTGTTCGTGGTTTGTCGAACTAACTACGAACTTAGTTGCTACCTTAGGTGGGCAATGCTACTCTTGGACTCTAGTTAACCATACTATCGTGCGCATGGGGGGGGTGTTTCTTGCATATGATGGCGCCTTCGGTTTGCTGGCTGGTGGGGGGGCGTGGTTGGCGAGGAACGGAGGTACGGTTTGAATACCGTTTCTCATGGTTTGGCAGTATTGCAGGTGGGTGGGTTTGTGCCATTGCTTTTCGCTGGTGTGGATGGGTATGCAGATGCGAGATTGAGAAAGAAAAAAAAGACAGAAAGAAAAGAAGAGCTTGTTCTTCCTTGTAGGGTCGATGCAGACAGGGAAAGTATCCCGTTTAGCTTTGCCGGTGTCCTTTTGCATACTGTGGTCTGTGGATGCACGAGGGAGACTCGGTCGATTGAGCACTACGTAGTGGGCGGTGCGTTCGAGACAGGTGGTCTAGGAGCCTGGGGTTAGGACAACGAAAAGGGATGGAGAGTGAGCGCGGCGTGTTACTAGGGAGACACTTTGTCGCATTTTTGGTTCTTGTGCTTTGTAACTTATGATAGGTTGCGGGTTGGTAACGGTTCTTATATTGACTACTTACCGTGTGTATGAGCATGGATGGTGGAAGCTGGGCTGTCCTAGTACACAGGAAGAACAATGGGATTCCTGTCAAAAAGGTGGATCGAATTGTCCAGCACATTGTAAAGGAAAATAAATAGGATAAGATGATGTAGGCAGAATGTGATCAGACCTGCGAGGAAGTATGACCACACAATTTGATCACCACGACCTGAAACAGCAGATTTGCCTAACCTTTTGCATTGCCCATGCATCTTCCTCCTCATAGGGAGCGAGTTGACCCCCGAATCAACAAAAATAGTGGCCAATTCCTTCCAGGAAGGTAGAAGGAAGTGCCAAAAGAAATGTCCCGAGGGAGGTTCGAACTCCCGGCCTTGGGATATCAAGGAAGTTGAAGCTTCCATGTCATACTGCGTATGAGACCCACGTGATAACCAACTACACCATCGAGACAACTCGTTGGAAAGCGTCATGTCATTGATGCTTATATACAGACATCTTGCTCCCGCCACGGAAAGATCTCTTACTTGCAATAGGCTTGCATCCCGCGGCGGACAATTGACACCAACTACAGGCACTAAATTAAAGGTTGTAAATTACATGATTGAGAGATCGTCTATTGGCACAATGTGATAATCCATTCCGGAAAGTCCAGGTTAAGCTTCCTTCGAGCAACGGGATGATCCATAAGCTGTACAGGTTCTATCAAGTGTCTCAAGCACTACCAACAGGAGCCGCGCTGTTCCCTGATGTGGCACCGCGACTCGCCAGTGTCGTTTGCTGTTCTTGCTGTGGCTGCGCTGCCTTGGGGCGCCATTTGGCCAGCACCTTGCCAGCAGCGGGGCGTGATTCCTCATCTGCGTTAAGACAAATTAGCTTAAACGACGAACAGGTAGCGAAGAACACGGAACGTACAGGTCTCGTATACATGCTCCAAGGCATTGAGACATATCTCGCGGGCCGGTGGTCGAAACATAATTAGATACCTGGTGACGGTCAGCATAAAGGGTCGCCGAGTTTCCCAGCAGTTGACCTACAGTAGTGATTGAACACATAGATTGACACGCTCGGGGTCCTTGGCAAGACTAGCGACCCGCTGTGTGATGGGTATTGTCACCTCCGGAATCTCACTCAAGAAGCGGATGAAGATCTTGGTGTCTCGTGAATCGATATATGGCAAGAACCCATCCAAGAGTCTCAAGACCCAGTGGTCATAGAACAGCGGCACAGTAGCTTCCTCGTCCTCTGGCCTCCGCTGCGAGGCAGTGAACTGCATCTGTACCCGGTCATTGTACCACTCTTCGTTCAACCACATGATGCCCACATTCACCCGGCCCCGGAAGTCCTCCAAGATGTACCGATATAGAGTCTCCCGGATTGTATTAGAGATCGTTGCCTTGCCTCGACTCGATGCATCTTGTCCGAATTTCCCTGTCCCCGTTTCCAGGCCTGCTGGAGCTCTTGTGGCGAGTCGGGTGAGTAGAGTGACCCAGGCGTCTCGATCGAAGGTGCTACCGGCCAATCGAGCAAATCCCGGCTGCTGCTGATTCTTTCCCTTCGCCGGATTCGAGGCGACTGCACTAGACGCTAGCATACCGAATACTCTCCCGACAGCACTGCGTCCAACGTCTGCAGCCTCGGCCTCTGATAGCGGAGGGGGCTGAGGTAAGACGAACGGTCCCAATGAGACAAGATCTGGCTGAATTTCTGCTACTTCGGCCGCCACAGCATCCGCCTGCTCGCGCGCCGGTTCTGCAACGTCCATAGGTTGGTACTCTGGCTCGTAATCGTCGTCGTCGTCGGCAGCCGCTGCCGCTGCCGCCGCCGGAGCCTGCACGGCCTGTCTCTTCTGAATTGTCTCGTAGCGCATGCGAATGGCCTATTGCCGGGTCAGTATATTGCTTCTGCGTCCTGACGTCTTGACCTACATCGATAGACTGGGTCAACGCCGACTGATCCACTCGAGCGAGAATGGGAACGACGATGTTGACAAGGAGATCTGGAGGTAGTTGCTTGACATCAAAGCGTGAAGCTTCAGCATCCTCCGTCAGGGTAAAGAGCTGCGAGTAACTGGTTGGGCCAGGAGGAAGTGGCGGAATTTTGACCAAGGGCGGCGTCTCTGCGTCAAGTTTCGTTCGTTTCGTTTTGTCAAGCCCGTCCGTGGGTTCGGCAGGTGGTCCACGTTTCCTTGTTGCGTCGTCGACGATCTCGAGGCGTGAGTTCTTCAGCCGATCGACGTGCTGTTCCATCTTACGAAAGAATGGATGGTTGGCATTCCTAGACAGTCTTCAGCACATAGTACAGGTTGACTGTACATCCTTGTCTCACCTCTTCATTATATGTTCGAGAACGGCCCTGGCGGTTCTTTCCATCGATTTGACTCCGACCCGGATAGCGGGAGTTATGGGTGGGCGTACTTGTCTCGCAGGGAAGAAATTCATGATCGCATTGATGATTTTGTTGCCGATGGACTGCCGACTGCGGATGAGAACTGCCAGGCAGTTCAGTGTTGCGTTCACGAGGATGGGATCGCTACGGAGACATTAGCAACATTCCCAGAAGTTCCCAGTTCTCGGTCAAGAGAAAGTACCTCGATTCTTCCTGCAGAGCAGACAGAAGTCTATCCAGAAGTCCAGAGGCTTCTGCCTCGAGGTTAGGAAGTGACAAAACGGGATGATTGCGAGACACGATAGCCAAGGAGGTTTCGTTCTGGTCAGGTCGCTAGGCAATAAAGGAACAACCATTAACTTCAGATCGCACAAAACACCTCTGACCGGATCCTGTGTACGTACTCTAGGGTCCGCAATCGGTCCATGGGTCTGCACTTGAACCACGCGTTGAACGAACTTGATGCAACAGATCTTGACCTGCGAAGGAAAGGAGTCCCATCGCCGCAGGATACCCTGTTTGATAGCGGTCATATTCTCCCACATGGCTCCATCTCGCGGATGGTTTATACTGCAGCATTGAAGTGTTAGTGGTTGCGCCCAACAAGAAAGACAATTTAGGCATCACGTCTGCTTCATGCGAGCGTCTACGAAGGCTTTTTTTTTTTCCAGGAAGGGAGGTCTCGGGGCAGTGAACAAGAAGCAAACGCCGGTGACCTACATATGCCTAAACACCAACGGATACAGACTGGCAGCACTCTGCACTATATGTTTCAGGACCAAGGGATCTCCTTCCGGTAACTCCAGTATCTCGCGCTGCGCCTGTAGGACGTTGGCGGCCAGCTGCTCCTTCTGTGTCGAGGCCAGCGCCGGGCTAGAAAATGTTTCGGCCAGAAACTCCGCGCCCCATCTCCGCAGTTCTAGTCGCGCACGCGATCCGATTATAGGAAGAACACCGTTCACAATCTGGGGGTAGAAGGCGGCATCGCCCAGAACGAGATTGCGGGCAGCATTAAGCTGCGCGATCTGATCGACGAGGTGATCGGCCGATTGAGCCATTACGACTCCGTTCAGCGGCCGGTGATAACGGCCTGGCAGAAGACGGGCGAGCGAGGCGGGGTTTGCAGATTCAATGCTGATTGTCACCGGTCAAAGCTGTCTACGCAGGGAAGTTAGGTGCCAAGGCACGGAGCTTATAACACGGCCGCGACGACTATTTGTCCCCGAGACACATACGAGGCGTGGAGAATGTCGGAAACGTTCGCTGAGAGAGACGTATGCAAGAGATCCCGGGTCGATTGGAGAGATGAATTGCTGGCGAGATCAAAGGTGGATGGCGGTGGAGGGGGGGAAACGAGGAGAGGAGAGGAGAGGAGGTTAAACGCGGAACTGGATTGATTGTATGAAGAAGCCGAGACCCAGACAAAGCCAGGCAAAGTCATGCTCCTCCCAGTCACGTGCCATGCCTCCCGCTCATGGCAGCTGGCAATCATCACATCATACAATGATAACGTGCACTGGCTGCAAAATAAACATTCTGTTCTATGTCTTTCGGGGGCTGCTGTGAAAATAATGCTTGAGGGTCACATATGACCTGTCAGGTCATGCAGTCAGACTTGATCACGAAGGCCAATTGACGCACTATAAGAGGCGAGGCAGCCAATCGTACTATATATTGTTAGCACAATATACAATATAGCATTGATGGAAGTCATACCCAACATACGCCGGTACTTCACGGATATAGACGGTCAGTATGGGAATCCAAGCACAGTGAGCCCTGCTCATATAATTAATATTCAAATCAAATCAAACCCCACCGACATAATTGTCTTCTGTAGTAGTGTATCTCCCCGCAGCGACGGACAACTGGTCCGACCGGCCAGGAACGCCAAGCCCGGCGGCATCCCATCCAATTTCTGGAGGAATCCAGACTGTCATCCAATCTTTCGGCCTTTAACGATCGGATCGTCTCTCGTTCCTCTTTCCTTCATACCCTTCCAACCCAGATCCATCCGGTGATAACTCGAGATCGAAGCACTCTTGTCAAAATGGCCTCTGGAATGTATGTTCTCCCTTCCCCCCCCCGCCATTCCCTCTCTTCCAAATGCGACAGTCAACTCAACCCAACCCCGGCAATCATGCCACCGTCTCGCCGCGAATTCACGAAACCGCTTCATGAGAGCACAATTAGAACATACTGACACCGATTGATGCCGCTTACAGCTTTAACTCCACCTACTACGGCAAGGACTACCGCGCCGGAGCCGCCCTCCTGCGTGCCCGCCGGCCCTACCTCGTCAAGAACGCCATTACCGGCCTGTGCCTCGTCGGATTCACCATTGGTGTCTGTATGTTCATCCACAGGTCCTCCCTCGTGTTTGCACCAGTCTCCCATCGATCTCCCAGGAGCTGGAGCTAACCATCAACCTCCCAATCCCAACAGATGCCTACACCATCCGCGCCGTCGGCCAGGATGAGTTCTCCGACGTCAAGGTCCCCGAGACCCCCGCCAAGCCCCAGCAGAAGCAATAGACGGAAGTTCATAGACATCCCTTCCTCTTCTCCTGCTTGAATGCAATTGATCGCAATCGCTTGAACTGTTGGGTGCTATCGTCGCAGAGAAGAAATAACGGAGCGTGGGGTCGTGGAGTTGTATGGTCATCTTCCTCTACGCGTGGGGCTATCATCATCCGGGCCCGGGTTGGCTGTGCCTGGATGGGCTTCGCCTAATTTCAATGGACTCATATACATATACACCGAAGCCTGGTTGCCCGCCGGAAGATGGTGTATATCCCTCGCACTACTGGTACGACTCGACTCCACGGATAACCGCAAGCGATTGAAGCCCGGCCAGCTGTCAGATCAAGTTCAAGATTATTCGATATACCGCAGATCAAGTGACAGGCCCCCAAGTGATACGTTCAAACAGCAGGAGTGCTTCCGCAAATCTTTCCCGCTTGTCATTGACACTCATCTCTGCTCATTTATTCCCCCTCAAAGTTTAGCTTCTGTTTTACGAGATAGGTTTCATGTGTATATTATCCAATCCTGAATCGGTGTTTCCGTCTGCGCTCTTGCTCAGCAGGTAACAATGATGTAGGCTTTTTTATACAACCCAGCGGCTCCACACTATGATGAAGTGAAGCTGCACAGCTAGTTTGGCTTATGTCGATCAAATACAGGTTATGATGAAACATCTAGTACACAAGGGATCACTTTCATCGTCCCGGATACTCTATCTGCTACATGAACAACAAGCAACAACTCTCCCCTACTCGGTTCTCAGAACACGAGGGCCCTTCTTCTTGGTCGCACGCTTGCGCTTGTGGCCGCGGTCAAATGCGACTGCGTTGCTGTGGTCTCGGTTCAAGTTGTCCAAATCCTTGACCTTGTAAATACGAATGATCCAGTTCTCACTGGTGAAGGCCTCCTCGAGGGTGGACAGCTGGGGTCCCTCCGCCGGGAGCTTCGCACCACGGACACGGTCCACGGCCTGACCGCCCTGGAACATGGTGTGGTAGTTGTAATAGGACATTTTGTACCTAGCTCATCGTTAGTGTTTGCTCCCAATCCCAGAGAAGGATATCCTTACATCAAGCTGTTGCGCATGGTAGGTGTGGCTTGATCATCTACACGGTATTCACCGCGAGCAGTGAAGAAGTCACGCTCCTTGACCTCATCGGGCCAAATACCTTCGGCGATACGAACCATCCACAGGAACTTGTTGATATCATCACCGGAGTAGCCCAGCAATCCACCGAAAACCACCAGGACGTAGTCGACATCGTGCTGCCGAAGAATGGGGTAGCTGACCTCCTCCCGGGAGCTCATCGCCTTTCCAACGGTGGCAATGTGGGTGTTGTTCCAGGTGTTGTTGTCAACGAGAGTGGGGCGGTCAGCCATACCACCGATTTGATAGCCATAATCCCACCAGGACATGACCTTGGCATTGTGCGGAGTGTTCTGGCGGAGCCAGTAGTAGGCCTCACGGTAGTCGTCGATGATGTGCTGGCTTCCATCCGGCATCCGGCTGGCCAGAACCACGGATGGGGAAGAGTAGGCGTTGGAAGTGACCCAGGTGCAGTGCGCGACGAACAGGAGAAGATAAATAATCGCGGACGATGTCACCACCAGCTTCGAGAGGTAGGATGTGACTCCAACGTCCGGCTTTCTTGCAGAACGGAGGGGCTCCGATGAGGTGTCCTCAACAGCCTTTGCCTTGGGATTGGGGCCTGGGCTGGCAAGAACGTAGGTATCAAGAATAGTGGAAAGAGCCAGGGCAGCAGCGACACAGACGATAGGGGTCAGCGTCAGCATCAGACGAACCATGACACCAGCAAAGTAACTGGCAAGAACGGAGTAGATGATGACGAAGACGTGCTCGTCCTTGAGATCACGGAAGCACATGTAGACACCGGCTGGAAAAAGCCAAATCAAGAAGTTGAGATCGAAAAAGAATGCTGGCCAGGCGGTAGGCTGGTGCTCCGAGACCGATGCGATGATAGGGATATGAATCTTTGCGTAACCAGTATCCCACAGCGAGTAGAAGCGACCACTCCAGGGAGCAATGACTCCAGAGACAGTGAGGACAACAAGTCCCACAAATGCAGCGCCGAAAACGACAATGATCATGGTAGTCAGGAGTCTCTGGAAATGCTTGCCCGGAATAAAGCCTCGCACGAAGTCGGCAAATGCCACCAGTTGAAGCAAGCCGAAGATACCGAGAGCAGACATGTGGTCACTGTTCCGGATGGGCAAGAATCCAACGAAAGGAATTTGCATGCTTGCCAAAGTGCCCAAAGCATACCAGGTGGTGTAACTGATATAGATGCGCGAGCTGTATCTACCCATGCAAAGGAGAACGAAGACGTGCAGAGGAATCAAGTTGGTGATGAAAACATACCCTCCCCAAGCCGACACCATGTAGCCGTAGAACAGGGCAGTCAATGCACCCCACATGATAGAGCCATTTTTGACAGCCTTGATCCACAGGAAGAAGGTGAAGACGAGCAAGAAAATGGCGATGGCCTCGTTGTCATAGCTGCCAGCAACCGAACGAGAGATATAGCCAGGGACGATGCCCATGAAAGCAGCCGCAAGCAGACCGGCAGATGGCGATGTGGACATCTCACAAGTAAGGAAGTACATCGCCAAAGCAGTCAAGCCCGAAAATCCAGGAGCAAGCAAGACACAAATGTTACGGATGTCAACGGGGATGGTCAGGAACCGCAGAATGTGGTAGATCACGCCGCTGGTCACCATCAGGCCGGGATATAGTGTACCGCCCGTAACACGTCCCAGAGGGTGCCAGGTTCCTAGAAAGTTCGACGGTGGTCAGAATTGAGGATTGCTTGTCCAAGGACTTCGCCATTGCATTCTCTTGGAACAACGGTCATTGCTGGCGATGAAGCAACTTACTGTCGTCAAACCAGTCCCAGAAGCTGTAGAAGCCATGTTGAACCAAGTATTTGGTTGCCCTGAAATTGAACCAAGGATCGACTAGTAGGCAAGGCCATATCAGCGTCAATTCCAAGGCGATGGAGCCGGATATGATGTGCAATCGCGGGCCGCGGAGTGAGCTCAAGGTGAATGTCGGGTAATACTTCAATAGGTCGGTCGGTGTGGGAGCAACGTACATTCGTGAATAATACTTTCAAAGCCTGACGTAGAGGCAGTTAGCAACTTCAATCGTATCGGTTAAATCGGTGCCAATAGAGCTGGTGGTTCATACGAATAACACTGAACAATCGACTGGACACAGCGGCAGCGGCAATAGTTCCCAGAATGATAATCCGCAGTAGACCGCGAGTGTTCCTGCCGGTGTTACCCTTTAGAAGGACATTGAGGGGTGATTCGGCCATAATGGCCAGGAAGTAAAAATCAAATTTCCAATTGGGAAAAGTGATAAGCGAGTGACTCTCGTCCTGCCTAGGCGGTTCGTTGAGAGCGAAGTTGAAAGGGAGAGAGACCGGGGGAGATGGAGTCGAGACTGGAGCTTCGCAAGGTGGTCTCTTCTGGGGTCTTGGCACGCCAGGTACGTAAGTCGCAAGCCGCCCGTTGCGGTTTTGGGGAACCTCCGATTGTCCCCGCACCGCATCATTATCATTGCCAGCCAGCCAGCCAGCCAGCCAGCCAGCCAGCCAGCCAGCCATACTGACGATCCCGCTTCTACTCCCCTACACCACCGGTCTTGATCTGCTGCGAGGGTCGTAGTGTCACGGAATCGAGTTGTCAAGAATGAACAACCCGCCACTTTCGCAAGAGCAGCTTGCTGCAGCGATTTCATCGGCCGCTACACCGTCCAAGCTCTTCGACATACTCTCCCCATACGAGGAAGAAGCATATCTCCTCTCCTTTCAAGATAACAGACAGGCAGAGCTTCTGAGCCAATTCTATGCCGCTTACTTCTTGTCTCATCTACTGACAGATCAAATGTAAGCACTTCGATGCCGATCATCGATCACTTGTCAGAATTCTCACATATCTATCAGTTACGAAGCCCGCTTTCTGACGAAGCGAATGCCACAAGACCTTTTACAGACAGACGACTCCCTGCAAAACTGCGTGGCATTACTGCGGGCAATTTGGCAGCACAAACATGAGTCCGTCTACACGATATTGAGAGAGTTGCCATGGCCTGATACACTGAAGCCGATAGTACAGATTTATGACAGTAAGTGACGATACTTTACCAGAACATTTAATAGTCTTCTCCGAATGCTCTTGCTCACATGCTTGAAGCATATTTCCAGGAAAAGACGTTGCGAGAAGTAAGCAGGGCATATGAAACAATCAGACCTGCAACAGCTGCAAGCTACCTCGGTCTCGACCCCGCGGCCACAGAGCGAGGAGACCCAGCCACGATAGGAAAGCTCATGGCTCATGGATGGACCCAGGACGAACAAACCAGACTACTACACCCCAACACTGTCGTTGATGACTCTCAGCAAGATGACCAGCTGTATAACGATCTAAGTGAAATAATGGCCTTGATTGGCAGTCGTCGTGGTTGAAACCCTGCGGATCACCAGGGGATCGATTCCTCACGAATGAGACCATAACGATAATACCCTCTAATGAAGACTAAAGGCTGGAATATAAGAGACAAACGTGCAGAACAATGGTCTTCTAGCAAGCGTCCTATGAAGTACCATAAACGGCCTTTGAATGCCCCCCCAGAGCGGCACCACGCGCAAGGGCAGGAAGTCATGCAGGGGTACGCAAGCAGTACGGAAGGATCAGCAATGAAACCGAAGCATACAACTGAATCTCTTGCTCTTCTGGCCCAACTGTAGTGTACACATGCACGACAGCCCAGGGTATGTACAGATGCGGGGATGATGTCTATAGTGGAAAAAAGAAAATCATTCCTTTCGCTCGCAATGACACGACTCTGGGAAATTAGACCAACAAACAATAATACATAACCGGGATCATCCCGCAATCTCTCCTCGATACCTTGTCAGGTTCCGGTCGGGGGAGAGATAAAAGCAAATCATCTTCTCGCTGTATACTTCCAAACATATCTAGTTCTCACCGGCCTTCAGCTTCAGGAAAGCCTCAAGGTCAAACCGGCTGTCCTCGGGATCCGTAATCACTGCACACAGTCACCAATTAGCGTCCATCGGAGGGGGCCATGCTGGCCATTTCAAGGGAGGAGCGAACGCGGATGAATCGGGTTGTGCTCAGAGCTTAGGGGAGAGCGAGAAGAGACATACCGCCGCTGTTCGTCTTGGAATCCTTGGGCGCCGTCTTCTTCTTCCATTCGGCCTTGGCCTGCTCGATCAGGCGCTCCTGGCGGGCATATTCACGCTCGGCCTCTGCGTGCTTGGCGGCGGAGGTGAGGGAGGACTGGTGGTAGAAACCGTAGACGAGACCGGTAATCAGAGCCGAGTAGCGGAAAACCTACAAGGCAATTGAATAGTGTTAATAGTTGAAGGCCATACTGGAGGGGGGTGGTATTGGGTTGGCTGGATTGGGCTGGATTGGGATTGGAGTATGTATCAGAACGGGCCCTGGCGGAGACTCACGTTGACACCCTGAGAAGCCATGTTGATTGAAGAGAGTCCCTGGGCCTCCGGAGCGGCAATCAAACAGAATTAGTGAGAGAAGAAGGATCGAAGCCGGATTCCGAGCGACCGGTTTGGAGGGTATCGACAGTCAATGGCTGGCAATGCGGACTGGGATACTGAAGCTTGTAAAGACGAAGTTCCTGTCGCGAGTTTTTCCGGACCGTCGGTCTTGCTGCGCTTATGTCATCCGACCACTAACTAAGTTAACCCGGACTTTGGCATTCTGGGATTCTGGGAGAAGCGGGACGGGGGGGGAACTGGGAGAGAGGAGAGGAGGGAGGGTCGGGAACGCGACTACGGTAAGTTAAGAGACCCCGTTCCACTTCCACTCCCCCCCCCCCCCTCTCTTAATTACTTAACACTCACCCCAAAAGTCCCGAAGTAAATAAACGAAACAACACAACCAATCCACCTTATTCTGTACCCAAACGTGGTCTGAACGGATCTCCTCCGTTCTGATCTACTAGGTGCATATTCATCTCACATTATGTCTTCGTCAATACAACAGCGCAAGGCTGAAATCCTTGCTAAGAAAGCCAAACTCGCCGAACTCAAGCGCCAGAGGGAATTGCGCCAGAGAGAATTCTCTCAGGTTCGCGCCAATAGCGGTGATGCCTCTGAGGTAAGAGGCCCCTATGCCAAATTGCGAAATTTCTCTTCTACTCGGGCTGGAAGACTTAGCTCTATTATTTACCTAGGTCGTATCGCCAGTCCCGAGTCGTGCGGACAGCAGAGCTGAGCTCGACGACTTCATTTCCCGTCTTGTCGACCGCCCCGGATCAGCTTCGATCGGCCACGGTGCCGATGGCCTCTCGCGCAAAGGCAGCCGACCAAACTCCGTCCTCAGCGCCAGCCAGTTGAGCGGAGATAACGCCGAAGCTTTCAGCCCTCCTGCGCGAACCGTTTCCCATTCAATCGCAGTCCAAACCGTCGGAACCGAGCTTTTTGTCGCCGCCCCCGAACCGCAACCTGCCCCTGAGCCTAAACCCGAAATTGTCACCTACAGCAAAGCAGTGCAAACCGATGATCTAAAAGGACCTGATGAGATATCTGTCGACTCCGACGATGAAGGTGACACGAAACGCTCCGGCAAGAAAGTCAGTGAGCTTGACGACGAAATTCTGAAGAAGCTTCGCAGAGAAATTGAGGAGGAACTGCAGACAGCCCAACGGAAATCCGAGAATGAAAATGGGTCTGAAATGGCAAAAATGCGGTATCCGCTGCGCACACTGGACGAAGATGAACTCAAAGCTGTTACCTCGTCGGACGACTTCTTAGACTTTGTTGAACGGTCGGCAAAAGTGATTGAGCGGGCATTGGATGAAGAATATGATGTTCTGGCAGATTACGAGCTTGGAGGTGTCGATGGCGAGCTGGACGATGACGACGAGCATGGCAAGAAGAGACGAGGTATCCGAGAGGTCTGTCAATTCTGGGATGAACGATGGAGCAAGAAACGCATGATCAGCGATTTGAGCTTCTCTCCAAAGGTCTGTCACACGCGTCGATGCCGACTAATCGCAAGACTGATGAATTCTACAGTTCCCGGAACTCGTTCTGGCCGCGTACACCAAGAACCCCTCTGCGCCCCATGAGCCCGACGGCCTCGTCCAAATCTGGAACCAACACCTGCACTCCCGCCCAGAGTATGTTTTCCATTCAACCTCCGACATATTGGCCGCGAAATTCTCTCCCTTTCATCCCAACCTGATCGTTGGTGGATCATATTCGGGCCAGGTTCTGCTGTGGGACACCCGTTCGTCGCGAGCAGGTGGAGGCGCGCCGGTTCAGAAGACGCCCCTGACCGGCTCCGGACATACCCACCCTGTTTACAGCATCTCAATAATCGGCACCCAGAATGCCCACAACATCCTCACAGCATCTACGGATGGTGTTGTCTGTGGATGGACTGTTGATATGCTCTCACAGCCTCAAGAGTATCTGGAGCTGTCCACACCTCCTCCGTCTAAAACCGAAGATCTCGCACCCACAACCATGTCATTCCCCCAATCCGACCCGACATTCTTCATTGTTGGCACCGAAGAAGGAGGAATCTACCCGTGCCACCGTTATGACCGAGCGGGGGCTAAGGCTGGTACCGACCATCGTTTGGCGTATCGTGGCCATGCTGCGCCGATCATGTCCACTGCGTTCCATCCGGCACGCGGCCCGGTCGATCTGGGTGATCTATTGCTCAGCTCGAGTTTAGATTGGAGCGTGAAACTTTGGCGTGTGCGGCCCCCAGCCACGACCGCCCCGGCTACGTCGGCCATAGCCACGACTCAAGTCGTTTCTCCGATCCTTGAGATCAATCGCGAAGATGTGGTGTACGATGCCAAATGGTCTCCTCACCGCCCTGGAGTCTTTTCTCTTGTCGATGGTGCTGGCAACCTCGAGGTTTGGGATCTCTACACGGACACAGAAGTCCCGGCGGTGAAGACGACGCCTTCTAGAGGCCGCGGAGGCATTCTTACAAGGAGTCTCAACAAGGTGGCTTGGGAAGAGCGAGAGGGTAGACGCATTGCCACCGGTGGTCTCGACGGCGTGGTGACGGTTTTCGAAGTCGGCAAAGGCCTTAGCGGTACTCCGGAAGATGTGCGCGCAGATGAATGGACAGGGATGAAGAAGCTCGTTGGACAATGGGAGCAGAAGGACCGCATGAACTGATGTGTCTTGGCTCCATGTCCCGATGATCCCTATGCTTAGTGAAGCATGGGTCAGCGCCACTTCGATTGCTTCGCCATGCTTTTTCACCCGGTCATCCCTTGCACTCAGCACTTCACCTCCCTATTTTTGATCTTCTTCATACCGATGTGTACCAAATTTCGAGCGGCGCCTTGATTCACTTTCTCATATACCCCGCGGGCAGCTTGTTGTTGATGTATCTATGCATGTTTAGGGCAGGCGAACAGAGAAGCATCTTTCTAGAGTGTATAATAGGTAGCGACTGCATTTCTCAATGCGATCAGTCTGAGGTCGAATGCGTTCATAGTCCTTCCTCAATAAGGAAATTCTTGGCCCACCAGCTTCTCGCTCAGTCTTCAAAGCCTCTCGGCCCCGAAGCTGCTGGTGGTCCATGGCTTGACCGTATCCACCAAGGGGTCAGCCACATGGCAATCAATCAGATACGCGCCATTGACAGCTGCCATTTCGTTAGCAATCATGCAGACACGGGTCAGACAATCGATGGCCTACCCTTCAAACTTGGATCAAATGCGGCATAGAGATGAGTCGCCGCGCCCCTCTCGAGATTCTTCGCGTCGAATTCGTCCTTCCAACCTTCCCGATTACCAAGTGACCGGTCCACAGCCTCTATACACAAGGCAACCCATTAGCCGAGATGAACCGTTTTCCCGCATCCTCAATGATACGAACGATCAAAGAGAGAGAGGGAGAGAGAGAGAAGAAAAGAAATGATCCTGCAACATACGAAGCTCCTTCATCCCAACACTCCAATCCACATCCCTGTCCAGATTGGTAAAGATGACCCCGGGATGTAAACTGAACGCCTGCAGGTTACACTTCAACCCCAGCTTCTGCGCCAGCGAGCGGGCAAACAACATGTTGGCTGTTTTGCTTTGCCCGTAGGCACGCCAGCGATCATAGCTTTTCCCTTCCTGCGTCTCCCAATTGTGTCAGCTTGGAACTTTTTGTTCTCTCTCTTTCACAGCAGGATTCTTGTGCTTGCGGAACTCTCTCTCCGACGAGTCGAAACAGCAGTAAACGGCTTACATGGAAATTCCAATCGTCGAACCGCACCGGATTCAACCGATGACCGTCGCTGCTCACGACGACCACGCGGGGGCTCGGCGCGGCCACGATCTTCGGCATGATCAGGTTGGTGAACAGGAACGGGCCGAGGTGGTTGGTCGCCCAGTGGGCCTCGAAGCCCTCGGCGGAGAGGCGGTAGTCCGGCACGCCCATGATGCCCGCGTTGTTGACCACGACGTCGATGGCGGGGAGGTCGTCCCATCCGTTGACCTCGGCGGCGGCGGCGCGGACGCTCGCGAGGGAGCCTAGGTCGATCTGTAGGGTGCGGATCTGCGTGGTTGGCTGGCTGGGGCCGGTGCTGGTGGTGGTGTTGGCTCGGAGCGCCGCGGCGGTTTGGGCGAGTTGATCGGGATTACGGGCGGCAAGGATGAGGCAGGCAGGTTGGGCTTGGGCGAGCGACTGCACGAAGAAGCCGCCGAGGGAGTTGGGGGAGACCCCCGTTGTGAGGATGACTTTGCCTTTGATGAGGGGGGCGTAGTCGCTTAGGAGTTCGGCGGTGGTGGTCTGGGTGGTGTATGGCGGTGGCATGTTGGCTTTTGTTGTTTGGTGGTGGGGGTGAAATGGCAAGGTTTCAGAGAAACTCAGACTGTGCATGATTGCCAGAGATGAAGCCATTTATGTAGATGGATGAGAGTTGGAATGGGTAATCACGGCGTTAACAAGTTATTTCCCTATGTCCGGGGGTTTTCCTGCTAGTATCGTACGTTCAGCAGCGCTCTCAGATCATCCTTTCCATCGTGTACCTCTTTGCATCTTACCTTTGAGAAGCTTGGTTGACCTCTGTCTATTCTGAGTGCATAGTACATATAGCCTTCTTCCGGCTACCTATAGAGTATCACGATACGCCATTGCGATGACTATAGAAAAGTCGTACACCTCATGGAGCTTGATCGCTGGAGTTGTCGAATGCCTTCATCTTCTTGTTTTCATACGGCACCACCATAGACTCACGTAAGCCGAGAAAATGATAACTCAACTGTATTATTGCCCCGAAACAACAAGCCTAATACTATATTGCATGGTAGTACTAGTAGGTATACAGTTATCATTTCTGAATTCGCTAATCAACCTTGAACATATGATGACATCCCGAAGTGGGCCCGGGGCACGTGCGCTTGACCCGAAATGGTAAGGTGCCCGTGCTCGCCCGGCGGAGAGGATCGACAGGCTGACAATGATCAAATGATCAATGATCATTGTTTCCATTGCTTATCTGTCTATACCCTGCACTTGAAATATGCGCCGGTATATCCATGCTTATATCGAGCTCTAGAGCCAGTCAGAGGAGCTGTCAATCGAACTACCTCCAGGACTGGGCTGAGCCGACATACGAGTCTGACGAAGCATCCCCTCGGTGTTAATACGAGCCCAGAGCCAACCCAACCCAATCCAATCATTAGTCCTAAAAGATTCTCTGCAAAGTACCATGAATAGCTCTCAGCTCCCGGCCACGAAGCTAAGGGAACAGCCAGAATTAGGAGCTATCAGGTCGAGGCTCTCGAAAACAACGAGTGAAAGCCCCCTTCATAAGCATGGGAGACCAAAAAATAGATGCCAGGAAGACAAATGCTGATGATGGAGATAGGAATCTCTATTTCGATCCAAATCGATGGATTGACGGCGTGATCTATGTACTTGTGAGTCAGGGTCTCTCGCATACCACAGGTTGGAATAACCTACACGTCGGGTTCTTCGCTAAGTGCGGACTGACTTGGACAATTGTGATCAGACGCCCTATGGAGACCGCAACCACACTGACAAGTAAGTGAGTGTCAAGCTGGCTCACCGGGCTCTACTTACAGGTATCCGCAAGTGAATACTCCAGCTAGAAGAAGCCTCCGCATGAGCCTCAAGTGCAGCTTCCAGAGCATGGGCAAGGGTAAGAGGAGGACGAGGATATCGATAATGAGATCCGGCGTTCCAAAACCTAGCCACAAGCTCCTTGTATCTATGCAGGTGCCCGGCAGATCTGGCATCCAGTTTTTCTCGATCGAAGAACACGTGAGAAAGATGACGAGGATAGTACTGATCGACCATGCGATATTCAATCCATGCACTATCCAGAGCGCATATCGGAAGCGAGAGGGACCTTGGCTGAGAACCCTTCCGTAGAAAAACAGAGCGGACGCTCGTGCTATTGAGGCCCCCCCAAGTACTAAGAAGTATACCACCCATAACAGCTTCAGAAAAGAGACTAGGTCTGCTGGAGACACTGTTTCAACCTGTCTCCCTAGTCCAAGCCGAATCATTCTCAGACTGATGCCGCAAACAGCAACGTTCAACAACTGCTAGAGCATGATTAGTCCATGCCAGTGCTGAGAGGGAACTCGCGGCTAACCGCAGCGGCGAGAGCAGTCCAATCATCCCACCAGAACCCAGAGCGGGTGTTGGACCGAGGAGGTTTCGGCAACAAGGCTCTCGACCAGAATCTAAGGACAACGGCAACTGATGGGACAACGATTAAAGTGATGGTGATTGCCCTAATCTGCGGGCCTCGATTATCAGAGGGCTGGGAGGATGGACTCGGAGACATCACCGAAGGAAGGCAAAGGCTAAGTCACTGGCGGATTGAGGTTTAGTAGAACAGTTTGACCGGTCCGTAAGCGCCCAGTATGCATGTGGAGAGATTTTTTGCAGCATTATGAAGGTGCTTGAGAGTTCTTGCTTCAGCTCTAGAAGCTATATTTGGAACCCTTTAGTATGACAATAGGCAGAGAGGATCTTTTCGCAAAGCATACTCGAAGTGTTCGTCATATGACGTGAATCAGCCTCGGATTAGTATTATCGAAGCCTGGACCCAGCCATTCCGTGATTGCTTCCATGATGCTTCCCTGCCACCCTGTGTAATGTAAGCAGCGAGCACTTGTCGTCGAGAAAATCAATGCCATTGAGCCTATCACCAGTAACTGCGGAATCCCATGAAACTTAATAAGGATGGATAGCCACCAACAGCAGATGTAACCGGAGAGGCTCAGTTGGTTGCATGGTGTCAGGTTTACTAGGTCGATTCTGTGACACGCAGCGACGGCCAGTGGCCTGGAGTTGCCGGTGTTGGTGTTGTTGGGAGAAAAGTGCCATAAGGAGTAAGAGTCGGCAGGCTGAGAGCCTCCAAGACAGGTAATTCATCCCGACCACTGCAACTGGCTCGGGAACCTGATTTCCATCCCGAGTCGCAGTCAAGTAGCTCAGTAATCAGAAATTAGGTGCTGCATTCGGCCTTGACCACCGAAGTAGTTTTAACCTTGACGGTTGACAGGAATTGGAGACTGACGGCGGCAAACCATACTCTTGATGAAGTCTACCCATGGTTCGACAGTCCGCCGGTCTGATCTCGAAATTATGTAATGGTTCTTGCAACTTCTTGAAGAAATTATGGCTATCACCACTCTTCCTACCTGATATTCATCGATGGATGCCGTTTTGTTGCTGTTCAATGGCTTAAGACATACGCCACACAGCCCGCTGCCGGGCTGCTCCTCTCTTTTCATCTGGAACTGACGCCGTATACACATCATTTGTCCTCATCGATGTAGGCCAGGTGGTGAAAAGGCGACATAGTAGTGGAAGAATGTCTCAGCGGTCGCCTAATGTTCCCTACAATGGGGGATCCCTGCTGGGCGTAGCCATTGCTATGGCAATACTGCAGATCGTTGCGGTGATTGCTCGCTTCTATACTCGACACAGTCAGAGACTCGCCTACGCGCTTGATGATTTTCTGACTGTTATCGCCTTGGTAAGGCAGCTAGCCAGCAGTCCGTGTCCTAATTGCTGATAGGCCTTCAGATTGCTAGCCTGGGACAGTCGGCTCTGTACGTGGTTTGTATGTGACGACCTCATTCATCACCCATCAGCAACGACTGACCCTTGCTATAGTGGTCAAAGTAGCGGGAGTAGGATATCATATGAGCTTTGTGGAGGAGACTCCAGAGAAGTTGGTTGCTCTCGAAAAGGTACTAACAAGAAGGTCCCGTCTCGGGGCTAAGATATTGATAACTGATCAGTTGACGCACAGGGTCTATACGCCAATGAGATTATAGATTTCCCCTTTGTCATAACTCCAGCCAAGATTTCCATTCTGATATTTTACGTCCGCATCTTTAGCACGCGAAACTTCAAAGTGGCCGCGTATATCGTTGGAGCACTCGTACTCGGACACGGTATCGAGGTTTTGCTTGCAGCTATCTTTCAATGCTGGCCAATCGATTACACATGGAACAAGACTACAGGTGTCGAAGGCGGCTCATGTTTCAATCAACAAGCCTTCTACCGATACGTCTCGCCGCCGAACATTTTGACGGATGTCCTCTTATTGATATTACCACTGCCATATGTTTGGAGACTTCATACCACCCGTGGTCACAAGCTGGCATTGACGGGAGTTTTTCTCCTGGGAGGATTGTAAGCGTATTTCCCAACTCAGCGCACACCATATGTATGGCATGTGTATGCATCGTTGACTGACCGTGCAACAGAGGAACGGTAGCCAGCATTCTGCATGACAAACTTCTTCGAAGAAAGAGCGACGGTTGATCCTACATGTATGTCCTCCACAGAGGCCTGATGAAACCTTACATACTGACCCTGCTGTAGGGACATCAACCGATCTTGGGATCTGGACTGTTCTTGAAGGAGCCCTCATCATCATAGCCGCCTGCTTGCCCCCCACTTGGCCTTTGATAATCCGGTTCCTACCCCGGAAGCTCTTCAGCAAAAAGTCGGTCGGAACTCGTCCTTCTGAGAGTGATACGAGCAGACGTGCCATGGTTGAGAGCGAGGACGGATCTTCCCGTAAAGGGGGTAGTGCTCGCCGCCCCGGCCAGAGCCTGTCCACCCTGGAAAGTCAAACCAGGCTATCTCCTGGGGTTTCAACTCGGCCTTCAGATAGATTTGCATTGGAGTCCATTCCGAGTGAGGCTTGATATACACCCCTTCAAAGAGGCAGCCGATGAGACTCGGGCAGGTCCATCATATGAGTGAATACGGAGCACCATATCTACAGAAGGCTCTTGCACCAGCTCAATGTGAAAGCCATGCTCTACTTCGATTGGTCCGAGATCTATATGCTAATATGTATACCGGAATCCACGCTGAAACATTTACAACGTTAGTGAGTTTTGGCATTAATCGCACCAGGCAGACGTACCATATTCTGAAGAGCCTTTCCTTTCTTCTGCTGTCTATTCAGCGAGTAGAAAGAGAGCGTGAAGACACCCACTAGAACAATCATGAGGACATGGGATCTAATAACACAGGAACGAGATGTTGTCAGTGTTTTCGGTTCCAACCAAAGGATTGATTGAACCCGACATACCCAATAGATACCCAGACGGCGGTTTGATAGCGTGGTGCTTCCTGCTGTCGCACTATATAACTGCCAGCTACACCACCCAGACCATTGCACGCCGATACGGCGGCTGCAGTGGAGGCGCGATTCCACTGACCCACGACGTTGTTGGCCATGAATGCGTTCAGAGCTGCCCAGTTGGAGACATACGCCCCGGTAGCAAGAAAAGTCCCGATATACCGAACAGTGACCTGCGTCGAGGACGGTAGACCAAACATAAGAAATCCCGCTATCAGGCAGAGAGCGTTGAAGGTGATGAGCGGACCCCGGATGCGATAAGAATCGCCCACAAACGACGTGAAAAGGACCGGAAGTACGGACCAATAGTAGGGCTACCAAGGTATAGAATCAAGGTTAGGATGACGCGAACTACAACCTTGGAAGCACGATCCGTAGGAAACCCCTATCTGACCAACTCCGAAATAAAGGAACAAACTAACGTACCGGTGTGGAGAGAAGGATAGAATCATTGCTCGAAAAGCCCATGCCTGATTCGAGAATGATAGGCAGAAAGTAGTTCAGCGCCGTTGAAACAAGATTCAATAAGAAGTACATGCAGGCAAAGCCATACAGCTTCAAATCGGCGAAAGGGGCCAAAGCCTTGCTCCACGAGAAAACATCAGGCATTATGTCATCACGGTCAGCTCGAATCCGCTGTTGCGACTGTGTCAGTTATTGTTGTTGCTGTTGCTGCTGTTGTTGCTGTTGCTTCTCACCTGTGCAGCCACACGTGCCTCTGCTTCGCTCAGGAAGTGAAAGCTACGGTGAGCGTTCTCCGGGAAGTCGACCATCCACCAATATGTGAGAATCCCAATGACGCTAGTGATCAAGCCCTGAACAAGGTACATCCAGCGCCAGCCTTGCATGCCTGATTTCCCATCCAGCAGGTTCAGACCATAATTCACGATATACCCTGTCGCGAGCCCGATCACCTCACCCGACTGGAGAACCGCGAACCGGACCTGCTGTTCTCGGCGTGGGTACCAAGTGCTGATGAGATAAGTCAAGCCTGGATAGATCCCTGACATGGCCATTCCGAGCAACACTCGCAGCGCAATCATTTGTCGCCAAGTATGAATAAAGGCGGTACATAACGTGATCAGGCCGAATATGAAGGTAATCGCGGCGAACCAGACTCGGGGACCGACCCAGCGAACTGCGAGAGTGGACGGCAATTGGCAGACAATGCTCGCAACCGTGAATATAAAAATCGAGGCTGAGTAGCGGTTTCCATGCAGATCCAAGTCGCTGGGCATACTAGTCACCGATGCCGACGAGAGAATGCCCGAGTCGAGTAGGTTGAGACTGCACAGAATGCCGGCAATGCTACACAGACGTAAGTCTGTCTTCCATCGAACTTGCTTCTCCAGCAGTTTCAACTCTTCAGGGTCCTGCTCGGTCAAGTAGAATGCGTTTTGCGGGGTCGACTTCTCATCGAGCGGTGACACCGTGTCAGCGTGCCTTTCGATCACAGCGCCATCGGCGCTTTTCGAGGCCATAATTCAAATGGCGCCTAGCCGAGCACGCAGCGATAAGAAGTGGTAAGCTGAATTCCGAGAGCAATTGCAATGGATGACGGACAATTGAGTGCGGCGACATTGTTCAAAAAGCGGGGAGGCACTGGAGGAAACTAATGGAATACGGTGGCGATGAACCCGCTTATCTATTGCTGAAGATTTTCGATAGCTCGTCCAATTCCTAATTCTTGCATATATTAGCAATCAATCACTGCCCGCCCAGGTCCTAATCCTTAGCTCATGGGATCCCTGCTTGGCTTACTCATGAATTCAGGGCGAGACCCCGGGAATCACACTGATCCAGCTACGCTTCTCGTGCGATCGTCCTGTGCAGAGGAAAAATCACCTAGGCTTATACTGTCGATTGAATTGTTGAGGCTTTGAAACTGGATGGCGGAATAGAGAGGGCCACGCTCTTCCGGATCGCCACGCACTTCTACTCATAGAGTGTTATTTATGTATGTATTTCCGGAACGGCTGCTGATTTCTCTAGATCACTCATTGAATGAAATTTTATTTCTTTTTACTATAGAGTCCTTAGGAAAGGTGCTTACAAGTAATATATCTTAACTACTTTACTGGCGTGAAGAAGTGCTTTAGAGAGCCCTACTTCACTTGTGTACTGTATGTACAGTATTTCCTCCAAGAGATGCGCGATAAAAACGTCTTGTTGACAGACTTCCTTATATACTTGCTTGTAAAGGTACTTGACAAGACTTGTCTATATACTGAAGTCCTCTGAAGATCAACATATTTCATAGTATATTACTGTTAAGAAACTTATACTTACTCCATACCGTACGACCTTTTTTTTTTTTTAAGAGTTTCATATCCGTTTAGGGTGTAAAAGTTCTGGTAGTAAAAGCAGCCCGTTCCTAGAAGTGCGTGGCGTTCCGAAATTGCGTGCCCCCTCTGGAGTCTACCTACAGACTAGAAATCAAGTCCTTCGGAGGGACTCCGAAGGAGGTGGACGAGGCCCTGCCTAGCGGGTGACTCCTGATGACCAAAGGCGTTGTCGAAGGGAACACGCACACATTGAAGCAAGTATGTAACTATTGATTTCGGCCCTGGTCCGAATCTGCGACAGGGGAGGGGGGGGGGGGGCCTTTCTGAAGCAACAATGATGAATAAGCTTATTCAAAGTAAGAAATCTGGCACATGATCAAATACCCATGAATAACTACCTATTACTTGAAGGAGCGTCAGTCTAGCTCGCTCTCAACTTCAGGGAATGAATGTATTGCCTTTCATCTACTGAGTACTTGGGAGTCGTTTACCACTCCTACTGAATCCCCACCCACTCTTATCGCACAGCATTATGAATGATGAATTAACGGAGTAATTAGCCGTCAAATCTAACTCCGAGAACCGACTCTGGATCTCAATGTTTCCATTTCTCCGCTCCTCAATGGCTCGCCGGAGCTCCATCTACTGCTGCTTTCCCCGCGCTGATTGCGGCGGGGACCCACGTTACCGCACCGGACGAAAGGGAGTTAAGCGGGTTAGTTGAAAACCACTGTACTGAGACTGAGTACTAAGTTCTAACTGTACTCCCTCCGTACGTACTGTACCTTTCGATTCCTATCCTTCTGACTCTGGGATCGTATCTATCTGTTCGCGACTTCGGTCAGTCTGATCGACCGTCACTTGGCTCCCCCCACCCACCCACCCTCCTCACTTCTTCTGTTCTCTTCGCCCTCATAATCATGGCTCTTCTTCCATAACCTCCTCTTCCTCTTCCTCTTCCCTTCCTCTCTTCCTTTTAGTGCCCCTTGTCGGTTAGGTACAGATATCATCTCTTTCCCGCCCCCGCGCCCTTCAACCCAATTGCGATTTTACGCAGTACACCGCCGTAGCTCGCAGCTCAGTCCTTGACTACATATCACTCATTTCGCAATCTTCCCTCTAACCCCCCCAGAACCGATCATCATGGTCGAGCTAATCCCTTCTCTTGAACCTCGCATGCTCCTTCCGCCATTGCTCGCCTGTCTACCCACGGCTTTTGTCTCGTCGCAACCCCCTCCTGCGCTGCTACCACTTCTGTCTCCGATTATTCGCCAGCGCGTGAAGATCTTCACTACCGTCTCCGCCTCACCCACCGACTCATGGCTTCGGCTGCTCTGCTGGGATTCTGCATCGGCTGAGCGTCTGCAATCTCTGGTGGATGGTGCTAGCTTCGAGCCCCACCCCGTTTCCGGAGAGATTGACCTCCCAGACGACATTCCCGTGCGGTACAAGAGACTGGACGAGGAGACTCTACAGTCGCAAGTTCAGCTACCTGAGTATAGCTTAAAAGTCATATACGTCTGGTGCCCTGACGATGAAGAAGGCGGAGGGCCTGCGTGGCGGGTAGCGGAAGTCTTGCCACAGCATAGCAGTGTTGGGGAGGACGGACTCTGGTCGATCTCGATTGGGGAGGCAAACGCCCACCAGAGAGAACAGGTGACGGCAAATAAAGGAGCAGCAACGGGAAATAATGGTCAAGCAACCACAGCGGCAACACAGAGCAATGGCAAGGATACACAAGAGGAAGATGATGACGATGACTACTGGGCCCAATATGATGCGACTCCCGGACGGACCCCCGCGGTGAAGACACCGGCTCCTAATGCTGTTTCATCTTTGCAACAGTCTGACGCAGACTATTATTCACAGTATGACGATGTGCAGCCAGCCATGGATAACCATGATCCCGAGGAAGAGCAACCCGAAATCGGCCCATCTTCGCTCAATGGCGACATGCTGGCTCGTCTCTTGCAACGGCAAGTCAGTGGCTCAAATCCCGACTCGTCTGCGCACGCGACCGAACACTTAGCGACAAACGGAGACTACGCCATGTCGTTGAATCATCCTCGCCCTTCATCGATTTCATCTGGCAGCTCCGGTCCAGTGGCCAAGCTAGAGCAGGAAGCGGAGAACCAGTCTGCCTATGAAGTCGGGGTAAAGCAGCATATTGGCTCCAACATAAAGAGTTTATTCCGACTGGCAAAGGCAACGGGTCTCTCTCGCAGTGACTTCCAGACTCTTGTCAAGACTGAATTGGAGCTGCTCGATGTATCAGACGATGATGCATGATCTACTCCGCCCATCATTTTCTTCTTTTTGTTCATCTGGACCTGAAATTGTACATACATACATACTTACCGCATTTGGTCATGCTTAAGCATGAAGGGCGCAATTTTTGTTCGCATGTTCGCATATGCATTGGATATCCCAGGGGTACATGTGCTTTGTTGGCTATATTGCTGTATTGAATTTATTTCGCTATTCTTGCTAATGGTTTACAATAAATTAGCAAATGAAAATAACCTTAAATACCTACGGTCGATCTCACCCTGACGCCATAAGGCTTACGTGTAGGGAGTGTTTCGGATCTGTGCTTCAGGTTCTTCCGTTCCGCGCGGTCATTGGGAAAGACACGCAATCCGCCCCCATCAGTCGACTTAACCGCCCCCCTCCCCTCTACTGCTGCGGCTGAAGCGACTTGGTATATTACGAGATTGTGAGCCAATTTGAATATGCTCTCTTCTTGATCTTTCTCTTTCTCCCTTGTAAGTACGTCCACTGGGATGACTTGCCCTTCTGCTTGTTCAACGTGCTGATCTGTTGTTTTGGTCTCCTCTAATCCAGTATATAGAGCCGTCTCTCATTCATTCGTTTCTTTCCTACTAGTTACCCCATCTTCCTTTAATTATGTCTTCCCCTTCGCCCTCTCTTCGCAAGAGAGGTGGCAAGAAGGAGAGTACCCCCGTGCCTGCGGACAATTTCTCGTCTCCTTTTTCTTCTACCAAAGCGCCTCGTCCCCAGTCAGAATGGAGCTATTGGCTGGCCATTGCCGTTCTGACCGTCCTGGCATTCATCACCCGATTCTACAAGATCTCGTATCCCAACGAAGTTGTCTTCGATGAGGTGCATTTTGGAAAGGTAAGTCGAGATGTTTTGCAGGGAATTGAGTTTGTGAGCCACTTCTAACTGAACACCTGTCGTTATCCAGTTCGCCTCGTATTACCTCCAGCGCACGTACTTCTTCGATGTTCACCCCCCATTCGGCAAGCTTCTTTTTGCTTTTGTGGGATGGCTGATCGGCTATGATGGCCACTTTTTGTTCGACAACATCGGCGATTCCTACACCGACCACAATGTCCCCTATGTTGCCCTTCGTGCTATGCCGGCTACCCTTGGTGCTCTGACCGTGCCCGTGGTGTTTCTCATCATGTGGGAGTCCGGTTATTCACTACCAGCCTGTGTCTTGTCGGCAGGTCTCGTCTTGTTTGACAATGCACACATTGGAGAGGATCGCCTGATTCTCCTGGATGCCAGTTTGGTTTTGGCCATGGCTTTGAGTGTCTTGTGCTATGTCCGCTTCTATAAGCTGCGTCATCAGCCATTCGGCCGCAAGTGGTGGAAGTGGCTTCTCTTGACCGGTGTGTCTCTAAGCTGCGTGATCTCCACAAAGTACGTTGGTGTCTTTACTTTCGTCACCATCGGATCTGCGGTCTTGGTCGACCTGTGGAATTTGTTGGACATCCGCCGACCTGGTGGCTCTCTCAGCATGTTCCGCTGGAGCCAGCACTTCGCTGCTCGCGCTTTCGCACTAGTCGTCGTTCCGTTCTTTTTCTATCTGTTCTGGTTCCAGGTTCACTTCACAATTCTGAACCGCTCCGGTCCTGGTGACGACTTCATGACCCCGGAATTCCAGGAGACTCTCAGCGACAATGCACTGACTGCGGACTCCATCGGCATTCAATACTATGACAGCATCACTATCAGACACAAGGATACCAAGGTTTTCTTGCACAGCCACCTGGAGACATACCCGCTTCGCTACGATGATGGACGTATTTCCAGCCAGGGCCAGCAGGTTACTGGTTACCCTTACAACGACACCAATAACCACTGGCAGATCATTCCCACGGTTCCTTTCGACGTAACTGACACCACCGGACATCCTGTACGGAATGGCGATGTCGTTCAGCTCCGTCATTTGGGCACAGACACAGTGTTGCTCACCCACGATGTGGCGTCGCCTTACTATCCGACCAATCAGGAGTTCACCACCGTCTCGCAAGAACTCGCCAACGGCGAGCGCCACAACGACACACTTTTCGAGATCAAGATCGAGAATGCGAAGCCCCAGCAGGAGTTCCGAACTCTTTCGAGTCACTTCAAGCTGGTTCATGTGCCCACTCGGGTGGCCATGTGGACGCACACGACGCCTCTGCCGGAGTGGGCTTTCAAACAGGCCGAAATTAATGGCAACAAGAACATCCTTCAGACTAGCAACCTCTGGTTCATCGACTCTATTGAGTCTCTGGAAGAGGGTAGTCCACGTCTCGTGAAGGAAGAGCGCCAGGTCAAACATCTGTCTTTCTTCCGCAAGTATCTCGAGCTGCAGCGCGCCATGTTCCATCACAACAACGCTCTGACTTCCAGCCATCCCTACGCCAGCGAACCTTTCCAGTGGCCCTTCCTTCTCCGTGGTGTCAGTTTCTGGACCAAGAACGATACCCGGGAGCAAATCTACTTTTTGGGTAACCCAATCGGCTGGTGGATTGCGAGCAGTCTCTTGGCCGTCTTCGCGGGTGTCATCGGTGCCGACCAACTGTCTCTTCGACGTGGTGTCGATGCCGTGGAAGAGAGTGAGTCATCTTGCCTTATCATTTACATGCTGGGTACTAACAGTTCGCAGTCTGGGGCGTGGGTGCGCGTTCGCGCTTGTATAACAGCACTGGCTTCCTGTTTCTCTGCTGGGCGGCTCATTATTTCCCTTTCTGGCTGATGGGTCGTCAGCGTTTCTTGCACCACTATCTCCCTGCTCACCTTGCCTCCGCCCTCGTTGCCGGTGCTCTGATCGAGTTCATCTTCAACTTGGAGCCCATCTCAGTTGTGAAGTCTGTCCCTCTGGAGGATGACTCGACCGGCAAGTCTAAGGCAACCGCTCGGATCACCCACTTTGTGACGGCTTCGGAGCGTCTCGGACAGAAGTCTCTGATTGCGGGCTGGGTTGCCACTCTGGTGATTCTGGCCGCCACCATCTACGGCTTCGTGTTCTACGCCCCACTGACTTACGGTACCCCTGGTCTGGATGTGCCGGGTATCTTGGCTCGCAAGTGGCTGGCATATGACTTGCACTTTGCCAAATAGAATAGTTGATGACGCGCCTGCAGTTGGCACGGCACCGAGCAACAGAATGGAGACTGCATGCTCAGAGTAGGCAGTCATGTGTGATGAGATGTATGGAGGTGTACCGAGGCGTTTTGAATGGCCAGGATTCGTATAGCGCGCCTGACGATGAGCAGACAGGATATCCCTTGTGCCCGTGTCCTGCAACCCGCCTTTCCCATCTATATTCTTGATTTAACTCAGTCACTCCTCTGTATCGAAATCTATACTTGAAATATTACGTTGTGATACTACATTGCCATGAAACCAAAAGCATAAATCCATAGAAAGAAGCTCAGTTAGATCAAACCCTAATGCTACCGAAACACCCCCAACGCCAAGTTGCTATCAAGTACAATACATCAAATGGAGACCAGTTCTCTAAAAAGCCATTCTCTTCCCAATCTCACTCTCCCAGCCGCGCGACTTCTCGAACCCATTCGACGCGGTCCGGAAATCCATCATGGCCTGGTAGACCTCCTCCTCACTCGTGACGACGAAGGGACCGTACTGAACGACCTTCTGATCGAGGGGCTGGCCGGCGACGAGCAAGAAGCGGCCCTCCTCGTCGGCATTGTCCGGCACGGAGGCCTCGACGAACTCGCCCTGCTGCTCGAACACGACATTGTGAAACTCCTTGACGTTGCGGGTCTGATCTCCAGACCCGAAGACGGTGGCGCCCTTGAGCGTGTAGGCGAAGGCGTTCCAGCCGAGCGGCAGCGCCTGGCGCACGCGGCCGCCGGGCTGGATGGCGATGTCCAGCAACCAGACGGGGGTGTAGGCGAGGTCACGCACGGAGTCGACGCCATGCGACTGGCCCGAGATGACCTTGACGGTGACGCGGCCGGCGTCCGTGGTGGCGAGGGGGATCTCGGCGCTGCGCAGGTCGCGGTAGCGCGGCTCGCAGTACTTGAGGTCCTTGGGGAGGTCGACCCACAGCTGCATGCCGACGTTGGGCGAGCCGTCTGGGTTCTCGTGCGGCATCTCCGCGTGCATGATGCCCTTGCCCGCCGTCATGAACTGCAGGTCGCCCGGTCCGATCGTGCCCCGGTTCCCCGCGAAGTCCTCGTGGTCCACCCCGCCCGACAGCAGGTAGGTGATCGTCTCCTGGCCCCGGTGCGGGTGGTCCGGGAACCCCGCCCCTTTCCCGATCGTGAAGTGGTCCAGCATCAGGAACGGGCTCAGGTGCCGCAGCTTCGCCGTGCCGATCGAGCGCCGCACCCGCGCGCCCGCGCCCTCGGCTTGCTCGATCGCCAGGAAGACTTGGCGGATGCTGCGCGGGACGGTCATTTTGGAGGTGGGTGGGATTATTAGGGTTGGGGTTGTGGTGGTGGTGGTGGTAGTGTTGGTGGTGGTGGAGTGGTCACTCAGTATAGTAGAAGGTAGCAAGTCCCGAAAATTGAAGTGGTAGTGGTAAGTAGCAGTGTATAGTATAGCAATGATGCCGATGCAAAAAGAAAGTAAGAATCTCATGTGGGGGATAGTGCAATGGGCTTTATATACGGGTTTGGTCGGTACAGTTGCGAACAGTATAGAATCTTCCTGGAACGCAAAAAAGCTGTTTGACCTAACAAATATTCTGTTAGTCAATTCTTATAATCGGTCGAGTAAGCAACGCCCCATGCGGTCCTGCGCACGGGGGGGTAAGAACAATAGGAAAAGGAAATTGGCTGGAGTCGCTGGACTGATCCACCGATACGAGGATTGGCTGGAGATGGGATCTCAAAGCATTGACAAGCAGCAAAACATGGACTTGCCCCGAATTACAAAGATTGCCGTCAGCAACGGATGTCGGCGCTTGGCGGATGACTCAGGCTTTACTCAGGGGCTGGTTTAGTTAACTAACTATCCTGTGATGAGTGATGGGTGAGTAAGGAATTGAGGCGTACTTGAAGAGTCGGAATATGCAATAATTCATTCACCTTTTCATCCTAATCGGTCTTTATACTTAGACACACAATAAATAACTATTGGTAGCTACAATCTCATCTGTTACTGTAGCGTAGCCGTACCGAATGCTGTATCCTTGAGTAGGCACGTGCTGATAAGATAAGACCCCCCGTCGCCCGCCTTCGGGGCTCCATCTTCCAACTGGCACAAGCGATGATGCTATGGCATTGAATGCTGATAGCAGCGCTACGATCATCAGTGTCGGCTTCCTGCCAATAGTCAACGCTGATGAACTGTACTATGTGATTGAACTTATTTGCCTGTTGCTTTTCACCCCATCGCCGCAATCCGAAGCCTCAATCTCCATCATCCCCGATCAGGCCAGATCGTCGCATGCGACGCTCCGAGACTCGGGCCAACCTACCAAAAGTCATTTCTATAGAGCTCCATCGAACCCAAGATGGCCCGCCAGAGTCGCATCCTCACTTCCCTACTGGTTCTGGCAGGTGCCAGCTCAACTGTAGGGGCTAGCAAAAAGTCGTTCAGTGTCCATGATGACCTCCTAGCCTTCCCTCAGGTGCGCTTCCTGACGCTCCTTCCTCGGCCCCGAACTCCCGAACCTGCCTACTAATTGTCCATATTCACATTATAGTTCCAGGTCCTTTTCCCCGACGAATACATCCTAGAACCCCAGGCTCGGAAGCTTCTTGAAGGCCACAGCAGTCTTTCCTCCTTCGAGAACTCACAAGAAGGAATCTCGGGGCAGAAACGCTCGCAGGTCTATCTCGGATTGAACAACCATGACTTCGACCAACAAGATGAATCTCCCGATAGCCTCGACACTGGAGATTATACCCTAGAAGAGATGATTCTCGGGGACCAGCGATACCTTTGCCAAATACCGCAGGTGCAGCTTGACGAGCGGGTCAATGGGACGGGGAACGACACAGCCGAAGCTGACGAGCAAAAGGAGCTGGCGCGGGCCACGGACCGTGGTCTGGAGCTACTGCGCGAGATGGAAGGAAAGTGCATGTACTATATCTCCGGCTGGTGGTCCTACTCGTTCTGCTACAAGGAGAAGGTCAAGCAATTTCACGCTCTCCCGTCGGGCAGCGGGGTGCCCAATTACCCACCCATGGAGGATCCCACGACGCAGTCATTTGTTTTGGGCCGATTCCCACTGGGTGGTGGGGATGGTGCCGAGGAAGAGGATGACTTCGCACATACGGGAGAATCTACGCACAAGAAGGCGACTGCTAGTACCACTGATGTTGCGGAACTCCAAACTAAAGGCGGATCCCGCTACCTCGTCCAGCGCCTGGATGGTGGCACGCGATGTGATCTGACGGGACGACGTCGCAAGATTGAGGTCCAGTTTCACTGTCATCCCCAGTCGACAGACCGTATCGGCTGGATCAAGGAAACAGCTACCTGCTCATACTTGATGATCATCTACACGCCCCGGCTGTGCAACGATGCCGTGTTCCTTCCACCCCAACAGGATGAGATTCACGAGATTGAGTGCCGGCAGATCCTCACGCCGGATCAGGTATCCGACTGGAAAGCGTTACGGGAGGCCCTCATCGCCCAGGAGCACGCCGAGGATGCCGGCCTGACGCAGGAGCCCTTCCCAGTTGTGGGTGACATCGAAGTTGGGGCGCAGAGATTAGTCGGTTCAGAAGGCAAGAAGATTGAGAAAGGGCGAGTTGCGTCGGCGGGCGAAGAAAAGGTGGATATCGTGGCCAAGCGTGAGAATGGACAAGTGTACCAAAGGACTCGCGAAGAGCTGCTGAAGTACGACATTGACCCAGACAAGTTGGAGGATCTGAAAAAAGGCGTGGACGAGATGGCGGAAGGCAAGGACTGGAAGCTAGAATTGATCACAGTCAACGGCGAGCGTCACTTAAATGTGCTTCTGGAGGAGCCCGAACAGGCGCAGGTGGAAGATGATCAAGGGCCCTCGGTACACGTGACCTCGTTTGGCCCCAGCGATGATCAGTATAAGCTAGACAAGCCAGGCAATGAGGGTGCAGACTCGAAGGCAGCAACCGCAGAGGGTGCTGCAGAAGAACCGTCCGAAAAGTCGGACGAGCCAGAGAAACGACCATCGTCGGAGTCAGATGCCTCCGAAACGGGGAGCGAGGAGGTATTCAAAGACGAGTTGTGATTGTCCATCACATTTTGTGGTTCCCGTCTGCTCAACAGACCTTTTCTGATCATTGTTTTCTTGTTCGTTATGTTTTTTTTTCGCCTCCCAGCAGCACCTACGTGGTAACTAATGCTGGTTGTACAGTTCTAGCCCTATATCCATAGCCTCTTGCATAGTTGATAGCACCGAACGAAGGATAAATTTATCTGCATGGCAACGAAGCTTCGATACGATGTAACGAAGGCGTACAATTATCTTGAGCCGAGGCAAGCCTGAAAGGAGCCCAATTGTAAAGGTAGTTAATAAAATGTGGAGACGTCATGGAAAGAATTCTTCCAGACGAATGCCCAAACAGGCTGGGCGGCAGTCAGGGGTTGACGACGATGGCATCATTGGGCTTGTAGCGCTGATATGGCACGGTTATTTCCCTCTGGAGGGGCATATTCAGTGGTGATGTGCATTTTATATGCAATGTACTGATTCTTTGGTTTTTTTCTCCCATTGGGATTCCCTCACCTTTACTCCTGACGTCTTTTAAGGTTGTCAAACGTGGGAACGAAAACGTGACCGGTTCCTGTTTGGGCCTTGGGCCTCAGGCCATCAATGATGGAGAAGTGCATGTACGGAGTGAGTAACTACGTGAGTATCCCGAGTCGCAACAACTAATTTAGTGCCAAGGCTAGCCTGGATCCCTCCACTCGGACCAGTTACGTACCTGTTCACCACCACCAACTGTCCGAATGCACCCTCCGTTAACTTGACCTCCACAGTCACCACCACTACCACCACTACCACCACAAATCTGACCCCTCTAATTCTTCCTTCACCTTTCTCCTCCTTCCTCTCTCTTAACCTTTTCTCCCTCTTCCACCTTTCACTTCTTTATCTTACTTCCCACCTGACGCTGCCCGCTGCGGCCGCAGCACACCCCCATTTCCCCCCCTCCCCAGCCCCCTCCCCGGCTCCATTCAACCTTTCAACCTTGACGACAACCCACCATGGGTTTCCTCGGCGTCTACACGGTGATTTACGACTATGAACCCCAAGGGGCAGGAGAATTAGAGCTTCGCGAAGGCGATCTGCTCTGTATTCTAGAAAAAAGTGAGGAGGACAGTTGGTGGAAGGCCAAGAAGAAGGCCGATCGCGACGATGAGGATGAGCCCGAAGGTCTCGTTCCGAACAACTACGTCGAGGAGGTAAGCTCTCATTCCCTGGCTCGATAGTCCATGCCGATGATTCCGCCAATCCCGACCCGACCTACTTGGGTGTTCTCTCATCGGCTATGCGAACGATTCCCGTTATCCGGGTGTTCTCGCCTTCAGGGGTAGAGCGGGTGCGGTGGAAGGCGCGACAACACACTGTCCGGTATAAACCGTATCGATGGCTGACGCTCTCATTCCCGACTCACAGGCTCAACCTACGCACACAGCCAAGGCACTCTACGACTACACCCGCCAGACAGACGAAGAGGTCTCTTTCTCCGAAGATGCTGACTTGATTGTGTATGACACCTCCGATCCCGACTGGACGCTAGTGGGTGTCAATGGAGATTTTGGCTTCGCCCCCGCAAACTATATCGAGATCGTGGAAGATACAGGCCACGCTGCTGCCCCTTCGGCCCCATCGCATGTACCGGATGAATATGAACCGGAACCGGAATATGAACCTGAACCTGAACCCGAACCTGCGCCTCCCACGCTTCCGCAGCGACCGGTCGTGACCGCGGATGCGGTGAACGAGGCTCGCGCCCCTTCGCCAATCGACACCGTGCAGAACCCTGCTGCTGCTGCCATTGCCAATATCATCCACCAGCAACACGCCTCCCCCGTCGAGTCTGAACCACCCCGCACTGTGCCTCCGCCACCTCAGCCGGCGCGTCCGACATATGAACCCGAGGAGGACTATCGCAGGGAACCCTCGCCGCCGCCTCCGGCTCTTCCGCAGCGTCCGCCATCAGAATTCATCTCATCGCCTGTGCGCGTAGAGTCGCCCCGCGAGCCCGTTCAGCCCCGACATGTATCGCTCCGAAGCAATGATAGCGAGGGCCACGTGAAGGAATCTCCTCCGTACAACAGAGTGGGTCATCCCACTCCGCGTTCCCCGTCGGGTTACCACATTTATACTATCAACGAGATGGTCGAGGTCATGGGCAAGCGAAAGAAGATGCCCACGACTTTGGGTATTAATGTTGCAACGGGAACTATCTTCATCTCGCCAGAGGAAGATGGTGCAGTGCAGGAGTGGACGGCGGACAAGCTGACCCACTACTCTATCGAGGGCAAGCACGTCTTCGTGGATCTTATTCGCCCCAGCAAGAGTATTGATTTCCATGCTGGAGCGAAAGATACAGCTCGTGAGATTGTTTCCGCCCTCGGAGAGATTTCGGGTGCATACCGCGCCGAAGGACTCCGGGAGGTCATTGCCGCCGGCACCAGCGGAGGTCAGAAGAAGGGCCAGATTCTGTATGACTTCATGGCGCAGGGCGATGACGAGGTGACGGTGGCAGTGGGCGACGATGTCATTGTTCTCGATGACAGCAAGTCGGAAGAGTGGTGGATGGTGCGCCGTCTCAAGAACGGCAAGGAGGGTGTGGTTCCGAGTAGTTACATCGAGATTACAGGTACCGTCACCAGCCCGCCACCGGGGGGTGCTGAACCAGGCTTGTCCACAGTGGAGAAGAACCGCATGGAAGAAGCACGTCTCACAAAGGAGGCGTCCCGGAAGTCGAAAACCGACTCGATGGCGGCGGATATGCGAAGTCCGGAGGTATGTTTCGTGCACGCCATGGCACCATTCTAAAGAACGAAGAGATGCTAATATTGCTCTAGCGCCAGAAACGGGACAGCAAATCTAGCCACAAATCGAGTAAGTCTTGACTTGTCCGTACCAATGTGTCTACAATTGACTAAGTTGCACAGAACCCGATCCTACGAAGGTTAGACAATGGACCGACCGCACGAAGACTTTCACCGTTGAGGCCCAGTTCATCGGGTTGATGGACGGTAAAATTCACTTGCACAAGCAGAATGGGATCAAGATTGCCGTGCCCATCATGAAGATGTCGGTAGAAGACCTGGAATACGTCGAAAAGCTGACTGGAGCCTCTCTGGACGAAGACAAGCCATTGTCTGACATTAAGCGCCGTTCTCAGCGCATCGAGCCCGAAAAGACTCGAAGCTCGTCTGACGGCAAGCAGAATGGTGCTTCTTTCCAGCAGTCCGACTACGATTGGTTCGACTTTTTCCTGAAGGCCGGTGTTGGCCCTCATCAATGTGAACGGTATTCACAAAACTTCATCAAGGACTCCATGGATGAGGGAATCCTTCCGGACATCACCCCCGAAGTCCTGCGCACCCTTGGATTGAAGGAGGGCGATATCCTGCGGGTAATGCGCTACTTGGACAACATGTTTGGCCGGACAGGTGCCAAGTCTAAACTGCGTAACGTCAGCTTCGGAGGCGAGGAAGTCATCGACGAGGAAGGGGCTGGCGGCCTTTTCTCTGGTCCTGGGGGGATGCTGCGCAATAACACTCGGAAAGGCAGACCTGCACCTAATACGCCAGCAAGCGATGTGGTTGACCCGAAGGCCTTCGAGCAGAAGGATGGCTCGAAGCCTGCAGAGCGCAGTGACACTCCGCCTGCCTCTGCAACTGCGCCGGAACCACCAGTGCAAAAGGGCTTCGACGACGATGCCTGGGAAGTCAAGCAACCCAAGCAGGCTCCCACCACTGCTGCTCCCGCTGCGCCGGCGACTACGTCAAGCCCCCGTCCGGCTGCGTCTACACCGGCTACGAGCCAACCTCCGGCTGCACAACCGCTTACAGGTGCAATGGCAGAGCTCTCCCTGCTTCAGGCTCCCCTTCAACCCACCCCCGCGCCTGCGCCTCAGTCGCCGCCCGCAGCGCCACCGGCCATTCAACCTCAACCCACCATTCAACCTCAGCATACGATTCAGCCTCAGCCTACCATCCAACCTCAGCCCACTGCTGTGCCTGCACACCAACTACAGCCGCAGGCGACGGGTGCTTCACCTAGTTTCTTCGCACAGCTCGGACAGCCACAGGCCGCTCAAGCCTTCAATCCTCAGGTAACCGGGTTCCAGTCGGCTGCAAGACAGCGTCCGCAAGCGCCACAAACCCCACTGGGAGGCAATTCGTTGCTCCCACCCCCGCCTCAACGACCTCTCTCAGCCCCTCAAAATTTCCCTCAGCAGCCGAGCTCATTTGGGCCCCCTACACTGCAGCCTCAGCTGACTGGGGTTCCTCAATCGGGCCCGCAGATTGCCCCGCCAGGTCAAAGCTTGGCCGAGCTGAATCAACAACGGTTCCAGCCATCCCTGCAACAGCCTCAACCGACCGGATTCATGCCGCAAGCTCAACTCCAGAACGGGCTGATGCCGCAGCCAACCGGGTTCCAGCCGCAATCGCAATTTGGAATTCAGCAGCAGCAGCAGACTGGCTATCCTGGCTTGGCACCGCAACCGACCGGGTTTGGAGGTTTCCAGCCACAGCCGCAGCAGCCAATGCAGACAGGCATCAATTCGGTCCTGCCGCCGCCTTTGCAGCCTCAACCCACTGGCATGAACGGTTTCAGCAGTATGCCATACAGTGGACCAGCTCCGCCATTGCCACCTATCCCTCACCAGCCGACTGCTACACCACTGCAGCCCCAGAAGACTGGCCCCGCCCCTCCCATCCGATTCGGTGTGAAGCATGACGCCCCCAAGAAGCTGGCCCCACAGCCGACAGGCCTCCGAGCCAACCTTGCGCAAGCTAGTAAGTTCAGCCTTCAACAATGACCCCATATCTGCAGATTTCTGACCAGTACACTACTTCTTAGCACCTACCAATCCGTTCGGGTTCTGATCCGGATATGTACATACACTTTACCTCTTGGCGGCATTCCTATACAACCACGCTGCTCTTTCTTGCTGGCGGGAATGGCATGCACATCGCGCATAGACGATGCCGCTTTTATCTAATTCCCTCTTTTCTGCGACTCCCACCGCTACTACGCGTATGGGACGTGGCTTGGTCCGTCAGATATATGCAATGAGTTCAGAAGCGATGTTTTGACTCTCGCCTCCCTCAGGCCGCTTTCTTAGAATTTTCGTCTCGTACCCCGGTGCCGGACTCTATATGTAATTTTGGACGCTCGATGTCAGTCAGTCGTCTTTTAGAGGACAATTCTGTTTAATGTGTGAACAGTAGTTGCCCGCTCAAGAGATAGAGACTGAACGCTCGACCAACCAGCCGCCTTTCTCTATATATGATTCTGGTTTCCTTTACTCTTCTCTCACCTGTTTTCATGATCGTGCTATTTGGCCCTGTCTTATGGTCTGTGTCTCTGCTTGTCCGATTGGAGGTGTTGCGTTCCTTATCTCAGTTTCCTTTTCCTTTGACTTGATATTGTCTTCGCCAATGTGGTTTGCTGCCTTCTGCGAAAGTCTGGTTCGTGGCTACCCCCTATGGGCACCCTAATCTGGTTTCTCCCTTGCCACGCTACCATCTTTGCCATTCATGTACGGTACATATAGGTTGTGGTCCGACAGAATATGGAATATTGTTCATCTACCAAAGACTTATACGGTAGGCGGCATATCCGTCAGTCAGTGGCGGATGCTTGACCTGGCCGATCTGCCGTCTTCCCGTGTGGCGTTCCCGCCGATAACTATAACTATAAGTAAACAAGTCTGGTTCTGCTTTCGATGCTATATACATCAGATATCTTGTCTCTGCTACCTGAATTGGAGCTTAAATCTGACAGTGGAGTCCCTGACGACAATACTCAAATGACTTGAGTTTATTATCTGTAGCAACTACAGCTGAGCTGCTTGACTTGCCCTAACAACCCCCATTTAACTTTGGGCGCCATCCGGTTTTTCGAGAAGGCTGTTGATCAACAAGCCGACTCTCATTCTCGGAATTTCCGTTCTCGTAAAGTGTCATTGTCATTGATTTCTAGTGCTTCGCGACTGTATCTCACTCCGTGTTTTCTTTTTTGAACCACGCCAATCCACTCCATTTCTGTCCGATTCTCATCATCAACCACAGAAGAAAAGCAAAATGCGCTGCACATACATCGCCCTCGCCCTCGCCCTCGACAGCACCGCCGCCTACAGCCCCGACTCATGGACCTTCGGATACGGCTTCCACCTGGGTCCCCCGGCCCACGGCCAGATCACCAAGGCCACATACTCGATCGCCACGCCCCGAGTGCCCCAGGGGACGACGGTGAAGGACCCCCGCGATGAAGTCTGGACCTCCATCTGGATCGGGGTGTCCGCCACGCAGGGCGACGCGAGCAACAGTCTCTATCAGCCGTTGCTCAATTGGTCGCCGGACCAGAAGTCCCAGTATGTTTGTTTACTTTTCGGTTCCGCAGTGTGTCTAAGGTATGGTATGGTAGTTCTGGGATTCTGTCCCTGAGTCTTTGATATTGTATTGCCGGGATTTCTGGTCCCAGTGTTTTATACTGTTGTTAAAAAGAGACGAGAAGTGTATGTGGGAGAGACGCTGATATGGAGTGTGGTTTGTGTGGAACGTAGGGGCTGTTCGGCTGGAGCGGAGGAGTGGTGCGTGGCTGCTAGTACGTATACTTCGGGTGAGTGTCTCTGCAGAATCCCAGAGAGTATATGTAATGTATATGGCTAAGTGAATGGAACCCATACTAGCCGGCCAAGTTGCGCAGCCGTACGTCCCCGTGGCGAAGGATGCGCTGGTGGATTTCGAGAGTCAGTTGATCCATCCACCCTTTCCCCCAATCTCTCTCTCTCTCTCTTTCGGACCCATTCCATCTATCTATACGTTTGGCCTGCGTCAGCGAGAGAGAGCAACGAAACCACATCGAACTGACCACCACCCTCCACCCATCGGAGCTCACCCAAGAGAAACAGTCACCGTCCAACCCGTCCAGAACCAGAACCAAGTCCAAGTCCAAGTCCACCAATCCGTCCGCATCGCCGACACCCTCGTCTCCCAGCAGACCGACCCCCTCACCAACCCCCTGCAGTACCTCTACTCCGCCGACGAATGCTACACCGGGTCAGGCGCCTGCGGCTCGTTGCCGGGCTATAGTGCGTCCCTTGCCTTGCCTGCTCTTGCCCTGTTCTCCGCTGCCTATTTCACATCGCTCCTCTCTTTCCTTTCTCCTATACTCCAGGGGAAAAGAAGGTGTCTTCTTCTCAAATAGCTGATGAGCTCCTGCATGTACGATAGGCTGGACCAACATTACCATCGTCCTCAGCGAGGCGGACCCGCTGTTCGGGCAGACGTTGTCTTTGGTGGGCGCGACGAGTAGTCCTCACGGCTTCTTGACCGCGGATGGGGGCCGTACGTGGCATGCGGAGGCGGTGGGGATTCCCGTGGATGATTTCACGGCTAAGCATTAGGGGGGTTTTCTTTCTTTCTTTTGCGGGTTAGGTTGTGGGGTCTGGGGTGTGGTGGGTTGGGGAAATCTGGGTTTGGTGGGGATGTTAGAGAGTTGTGTAGGGGTGTATGCGGGGATTGGGCTTTGTTGGCGGGCTTGTATACGATATACAATTTGCTGTATAGAGAGGAAGACTGGGTGGAGGCGTTTGTGTCGTTCTCAGATGTCTTGTCTTGTGATTTCTGCCCCTAAAGGCTCGCAGGGTTGGCTGTTGCTGTTGGGACTAGACCATGGAGCCAACATCAGGGCTCCAATGGACCTACATCCGAGTCTGATGCTGTTTTAACATCACATGATCTTCCCAATGGTAAAGGACGGTGCCACTATGTAAATGCATGGATTCGCTATCTGCAGGAAGGTAGGTATGTACAGACAGAAGTAAAAATAAAGAGGATATACATGGAATCGACCCCAAAGCTAATCGTCTGAACGCCAGGTTCGAGATCCAAAAACGCCAGAAGATGGGAGTCGGGCGTGCTATGTTCATGAAGATGTCGTATATCACCTGTCCCAATAGACAGGTGGTAAAAGTGCTGGCGAACGTGTACATTCGATAAGGTGTACACCGAAAAAGAGAACGGCCCCAAGTCTAGGCGTCTTCCCAGAGACCAAACACGGGAAGATCCTCAGCCATATACAGAAGGCCATTGTCCGGCATAATCACATCAGACAGCGGCGTATGGCCACCCGGGACCTCAGAAGGTAAAGCGCCAGACGGGATGGTCCCGCCGGGGGAACAGCCGATGGGAATCCCCGTCGTGGTGAGCGTCGAAACGGCCGTATCGTATGGAAGAGGAGGTGCGCCCTGGGTGCCATACAGGGTCTCCCAAATGTCGTTATCCACTTGGCCTGGAGCCGCGGTGGTGGCCGTAGTCATGTTGGAGGGGTGAGGTAGTGTTGGTCCCCCGGCCACTTTCTCAGGAGAGAGCGGTGACAAGACGGCTGCTGGATCGCCGCGTCGGCTTGACGGAGTGTTGGCATCTGCTGCGGCCGAGGGCTCATCCGAAGTGCCGACCTGGCCGAAAAGCTGGTCCACTTGACGACTACGGCGCTCCATCCACTGACGATTTCGTCGACGGACATACTCGGCCACCGCCGCGCGGAGATACTTGATGATCTGGTAGAAGCGACATGCATGAGGATCATGCGGCACGAACAAGCCAAGAAATCGTTCGGCCTTTTCCATTCCCTCCTCCAGCGGGAGTAGGTTGTCGTAGTCTGCAAAGAATGCTGCGCCTAGCACCACAGCTGAGTTGAAGACGGAGTTAATCAGGAAGGGCAACCGGCGAGGGAGATTGCTGTAACGAGCAAGACCATCCACAATGTTGAGACCTCGTAAGGCTGAGTAGACGCATGCATCGGCAAAGAGCGCGATCCGAGAATTGGTGGTCCTGGTGTCGCCGGAGCTTGTAGAATCAGATTTACTTCGCACATACTGCGAAACCCGAAAAACAAGAAACGGACGAGTCAGAAGAATGATCGACCAGTAGTACGACCCGAATACATGCGCTGCGGCTAAGGTTTCTTCTAGATTCTTGGATTCTAGCCGTTCTGTCTGCACCTGCAGAAACATAGGCAGGTTACGGACCCAGGTTCGATGTTGGTTCGAGATAGCATCAGCCACGGTGAGCGATACTACCTGCCGCATATAGACTTCGGTCAAAATCCGTTCGAAGATGCGGCACAACGAAACGACGGTCATAGATAATTGTTCTTCGGGTTCGAGACGCTGTTGATCCGCCGGAAGACCATCTTCGCGAAGGTCATAATCGAAGTCCAAGGTAGCCGGCGGCCGTCCTAAAGAGGCACTGAGGTAAAGGTCCATCATACGAAGACTCTTCCAGACGCGCTCGCGGGCCCGTCGCTCTCGAGTGCAGAACAGCGAATTAGCATCTTTCCTATGGATGCCAACCGCATATGCCGCCCGGAGCGCGATGCCAAGGTTCATGAAGGCGCCATTGCGCCGACACGCACCTAGCATGTACATGGATATCAAGACATAGGATTGGATAGTGTAGATACTGGGGGTTTCGGTGAATGCAGAGAACGCTAATTGACGTCCACTGATGAAGTATTGTTCTGCCAGGGTCTGGTTGGTGTCTGACACCTGTGCGCCAATCGCGAGCACCAGGTAGAAGATCGAGCTGACCGTGTCTTCGTCACCAGTGGGGTTTCCCACCCAGTTGGCAAGGCGCGGGTGAAATTCGTTGAGATCAAAAAGATCCAGCAGTGGGCTGGTAGCAAGAACGTATTGACGCGCCAACCGCTGGGCCTCCTCGTTGCTGGGAGGCGCGATCAAGGGCCCTGTCTGTGTCGAAGAACTATTTTGGAAAGCCTCCAGCATTGAATGTCGCGAGTTATCTTCCGTGAAATCACAGCGGCCGATCGACGAGGAGACGATGCGACGGACGCTCTGTAAGAAGGATAAGCTTGCGGAATCACCAATGTACATGAACTTTCCCTGTCCATCACGCAAAAGCCTAGCCACCTTCGGCACCGGCGCTGTGCCATCCTTGTCGTCCGCCGCCTGTTGTTCCAATGTTGCACTACGGTCTTCGAGCGAGTTCAGAAGTCGGTCCATGGCCGTCTGCCGCTGCGGGGTTGGGACGAGGTGTTCGCTGAGAAGCATGGTCTCTTTGGGGGTGTTGCTTGGCTTGAGCAAGCGGGCGGGCTTGTCGGAGAAATGACATTCGGATTCTTTGCGACGTTGGACGCAGATTGTACATGGCTGCTCTCCGTTGCATTTCTGCTTCCGTCGCTTGCAACTATCGCAAGCTCTCCTGCACCGGAGTCGAGCACCGGGAGCCGTGCTTGCCCGCGGCATAATGAAGCATGTATTCAGAGGAGCTTGAATCGAGCCGTCGAGGGCGCGAGATGGCGCTAAAGAAAGAATGCAAGGCAGGTAGGCAGGCAGGTAGAAAAAAAGGTGAGGATCCCTCTAGGCTCTAAGCGTAAGCAGTAGGCTAGCTAATTAGATCGGCTAGCGATGGGCTTAAGCTGGAAACCCAAACTAAACTAGTCAATAGTGGCGTGCAACATCTCCTGTTCGCTAGCTCGGGCAATCCTCAGAACCAGTGGGACGCGTGAAAGCTTGCTGGGAAGCGAGATCGACACCACAGGCAGCATTGCCTTTTTGTTTCCCCCGAATTGCGGTGGAAAGTTGGGAAAGTTGGGGTTCGGCGGAGGAGAGGAGCATTGAACCAGACGGAGAGAAGAGGGGGGAGATGGATCTTTCCGTGCATGACTCAGCTGCACGATGCGAACTTGGCTGCATCGGGTAATGACGTGCGCTCCCCCCGATCAACTTCTCCTTTACCTCCGAGCTGGGAATCTCCCACTAATGGAGACGTCCCAGTACAATTTGCAACATGACAATGATCCCGACCAGATTCACGTACATTAGTTTAATCTGACTACTATATATCCTAGTCGGCCATGCCACCAACCTCACATTACACCCATTACTCAGGTCGGAAAGAGACAATCTTTCCCCAAGTGTCGGCCGTGCCCCAAATCCCATGGCGCAAACACGATAACTGCACAATCTGACTGTGGTCGACAAACAAGTTGACATCAATGCCGAACTCTCGGATGTACCAGTTGAAGACCTTCGGGTCTGCTGCCTCGAACATGACGCCTTCCGAAGGAAGCTCTTTCATGATCTTCGATACCACATCGGTCCGCCACGATTCCACATTCTCGGTGATGCCCTCCGACTCGATCATCAAGCGCTCGACGCCTGCGTCGAGGAATTTCCGGCCCAGGTTCACCAACTTCGACGGATCAGACGTACCTATAGCTTCCAGCCCTGCCGCGGGGGTGTCGCCCCCGGCACCGAACTGAATCCCTAACTCGGGCTTCGCTTTCAGCTTGTAGGAGTGGACCTTGTCAACGAGGCGGAGCCAGTCGTCTTCGGGGATGGATAAGAAGCCCGATGAGAGCTCGATGACATCGAACCTAGAGTAGAGAGAATGGATTAGATGTATTGCAGAGACGGGGTAAACTGGGCTTGTTTAGATGGGAGTATACGCACCCAAGGTCCTTGCACTTGCGAAGGTACTTATCAAACACGGCGTTTGCATCGGGATGAGTGAGTAGGTGCTCAGCCCAACCGCCCTAAGGAGCGTTTAGCTAGCATCCAGGAAGACAACAGTATTATCTATCCCGGCTTACTGTGGAGACATAGACTCCGTGGTCGTGAGCAAGATCAATTAACTCCCTCAAAGGCCTTTCTGGGAAAAGAGAGAATGACCCTATTTGACTGGCTTAGCCTCTATCGTCCAGGAGCAAGCTGAGTAGCTGGAGCTGGTTACCTCCTGCAAACTTCAAGCCGTCCACATGGGTTCCCATGCTTTTGGTGGCAGTTGTCAGCAGCAAAATCTCTCCAATGTCTACACGGTCGAGCGGCTCACGTCTCCAGCACATCTGCTAGGTATCGTTTCCCCATGGCCTGTACTTCTAATCAGCTCCTTATGGGTCCTTAACAGCACACGGCACTCCAGATATGCTAAGGAATACGGCTGTATAGCCGGCATACAGTATAGTATGGGCCCCTGATTTCGGTGACACCCTTGGTCCTCGGTTTGGGTGGTCTGGGGTTTGACCGTGCAAACCCGAATCCATTCTTCTTATCCTGGAGCAGCGTGATCTCTTTCTTTGCCGATGTGGATGAAGAATAGCATCTTGTGGGCAGTACCGGCACCGAGGCTGAGGCGCTGGGAAGCTGTCGCAACGCAAAATTGATATTACTTCGCAAAGTGGAGGCAGGAGCGACGCGAGGGAGCGGTGCAAACATATTGAGGGTGAGTACTGATTATACAGAAAGACTAAAGCTGTGTGTTGCGAGACAAGAGGAGTAGGGAAGTGGATTTCTCAAGATTCAATTGCGTTGTGGTCAATACTGTACGGGCTTTTGGTTGCATTGAAGATTGACGTAAACAAGATCTCATCCTCCTCCTGGGTGAGAGGCATGGCGTGATTGGCTCGAGGGCATGTCAATCAATCAAGTGTATGGGGGTTTCTCTACCCAGTAAGCACCGATCCAAGAGTTTTGGGATCTTTGAGTCTAGATTGGGAGAACGCAAATCCTCGGACAAGGAGCACAGTGTAACGAAAGTGGGGAGTGGTTTAACAATAGCAGCTAACGCTAGCATGACGTCATCAGTAGGAGACAAGTCCTCGGTCAATTTCCTGGCCCTGGAGGAAAGATGCTCCTTTTAATGATTTATAAGTCATCAAATGATAACGAAGGACCAGAACTTAATGAAGCTACCCCAAATCACAACAAGTACTTCTCACGAGAAACAAGCTTGTCTCTCCTGCTGCTATGCTGTACTTGGCAGGCACCCTGGATCATCAGGGCGGGTCAATCCCTCAGTTTGAGAGTCTCCATTAGTCAGTAAGGCCGACCGAAGGGTCTTTCAACGGATTCGGATCTAGGCCGCGGCGCTGAACCTTGGTGGTAAGCCGGTTTTGGCAATAAAACCAGTTGGAATCATGGATCCGATTCACTGCACTGTTCTCAGGATGGAACCACTTAACTAGTTAGTTAGGGATACCCGCTGACTGAGCTTCATTTGCACGGAGTTCGGCGTCAGCGGAAACTGGGAGCGGGCGTGCTGAGTTCCGGTGCCGACACTGGACATTATTAATGCACACAAAGTCTTAGTTATGACGGATCAGTTCACATTGGGCCTTGGGGAATTTGCCAATTCGGAGGTATTGGCGGCTTGGCTTGGGCGGGCGCTCGGAAGCGGACCAAGTGGCTCCAGCCGTGGCCGATGCGAAGACTCATGCTAGGCGCTAAGCACGGGGTTTTTTTTTCCTTCTCTCGTACGTAAAGTACTTGGTCCGATGTGTAACCGCAGTACCTGGACCGCTTCAGGCGAGTACAATAATCAAGCTCATAATTTATACTGGTGATATGAGAATGCCGACCCAGTCGTTGAGCAATGTTGACTTGGGCGGACATGAGTATATACAGTAAGTGGGAAAAGTGCGTACTGTACCGTGTACCAGTCAGTACACTGTTGGGCAAGACAAGGCTGGACAAGGCTGAACAATCCGGGGAGGTGATGTTCACTGATCGACGCATAGGCCTCTCTCTGCTAGTTACTGGGTCGGGTTTCGTACACGCCTGCAACCTTCACATATGGACGATACTACTACTATACGAGATACATATATGTAGAGGCATGCAATGCTATGACGAGGATTGAGGAGGATAACAAATCAATAATCAGCACCAGCTGTGAGTAATCAGAATTGAAGGGAGACCCTCCATCCCGTGACCATGTGACGTCTTACCTGGTTCGGGGAAAGAAAGCAGCAGTCCACGGTGGGCAGCTCAGTGCTGGTGCTGCAAGATCCCGTTCCACCAACCATTGGTTGCTTCCCTTGTTTTCCTCGGATTGGTACTACTAGGTAGTGGGGCGACCAGCTTCCATTCTGTAATGATCATTACTAGTCAATACCGAGACGGTACCTACTAGTACTTCTCCTACAGGGAGGTACTTAGGGCTGACCATCCATTCACAACATACTCAGTTGGAGATTTGTTCACCGCTGAACTACCCGAGGTGTGTTGGCCATCATCGTAGATGGATCATACAGTCCCTCCAGCGTAGTTGTGATCATATTTCGAGCAGTTCTTAGTAGTTCTTCAGAGCAAGCTTGAGAGTCATGAGCCCGTACAGTAAGAGAGAGATATGACTTGTACTTTTTGCTGACCATAGAAGGTGAAATCTATCACAATCTCTTCACTCGAACTAGGACGAGCCAGTCATGTACAAATACTACTACCATGCCAAGGTAGACTAGGGTCTGGAAACCCGATGTCTCAAAAGAAAAGAAAAGAAAAAAAATAACACCCGGCTTCCGGTAGCTCCGATAACTCCAAACCACTAATCTATAGCGGTCGCCTGCTTTCCTTGGTTGCCCTTCCCTGGCTCCAGCATGTGTTAATTGTCACGACATATGCACAGAATAGCTACCGGTCAGGCAGGCCTCCGTGAGCAGTTCTCGTTATTGAGCTTCTTTCACCTCGCATGGTTCCTCTTCTTCTTCCCCCACCCACCCCCCCACTTGAAATTTGGCTGGGTCCAAGTACTGTACTATCTCGCCAAGTTCAAAGCTCTTTCTTACCTTTTGACTTTCTTATACTTAAAGTCCTAAGATACTTAAAGCATGGACTTGCCCTGAACCAAGAGGAAGTGGGCAGAATACGTAAGTGGAGGTTAGGTACCTACATGAATACCCCTCCCGTACATACTGTGCATACATACATAACCAGCCTCTCAACCAGCAGGTAGCGTGACATCTTTCCCAGTTTCCTTTTCCCATCCATCTCTCATCTTACATCTTACCTCGCTTCGAATCCACATCGCCTTCTCTCAGCTTGCCTCCCTCGATACCTGTACCTATAATGCTAGCACCCTCTCTTGCAACTTAACTTCTTCTTTTCTCTCAGTCGCTTATACTATCACAGCCGCTCATCCTCTCGAACCACGACACTCCCTTCCTCCATCCGCCTCGCCTAGATTCTTAGTCTTATTTCTCTCCCTTGGTCCTGGATCATTCTTCCGCCACTAGCCAGACCAGCGCATTCCTTTTCCGCTTCCATTCATCATGGGCGTAGGGGCCATTTTAGAACCTCTGACCGTCATCGTCCTCCTCTTCGGAGGCACTTGGATCAACCGAAGTACAGGGTCATTTCCTCCCCGGAGACCTCGTCGCACTTCCAATGTCGTGTCGCGTGATTCCTCTCCTGGCGCAATCGAGTCCGGCGTCTCTACCCCCACTGTCAAAGATACTCTACTAAACCGCCGTTCTTCATCTTCTTCGTCGCTCCCGCAGCTCGGTCAGACTGGTTGGCGCAAGAGACAGATCGGGCTCTTTAACTCGACCTTCGAAGTCACGTCTCCAGACACCACTGTTTTTCATGATCGGTTACTCAGTCGCTTGCTCCGCAAGTTTCCCTTTCTTGTCGAGTGCTGGTACTGGGCGCTTGTATACTGGGTATGGTTGAACCTGCACTCCCGCTCGCGACTCAGACCGGAAGACTAACCTACTGGATACAGACATATCAGTTGGGTCGCGCATTCACTGCTGTCACTCTCAAAGATGATACAGTCGATGTGGCGCGCAAACATGCACTGCGATTGGTACAGATTGAGGAGGCACTGGGCTTGTTTTGGGAGGTTTCCATCCAAAAATACTTTCTTCGCCATCCCACTCTCATGACCTGGACCAACTGGATCTATTCGTTCATCCACATTCCTGGAACAATCGCCTTTCTCGTCTGGCTGTACTATTTCACCATCACAAGGAACCGATCCGACGAGTCGCAACCAGGAAAACCGCGCGGGCTAGTGAGCGGCTCACCCGCGGGGTCTCATCTATATCAGGCCCGGCGCCGAACTCTTGCCGTGTGCAATCTGCTTGCCTTTGTGGTTTTCACTCTGTGGCCCTGTATGCCTCCTCGTCTGCTGAGCGACAAAGATGCGAAGGGGCCCGACGCAGCCTTGGGCCGTAGCTACGGGTTTGTTGATACTGTGCACGGAGTCAACGGCGCGGGCAGCGTCTGGACCGAGAATCGCTTCTGCAATCAGTATGGTAAGTCGTGTGGTCTTGAAGACCAGCTAGGCGTCCTGGGCTATTTCTGAACAATGTCACTGACTGCGTGCTAGCCGCCATGCCGTCGTTACACTTTGGCTACTCCCTCATGATTGGTCTCACCATCATGACCATCCCGCTGCCGCCACATCAGCGTCGCCGCACCCGCGTGGCCATTGGTCCTTTGAAGCTGCAGCTTCCTTCGTGGCGCCGGCTGGGCTGCCTCGCTCTGGGCTTTGCCTATCCTTTTGTGATCCTGGCCGCTATCGTCGCCACCGCGAACCACTTCATCTTGGACGCGATTGCCGGTGCAACGGTATGCGCTCTCGGATGGAGATTCAACGGAATCCTCTTGAATCTGCTACCCCTGGAAGATTACTTTCTGTGGGTGGTTCGTATTCACAAGCCAGCATCGAACACCACGGACGGACTCGAAGACGCAGTCGGCTGGGTCGACGATGGCATTTCCGAACACACCTCTCTCCCTTAATGCAGCGACAGTCGGGAGGTGATCCCCTCCTGCCCACTTTGCCTGTCCTAGAGCTTGATGATACCCTTGCATATGCAACATTAATGTCTATGAACCCCACTCCGAACCATGACCTCGATGACTCCCTGCTAATATGCTTCCTCGATTTATTATTTGGCCGTATCATTACGTCCATCATGTCACTGCAATTGACGCAGTCCTTACAGCGTATATACAAGCATCCTTAGGAGATAATGCAAGTATGAGTGCCTGATTATTTTTTCTTATTCTTTCTTTCTGTGTGATTGTACGAGTTTAGACCGTAAATGAGCATGATTGGCGGTAGTCAAGTGGTTCTGCGCATATGAGTCGAGTGGAATCTCCAAGTACTAAAATATAATCATATCTCCAGCGCCCGTAACGTGTGCTATGGAGGAAGAGTGGTGGGGTTGATACCACCGTATTTTTCGGGCTCACCTGGCAAAGTATATAAGGGTATACGGAACAGGGTAACAAAGACGGGTCGCTTCGTCTCTACAAGTGAGATCTCGACGTCCATCTAAGTGAAGGCTCCCGAATTCAAAGTGAAAGACCGCAAGTTAGTGGTGAATTGGTGGATCGGAGTGGTATCAAAAGGGCCTGGAGGAGGGGAAGTGTGAATGAACAGTGCGTGTGTACTTTGTATGGTCTGAGGTGGGCGATTTCTCCATTCTTGACCATCATGGATTACTACTACCAACTCAACTACTACCCTTTCGCACGTTCACACCCAACCCCATCACTCCTTTTCTCCCTTGTGATTGTCGAATTAATTCCCCATCAATCAATCATCTCGGTAGATAGAGATAAGACCGACCTTTTTGTCTTTGTTACGTGAGCAGTGGTGGGTTTCCCTGCTCTTTACCTTGCAGAGCAGATCCTTGCGACCGCGGGGTTTCTCGGTGTTGCTCGACGTCCTCTTCGCGTTCAGTCGCTCTTGGCTTGACGAGGGTGCCACCAGGTCAGTCCGCAACCTCCCTATTACTCCTGCATCACCTTCTAAACTCTTCAACCAGATTTCCTCACTGCACTGTCACTTGCACCCGAGTCTTTGGGTCTACCAAGGGAGGCAGTAATCTACAACTTTGGTCAGACTGGGGAGGGACTCCCCAACTGTCACCAACAGCGATCCCGTCTATATCCGGTCGCATCGCCTATTGAACTCCAACAGAAGGACCACCACCATCTAATCTGAACACGATCGCATCCGCGTGTTATTGACATTGTCGTTGTTGTGTTGAAGGTGGTAGTGCAGCAGCAACTGCGGTCTACAGGCAGCTGGCAGATCGTCTCGTGCCGCTGGTGGTGTGCGTGTGTGCTCGCGTCACAGTCGTGAACCGGCAGAATTCCCCTTGACACAATCATCGTCTCTCGACCTCTGATTACCATCTTGTCTGAAACGCGACAGCTTCATCTACACCTATCTATCTTTCAAAGCCGTGTTGTGACCTCGGGTGCCGTGACCTCGGGAGGAACCAGTGACTAGCACTCGACTACTCCACTACAAGCACAGCCTTTCCAGCAGCTTATCCAGAGAAAGCTTTATGAACCAGATAGAGTCTATCTGGTTGAAATTCGAAACAGAGCGACCTACTGTTGTGGTTGATCTCAAGTCTTGAGAAGGTTGTGGCTGTTGAAGTGTTTGCGTCATTTGCGGTTTGGCAGTGTGTCGCTTTCCCTTCCCCCCAAGAAGTGCAACGCGTTGTTCGACTTCCCGCCTCCCGGCGTCGCGACCTTCTCCACCACTTCTCTCTCTCTCTCTCTCCCTCACTCACTCACCTCACTCTTCCCCCTCCCCCCAACCAAATCCCACTTCAACCTCCCCCCCCCCTTCCCACCCCATCTCATCCTATCGTCGGAAGGTTCTTGTTATCTCCATCTCCTACTGATCTATTATCTCATCCGTCGATTCGTCATCTGATCCCTAGCGCATCATGGCCGAGGAGTCTCCTGCTGCCTCTGCGCCCGCTCCCGAAGGTGCTGAGCCCGTCGAGCGCGCGCCTGCCGAGACCCAATCCACTCCTGTGGACTCGGCGCCAGAGCAGTCCAAGGAAAAGGAAGAGAAGGAACCCAATGGTTCGGATGAGAAGTCTTCAGGTAAATACTCGTCTGATCTTGGCTTGCGCTGGCTTGGTTCTCGACAAGGGATCTCCAACCAAGCTAAGCCCCCGTATATGTGACACTCTCTAACATCTCCCATCAACCACGTATAGAGTCTGCGTCTGCTTCTGAGGAGAAAAAGGAGACAACTGAAGCTGAAAAGCCCACCACCCCCTCTGAGCCTGTCGACGCGAAGGAACCCGCCGATGGCGCCGCCGCCCCTGCAGAGCCCGAAGCCAAAGCCGCCCCAGCATCGGAGGCCAACGGAACACCCGCCTCGGCCAAGAAATCATCAGCCTCACGGCGCAAATCTACCGGAGGTTCATTGAGCAGAAAGAAGTCGCAAGTTCGCGTCCTGCACCTCGACGCGAAACCTGGTGATTATTTCCTCGCGCGTCTGAGAAGCTACCCACCGTGGCCTTCCATTATCTGCGATGAAGAGATGCTTCCCCAGACTCTGCTGGAAACGCGTCCCGTGACCGCTCAGCGTCAAGATGGAACCATCAGAGAGGACTACGCTGAAGGCGGCAAGCGCGCGCACGAGCGAACTTTCCCGGTCATGTTCTTTGAGACAAATGAATTGTGAGTAACACTTGGCGTTTCTGCCTTACAATTGTGCTCCCCCCACCGTGATCTGTCTAACACCGCTTTAGCGCCTGGGTCCCCAACACAGACCTGACCCCTCTCGAGCCTGCCACCTGCAAGGAAGTATCAGAGAAGGGCAAGAGCAAATTGTTGCTGTCTGCTTATGCCGTCGGTGCTGAAGGTCACGATCTCCAGCATTTCAAGGAGCTTCTGGCCGACCACCAGCGTGCGCTTGAGCAAGAACATGAGGAGATGGAAGCTCAGGCAGCTGCGAAGGCCGCTGCTAAAGCTGCCCGAGAAGCAAAGAAGAACAAGCGCAAGAGCATGGACGTCGTTGACGACGAAGATGTCGAGATGGAGGACGCTGATGAGGAGGAACACAAGCCGAAGAGCTCCAAGAAGCGGAAGAAGGATGCTGAAGCTGATACTACAGCGGATGAGAAGGTGAGTCAGGGGTGGTTCATTCGAACGACGCAGCGACAGGTAACACTAGCTAACGATTTTCCTTCGCGGTGATTAATAGCCCGCAAAGACGCCCAAGACTACCACTAAATTGAAGTTGACGACACCCAAAACCCCGACCAATGAGACTGGAAAGAAAGCTCCTGCTTCTAGCAAGGCCAAGCAAACCGCCAGCACTAAGAAGGCTGGCAAGGCTGCTGCAAGTGACGAAGGCGAAGATTCTCGTCCGGCTTCCAAAGAACCTGAGAAGAAGGTCAATCAGGAGGAACTCAAGGAGAAGAAGGAGAAAGAGAGTAAGTGCCCTAAATGCAAGATCGTGTTTGGCGGAAGATGTGCTCACACCATGTAGTTCTCTTCATCCGCCACAAGCTTCAGAAGGGTTTCATCTCCCGTGAACTCCCACCCGCAGAGGAAGAGATGACTGCTATGTCGGGTTACTTCAGCAAGCTGGAGAAGCACACTGATCTGGAAGTGTCAATCATTCGTGCGACCAAGATCAACAAGGTGTTGAAGATGATCGTGAAGCTCAGCTCTATTCCTCGGGACGAGGAATTCCAGTTCCGGCAGCGCGCCATCAACATCTTGTCGAAGTGGAAGAATGTTCTTGATGCTGACACCACCGGTCCTTCCGAGCAAAAGGAGAAAGAGGACAAGCCCAGAGCGAATGGCGTTCACAAGGAGAGCAGCGTGGAGACGCCCGTCAAGGCCGATACTGAAAACGAGAAAGAAGATGAATCTAAGGAGAGCAAGACGAATACCGCGGAGCCCCAGGACGAGCCGATGACTGATGCCGATGTAAGGGAGAAATCGGATGCCCCCGAGCCGGTGAAGGAGGATGTTGAGAATCCCTTGAAGGCTGAAGAGACATCGGCAGAGAAGGAAGAGGAGAAGACAGCCGAAGAAAAGCCGGCTGCAGAGGCCGTGAAGACAGAGGAGAAGTCTGCGGAGGCAGCTGTTTAAAGAACAAAAACCATCTTTGTTTATGGGTGCCTCTTATTTGCTTTCCCGCTGATTTTCGCAAGGCTTTTCTGAACATCCTATTTCATCTGTGCAGGACCTCTCCTACTATTTAGCATTTGGGTCCTGTGTCGTCACTGCTTCTTATTTGTCTCTACAACCCCCTCTCTGTTGCTTGTTATCCACTCTACCATTTCTTGTTTTGGAATTCCATTGCCCACGAGAGTCGAAAATTGACAGCGAAATCAAAACTAGCCATTGAACGTGCATCTCTCTCTTGCGCCCGTGATCATTCGATTTCGATCTTTGCTCCTGACTTCTGTACATTTTCTTCCGAAAGCTTGCTTATCTGACTTCTCCGATCCGAGTAAGACTCAATCAACTACATCGAATCCGACTGGTGGGTTTGATAAGAAGCTGCGGAAGATGAACCTGAGGCTGCACCGAAGTCTCATCGTTCGCTCCCAAGCGCATTTCATTTGATTATCCGACATTTTGTGCTGTTCCTGGGCTAATCTCGCCCTATTTCCCCAGAGACCTGTTTTTGCTTGATTCTTTCTCCCTCTCGCTGTATGAGTTTGTCCTTTATGAAATGATCTGTTGCTGTGGGATGGGGGCTTCCATTGCATCCGGTTGTCTCTCTTTGCGCGGGGTGGGTGGATGGTGGTGTGTTCAGACCCACCCCATGTTTTTCTTTCTCTGTGCGGGGGTTTGTTCTTCTACCTGGGTCTTGTTTCAGGATTTCGATAGTGATTTTGATTTTGTCTTTCCCCCAAAGGGAACATGGTGTGTGTGTTTGTGTGTGTGTGTGTATGCAGTCAATTGTTTTAAAGGTTTAATTCCTCAGCCCAATGAACTCGGATTTGGTTCTTCTTTGACGCCTGTCAAACATTTAGAATACAGATGCTGGCTCTCTTGAAAATGGCCGAGATACAATGAATGGCACACTCTCCGCCCAGAAGAAGATGCCGTGCAGTCATGCGAGTGCGATGCTACGCAGATGGGCAACAAGCAATCCAAAAGACATAATATAGTATCCATCCATTAGTGTTGTAGTTGGCGAAAACCATAGGAAGAAAAACCTCGACTCAACCCACGTGGATCGATGACTGTTGTTATTGTTGGGGGTATAGACAAGAAAAGCCAGAAAGAGAGAGGGTTTATAAACAGAGGACACCCACCACACACTCCATGTGAGCAGTCATGGAGACCAGGGAAATAGAATACTCCATAGGTCAGAAAGGTAAAAGATAGGTAGGTATATGTATGCGTGTGTGTGTGGCATCCCAGCGCCGGCTCCCAAAAGATCGAGGACCAAATGTGGGGGGTAATTAGTGGAAGTGTATGTATGGATGGTAACTGATTTCTATCCGTATATAGATGCTGTATATGTTGTTTGCAGTGAGCCGAACGTCGGGGTGCGTTGCAGGAGGGCCATCATGAAATAATTATTTGTTGGGCGGGGAGGGGGGACTAGTTGGCTGTTGGTGTGGATGGACCGGAGTATCCCTCTTCCACCGCAATGACACATACGACTGAGATGTCGTCGACTTTGCCGCCGCGGTACCAGTCTCCGGGGTAGTAGCGTTGAGCTTCTTTGGCAAAAGGCCCGTCGCGACGCACGTCCATGCTTGCTAGCTTGGCTTCGCCGGCGATGGTGGCTGCTATTAAGGATTGGAGGCTGTAGACTTGGTCCCGGGGGTTTGAGGAGGCGGATTTGCTGGATGAGGATGTGCTGGCGGCGGAGGTAGAGGAAGTGGAGGAGGTCGACGAGGATGATGGCGTGGGGGAGGATGCGGGAAGAAGCGGCGCCAGGCCTTCGGGGCCGGTGAGTTGGTGCAGATCCGCTGAGGGCTGGATCCCGGCCTCCTCGGTGGAGGTCCAGGCGCCCGTAAGAACCATGCGGCTGGACACAAGTTTGAGGATATCTTGGTTGTTGAGGTTGTCGAAGACTCCGTCTGTGGCTAACACGAGGACGTCTCCGTGCTGCATCTGAAGGTTGGTGACGGCCGCGTCGCGGGGGAAGTCTTCAAGAAAGGCACCGCCGAAGATGGACGCCTGGGCGCGCATCCGAGGAGGAATGATGCTGAGTTGGTACGGAGTATTGAACCCGTGAGTTTGCGGCACCGAGTAATGGTGCACAGCGGCGAGTCGAAGAAGGACCGAGCCGGAATCGCCGAGATTCGCCAACTCAATCTGACCATCGTCCAAGCCAACACCGACGGACGCGGTGCTGCCACCGGCTGGAATCGACTTGTCTGCTACTACCTGATCGTAGCCCACCTGGAGAAGATGCTTCGCCCGCAATTGCTCCGCTGGTGCATCCCAGGCAAGGGCCGATTGCGCCATGTAGCCACAGAGGGCGTGAGAGAAATCCGCCGGATCGACGCGGGATTCTGCCCATCCGCCAACGCCGTCAGCTACGGCGAATGCGATAGCTCCGGAGTCGCCATTTCCGATCCTGCTGACGAAGAATGCATCCTCGCCGCTGTCCGGTCTCCTTTTCCTTCGCAGTGCAGGATCCTGAGTGTCTGTTGCAACGCCGATAGCCGGGTGGAGGTCGGGATTGAAGTCGTACGAGTTCTTCGCCGGGTGAAAGCGACGGCCCTTGCCAGAGGCTGAAGCAGCGACCCGGTAAGAGATACGAGGAGAGGAGGATTGGGAGGATAGCGGCGCGGTTGTATGAAAAGCCCGGCGATAATCGGCAGACGGCGGAGTTCGTGCGACGGGCGCAAGACAGAAGGATGATCGGGAGGTCAATCGACGAGGGGACGATTTCTTTGCGGTAGCAAAGGAGGCCAAGAGTCGATCACGGACGACGGTGTGTAGGCTACTGCAGGCCGAACTGCAGGCTCTACTGTGGGAGGCCAACGCGAGCATCAGCAAAGATCCCGGATTGGAGCCGGAGAGTTTCTATCCTGTCTGGGCCAGCAGTAACAGGGGGGTCGAGCGGTCGGCGACGGCGACGGCGACGTCCAGCAGAGAACGAATACTGGTGTGAGATACACAAAGAAGAGTGGAGAGGGAATAAGGTAGCCGTTTCCAAACGCCGGCTGACTCGACAAACACAGAGAAAGAAAAGTAAGTGGGAGAGTTTGGAAGAAGAGACGAAGGACCGATGGAAATTTCGGGCCAAAAGGCCGGCAGTTGCTGTGACCGCCCGCCGCCGTCATCGACCGCCTCCCGATGGGCGAGCCTCATTCAGCCGGTCGTCGAGTGTAGCTTCTGCTCTGATGTGGTGATCGAGGAGTGTTGACGGGGAGGTATAGGTTCATGAGGTCTAGAATGTTGAAAAATGCTCATTGGCTGGTCAGCGATCTTAAGCGCAGCTCTCAATAAACTACCCTGATATAGTAGATGATGGCGGAAGGGGACCATGATATGCACGAAATGAGTTCATGACGGTTCTTGGAGCCGATTCAGGACGAAGAAGCTCAATCAGTATACTTTCAGCGAGTCTCGAGAGATATTTTAGAGAATGCGCGAGAGGGAATTTGAGAAGAAGACAAAGGTGTTGAGCGACTGGACTTTGGATGGAGATTGTTGATGGGATTGTAGTTGATCATTGAATGGGCGGGTTGATTTGCCTTGTCGCCCGCCGCCTTCTGCAAAACGGACATGCCGCCATTTCATTTCCTCTCCAACTTTGGTCTCTTCTGCCCTCTTCACTTTCTAGATTCTTTGCTATTACTTACACTCTCTACCTGGTATAAATAGGCTCTACGGTCCCCACCACTACAGTTCGAAACTGTTAATCTTTTGACGTGTTGGCCTAATCGAGTGGGCATTTCTTGGCGAATCCCCTCATCTCGTCGCCCATCATGATGCACCCATCGCGACAGGCGTACGTGGAGGAGGCGCAGGTAGGATCATTTCCCATCGCTTCAGCTGCCGTCTGATTCAGACCGAATACGCTACTTCCGCCATCTTCGGCTCACAGGACGACTGTGTCTATTTGGGCGCATTGACTGACATTCATTTCTACTGTAGGACACGGATATGGGCATTGACCTAGCAAATATACGTATGCATCACTTGTAATCCTGACGAATACTGACGGAATCCCACCTCGAAGCTGACATCCCAATCTTTCATACAGCCGTGGACCGAAATTATGACCTTCCCTCTTCCGCAGCGGGCATCCCGGCGGAAAGAGCCTCTGCCATCCTATCCCAGTTTGAGCGCAAGAGGAGAGCCGCTGCGATGGCGGTGCCCACTGACGACACTCGAGTGCGCGCGCGACTACGAGAGCTTGGCGAGCCAATCACACTCTTTGGCGAAGGACCTGCGGATCGTAGAGACCGCTTGCGCGAGCTGTTGACTGATCTTGCGGAGAAACAGGATGCGGCGGCGGCGGCTGCTGAGGGCGATGTGGAAATGCGAGAGGGGACAACCGAAGTCGACGAAGACGAGGAGGAGGAGGCTGAGCAACAGGAGGAGTTTTATACAGAGGGTTCCGAGGAGCTTCTTAAGGCGCGGAAAGAGATTGCGCGGTTCTCCCTTCCCCGCGCAAAGGCCCGTGTCGCCAGGCTGCGTGAAGAATCGACTATCCCCTTGCGGACGCATATCAAACACCGTAAAGCGATCAAGGAAAAACTGCATCAGTTTGACCTCTACGGTTCCCAAATCGCGGGTGACCGGCCTGTCAGCATTTGTCGCTTTTCGCCCGACGGGCAGATGATCGCAACTGGTAACTGGGGAGGAGGTATCAAATTGCTGACGGTGCCCAACCTCGAAGAAAAATGGTCAGTCAAGGGACATGCAGACAGGGTCGGTGGATTGTCTTGGTTCCCCGGTGCGACGTCTACCGCCTCGGAATCGACGGTGAATCTGGTCTCAGGTGGCGGCGAGGGCAATGTGTGTCTGTGGTCCTTAGACAAGGAGCAGCCACTGGCGACGCTGTCCGGTCATAGTGGTCGTGTCTGTCGGACGGAATTCCACCCGTCTGGCCGGTATGTCGCTTCTGCCTCCTACGATACTACTTGGCGATTGTGGGATGTGGAGACGACGGCGGAGTTGTTACTACAGGAAGGCCATTCGCGTGAGGTGTACGCAGTGGCATTCAACAACGATGGGTCACTCATGGCGAGCGGAGGCCTGGACAGCATTGGACGTATCTGGGATCTACGAACAGGCCGGACTGTGATGATTCTGGAGGGACACATTCGGGAGATTTACGGTTTGGACTGGGGTGTCGACGGATATCGGGTGCTGTCCGGGTCTGGAGACGGATGGGTCAAGTGTTGGGATCTGCGGCAAGTGCGCAACACCGGAGGAATCGGCGCCCACAAGAGTGTCGTCTCTGACTTGCGATGGTACAAGGGCGCCGAAGCCACTTCCATCCTACCTTCGGAGGGCCGCATGGAGGTGGACGGCGAGACATCTGGGCCCGCACAGCCTAAGAAGTCGGGAACATTCTTCGTGAGTAGTGGCTTCGACAAGAACGTCAACATCTTCAGTGCAGATGACTGGTCATTGGTGAAGAGTCTCAGTGGGCATTCCGGCAACGTGCTTAGCACCGACATCAGTGCGGATGCACAATGGATTGCCAGCTGTGGCCACGACCGGACAGTGAAGCTTTGGGGGATCGAATAAGTCTGAGTGTACTGTACCATATACGACTGCATAACAATAATTACGAAGCTATGTATCATGGCAGTAGGAGTGCGCTCTGGTGATGATATCATTTTGACAATAAGTCTTGACATTCCACCATGCAATGGCAGGCGGTGAGCCACAACCCTCAAGTCTAATCTCACCGCCCGCTCGATTCCGCGGGCAAAATCGGCCGTCTATCCATTATCAATCAAGAATTCCGGAGAAGTAAGAAGCTTCAATTTCTTTGCTCATCTTCATCTACCATTTCATTCTGCCCATAATCATGGCAACGACGCGTGTAGCCACACGGCTACTCTCCGCTGGATCTTCTCGGCAAAGTTTACAAGCTGTGTCTCAGCGCTCATCTACCACACCCACAACCCTACCATATCCCCGGTGTCATCTCCGACTCTCACCGTCGCCACTACGACGATTTGATAACCACCACAACCTTACCAGCACTACTCGCTGCTTCACCACCAGCTCTTACCTCTCCTCATCTACCTCCTCCGCCCCCCTAGAGATCCCGGACATAACGAACCACTACACGATCTTCCGGAACACGCTCCCCGCCGGCCCGCCACCGCACTCCCCGTTCTCGATCTCCCCCGCGGACCTGCGCCGCGAGTTCCTCCAATGGCAGGCCCGCATCCACCCGGACAAATACCCCTCGGGTCCGCAGAAGCAGCAGGCCGAGGCCCTGTCGGCGCGGATCAACGAGGCCTACCGCACCCTGCTGGACCCACTGCAGCGCGCGCAGTACCTCCTCCGCGAGATGCACGGGATCGACGTCACGGCGGAGGATGGGGCGACGAAGCACGCGCTGGATCCGCAGACGCTGATGGAGGTCATGGAGGTGCAGGAGACGATCGAAGAGGTCGGGGCGGACGAAGGGGCGGAGGAGACGATCCGCGAGCTGCAGCGGGAGAATGAGCAGCGGGTCCGGGAGTGCGTGCGGGCCTTGGAGGAGGCCTTTGATGGCGGGAATATTGAGAAAGCGCGGACCGAGTGTGTCAAGTTGCGGTTCTGGTATAGTGTTGGGGAAGGGCTGAGGGAGTGGGAGCCCGGGACGAGAGAGATTCGGTTGGTACACTGATTTTGAAGTTGGATTTGGGACATGCAATATGTGTGTTTATTCTGTGTATACTACTCTCTCTCTAGTCTCATGTCTCCCTCGGTCTTCTGTGGATGATTAGATATAGATGGTGTTGATGGGGTTAATGATACCGTTTCCTCTCTTAGTGGCATTGTGGGCTGTGTTGAAGGCGGGGGTGGGATATGTGGTAAATGTTGTCTACTTATCCATAGTGACAATGGGTTGTTGAATCACGCCTTGTCGCTGTGAAATTGGATCAGATCATCTCATGTTGGAAATTAAGTGTTGTGCCTCGGCTTTTCGAAGTAACCAGTTTCCATGCAGGGTGGGATGGCATTCAGATGCAGGCAGTCACTGGTTAGGGCACGGCAGAGTACACTGAAAGTGATCTTCAAACAAAATCCCGCGAGTCTATTTCTTTTTCCCATAGAGAGGAAAGGACAAAGCGAATCACGGCCTCTTTGACATTGGCACTATAGCTCAAGGAGAAATTATCAACTAAACAACTAGACGACCAAATCAGACCGAAATAGGACCCCTGCAGGCCCCAGACGCCGACCAGCGTGGGTTGACCGCCGTTGGGTCTCGAAAACGAAAAGAAAGGCTGGGATTAAATGATCCATCGGGCAACAACTCATCATTCCCTCGCCAGCCCCCTCCAACTGCCCTCTGGTTGGTCTTTTCCCAATCCTTGTCTCGCGTGAGAACATGCAGGAAGGGTGCAATATCCTTTTGATTGATCCTCGAAAAGGGGGAGGGAAATCGCAGACGAGAGGCCAGATGGAGGGAGCACCTTTCCTCCCCACTCTGTGCATTTCGCAAACCATGCAGGAAAACCTTCAACCCCTCCTTCGACCAACCTCGAGGAAAGACAGAGAGACAACAAGACTGATCAGAGCTCGGATGACCAGGCCGATCCCTCCGGGACGCAGAGCAGCTTGTCTTCCCCGGTGGCTCGCGCGATAAGACGACCGTCGTGAAAAGGTTGGCGGTCAATCCACTCGCTGCTTCACACCCCCCCGTCATGATTGCCCACGTAGCCAGACTATCGCTCTTTCGACCCAGTTGGACTTGCCTCGTGCGCTTGTAGCTTCTCTTTCGGTGGAGGGGAAGCTAAGGACATTGCCGAGAGAAAAAAGAGAGGGGTTTCTATTACGGTCAATAGTGCGCAGGCTGCCGGTTCAACGCAAGCCCCGGTGCAGAATATATGAAAGAGTCATGATCAGGGGTCGCATGAGCAGATTCGACCTATTTTAATTGAGCTGCGTCGCTTCCTCTCCTTCTTAAATCTCCTTCAATCCCTGCTTCTCATCACTTCGCTTCCCCCCCCCCCCCTCTGGTGTGTCTTGATCTCTGGGAAGAGGACTACCCAGAGCATAATTGGAGTCATCGTCGATGGAGGCAGATCGAGATTATAGTAGGTAGGTAACTGACTCTTACCAAGCAAAAGCCCTTCTTCCTATCTTCCAAATCTACTACTCCATGCCAACCCCGACAGGACGGCCACTGATGGCTACAGCATCGTCCATTCACCGCCATTCACCTTCCTGGTTGGTCCAAATCACACCAAACTCACCATCCAGGCTGGTCTAGCCCGTCATGTCTCCCAGCCGCTTGACCATCTTATGAACAGCGGTGAAACCCGGGAGTCGAAACATCACATTGCCGTGCTTGAGGACGAGGATGTCGAGACCTTTGTCGCCTTCTGCGAGTATGCCTACACTGGGGATTACCGCGTGCCTCCCCCAGGGTCGCGCGAGGAGGATCGCGACGATGAGCGCGTGAGTAACCCTTTTCGCGGAGTGTTCTCCAAAGGCTCCCCGACCAGTCCAGTGCGGACTATTCCTCCGCGTGCCCCGACTCCCCCTAGAACGTCTTCAAGGGAGACCCACGACCGTCCCGGCGAAGGCGTATATGCGGGTTCTGGCAAGGACGACGACGACTGGGAATGTGCAATCGCGCCAGATGAAGAGCTTGCAAACCCTGGACAGAAATTGAGAACAGAGTCTAGAAGGGCCAGTGATCAACCGCTGATGACCCCTGCCGTGGATAGGAAGGAAGAGGAAGACGCTTGGGATGCGGCGGACGACGAGGCCGCCAAAGGCAAGAAAGGCAAGAAGAATAAGAAGAACAACAAGAAGAAAAGGGGCGGTGCCTCTGAGGAGGCGACCCCTAAGCTGACACCTCCTTCCACGCCACCTCCTGAGAACTTGAAACCCGAGGAGGAGGGGAACCCAGCTGCTGAAGCCAACACGGTGACGGAACAATGGGAACATGACCATGCCCCAGTGGAAGAATCCGGTCCTGCGGAGTCGGCTCCGTACACGGAGACTTGGGAGCAGACGGCTGCCACTCCTCCAGCAGAAGCCGAACCCAGCGATGCAGACAAGCTTGGTGCGAAGGACAGACTACAAGCACCCAAGGAGGAGAAGCAGCCGGGTCACGACCACAGTGGTAGGAGACTGACTGGGCCGATGATTGACACCTCCTTTGCCAAGCAGCAGTACTCCCGTCTGCACGAAAAGGGAAGCAACTTATGGGATGAATTCGCCGCCATCGACTATATCGACCCCCGCTCCTGTCTCAGCACCAGGCCTCCTAGCGCCATGTCCTCTCGCTCGCCACATGAGCTGCCGTACTTGGTCTTCCATGCCAAGCTCTACGTCTTTGCGACACGGTACCTGATCCCGGCACTGGCTCAGCTCTGTCTCCGTAAGTTGCACCGGGACCTGCTGTATCTCGGCTTCCCTGAGAGGGACCAGGTGGAGGATGATGACGATCATCATGCTCTGGCCAGCATCAAGGCTCGTAAAGTCCTTGACCTGCTACACTATACGTACACCAAGACCACCCGTCTGGAGCCGATCACTCCGACCTCTGCCACCCAACTGCGGGACAACGAGTTGCGGAAGCTGGTTGTGCACTTCGCAGCGTGCAAGGTGCGGGACTTGGCCTCGTACTGTCCGCCAGTCGAAAGTGATCTGGGCTCTCCCTCGACTAGATCCCAGAAGCCTTCCGCTCAGGGCTTGCGGGCATTGCTCGATAGTACGACGGAGCTTGCCTCTGATCTCGTATACCGGATGATGATGTGATGTCGTTTTGGTAGGTATGCTGTGAACAGCACCGTTTTTTTATTACTTCTTCAATGCCCCCTTCCATCTTCTGTGCTTCGACCTTTGTTCCTGGCCATGCATGTGAACCCGTTTATTTCCGTTTGTTCCAGAGGATTCCATATAAGGATGTACGAGCTGCATAATCCGGCGTCCATATCTGGCTGAACGATTGTCGATTATCTCATACTATCTGCGACCCCACATCAACGACTTTTCTTGTGTCTTTTTATGCGACTATGATTTCGACCATTTGAATGAATATGATTGACTTTCTCTCTTGCTGTCTGACATGAGATATAATTAGCATAACTTGCGTACTGGCTTCTTCTTGATGAAATTTTGCTGTGCATGGTTAGCGTGGGTGCCTGCTCGAATAGTTTGTTAGTGAAACCAATTCCAGATGATTCTCTGTGATTTGACCTGTGTTCTGCATGCGCTGGACATTCGTCTGACCTTCCCCGTTGAGCATGAATGCCTGTTTCTCGTCTGCTTCGCTACAGACCACGTTTCCGTGAAGAAGGAGGCGACAGGACGGGGCTGCTTGCTGCAGGTCTGACTGCTGTTGCTTGGATTGTCAGGCTGCAGAATAATTGCTTGCGGATTGCGTCAGGAAATCAGGAAGGATGAAACGCGCTCTAAGCGACAGACGATCATCGAAAACCGAAGTACTCCTTTGGTTGCAGTAGTACGGAGGAGTCGAGCCGATCAAGAATGCTGTTTACGTATGAGTGGAAGAAGTGGAAGAAGTGGAAGAAGCTGAGCCATGCTTGGCGAGAATAACTCGTAGAATGGCTGGCTGGGCACTGCCAAGTCTTTCCTCTCCTCCTCCCTAAACGCTTTCCCGCTCTTCCCTCTTTTCTACTCAGTAACTTAACTCTTCCTTTTCCTTAACTTTGGTCCTCCACTCCAGCCAGCAACTCTCCCCCGGCACAGACACACTCAAACCCAGTTGCTGGATGATTCGACCATGAAACCATGAACCAAATAAACTCTTCCCCCTTTTTCCGGTTCTTCTTATCGGTCCCCTCCTTCAATCTTGGGCCACAGCCACTGTGAAGCTTGGCGGCGGGCCTCCCGTTGACGCTGCGCTGTCGATCTTCTTCTTGGCTTGGGTTTCTCCCTATCTTTGAGCCTACTCATCACTATCCATTCTATCCACGTTGAACCCTTCTTCCCTGCCTGCCTGCTTGCCTCCTAGGTTGATGGCCGAATTCTCTGAGTCGCACTCCCCAGCCAAGCGGCGATCTATCACATCTCGGCCGGCGCTCAAGAACCTTATCCTTGGGCCGAGCCACGACGATAGTCATTGACTTACCTTGGCCCTGCCGATGTTGCTCACTTTCGGTCCGACAGGGGAGGCTTATCGGCCTCTTCCGATTGGTGATGATGGTGATGATGATGATGCAAATCGCTCAATGAGCCGACGCTGGTTCGCAACACTTGTGTCTCTTCCCATCGTGGTCGGAACATTTCTATCACTTACGGCTTTTCACTTAGAACGCGTTTGCCTCAAATTTAGATTCCTCGGCAGTTTCGAAAGCAAACTACGAATTTCTCTAGGCAGCTGGTATCCTCCTGACCATTGATCATCATCTCTAGCTCTCTTTCAAAGAGAATGCTGCAGAAATCACATCATGCCATGACATGCGCCACTTGTAGACGGCAACAGAGATGGCGTACACATTCCACAGCTTGAAACTTGATGGAATGACTGGCTGCTGACGTTGTCTCTGCAATTGTGACCCACTGTCACAGTACCATACACTTTGAGCAAAGCCGAGACTGAAAAAAGGTAGATCTTGGTCCCATCCAATTCCTCGGCATCCAGCCCACTCCCTACCTTCGATGATGCCTGGACTGTGGACCGGAACTGCAATCTTGGCAGGTGGTATGTCTCCTCCCTCAGGTTGTTTACACTTGCTCGCCCTCCTAATTCGCCGCGTGTCTCGCGAGGGGCCCATTGTTGGATCTGCAATCGTCAACGCCCAGACCAAGTGTCTCCTCTTCTGTCGCACTTGGTGGATCAAAAAGATCAGACGCTTGGCGACACCGTATGCTCCATCCCCTTCAATGGTAGTAGCGAGGGCAACAGAGCAACCCAATGTTGCGAGGCCCTGTCAAAGCCCTGATGGATAGGGGCTAATGCAGGCTGATGCTATATCTGTGCTTCTCCGCTTCTATACTGGGTTTGTGGTTCACACTCATTGGCTTTATCAACATATTCAAATTGGCTGTGCTAAACTCATTGCGGACCCTCACTTGGGCCTGAATGCAGCTATAGAACTTCTTGTCGCTCATTTTCTACTATTAAAACTTGCACCGTTTCCATTAGATAGTCATCGGTACAGTCGTTCTTCTTCATCTTCATCTCTCTGATACACAGTATGCTCGAGCAATACCCGCCTCCCGGCACCTCCTGCTCGGACCTTACAACATACCAGCATGAGCTTAAAGCCTCCAAATTCTCTAGTTCCACCAATGTGTCTCTACGGGACCGTCTGCGTCATTTTACCTGGGCCTGGTATACTCTGACTATGAGCACCGGCGGCCTAGCCCTCCTGCTGGCCAGCCAGCCCTACTCCTTCTCCGGACTGCAACAGATCGGGCTTGCAGTCTACATCGTCAACCTGGCCTTCTTTGCGTTGCTGTGTAGCCTCATGGCCACACGCTTCATTCTCCACGGCAACTTCCTCGACTCCCTCCGACACGACCGCGAGGGTCTTTTCTTTCCAACTTTCTGGCTTTCTATTGCAACTATCATCACCGGCCTGTACCGCTACTTCGGCGACACCACACAGCCTGCATTCATTTACGCCCTTGAGGTGCTCTTCTGGCTCTACTGTGCCTTCACTCTGATGACCGCTATCATCCAATACTCCTTTGTCTTTACCGCCCACCACTACCCTCTACAAACGATGATGCCCTCGTGGATCCTCCCCGCATTCCCTATCATGCTCAGCGGCACGATCGCCTCCGTCATTGCCGAACAGCAGCCCGCGCGCTCTGCTATTCCCATGATCGTCGCCGGCACCACCTTCCAAGGCCTTGGCTTCTCCATCAGTTTCCTCATGTACGCGCACTATATCGGGCGCCTCATGGAGACGGGCCTTCCGTCCCGGGAACATCGACCCGGGATGTTCATCTGCGTTGGCCCCCCGGCTTTCACGGCCCTTGCCCTAATCGGCATGACCAACGGCCTTCCTGAGGATTTTCAAGTCCTTCAAGACCCGCACCCCTTTCAAGACGCGCACATCCTCCGACTCCTTGCCATCGCCACGGGCGCTTTCCTCTGGGCCCTCAGTCTCTGGTTCTTTAGCATTGCCATCATCGCCACCATCCGCCTCCCACCGACAGCCTTCCACCTCAACTGGTGGGCCATGGTTTTTCCAAACACGGGTTTTACTCTCGCGACCATCACGCTGGGCAAAGCCTTCGATAGCCCTGGAGTCCAGGGCGTCGGATCTGCCATGTCCATTTGCATCGTGGGGATGTGGCTGTTCGTGTTTGCGAGCAATATCCGCGCCGTTGTCAAACGGGATATTGTTTTCCCTGGGAAGGACGAGGATGTATCAGAGTGATCGTTGATCATTTGTTACTTCACTCTGTCTCAGCGATACTGGTATCTTTTCAGCATTTTTCCGCCTCTTGTCCTCTTGTCTATGTGCTGCATATACTACATAGAAGTCATTGTTTCTCAGTGGCTCGGAATGGCAGTGTGCCATTTACTTTACGAGCGTTCCGGGCGTTGGGAGCCATATTTTCTTTCCGCACAACTTATTTTTCTGTGAATATTCGGGTGTTTCATATAAACATACTCGTCTTCGAGCGTTTCGCATGCCCTGCGTACGATACAATTATACATTAGATAGAGGATAGAGGATTCAAAATAGCATAAAATTCTCTTAACTTGTCTACGCATTCTAACCATTTTTTAACTCTGACCTCCTTCAGGCACGATAGTCCCATGTAGGATGATTTTAACCAATGGACAACAGACAAACCACGAGTCTCGACATATCACAAGGACCATTCCACGCCTTAGCGTGAGTTAGACTAAGACATGCCAGGTAATGGTACTGAGACCAGTGTAGTCTCCACAAAAGGTCCAACCGAGTCATGCCCGTGTACAACCTTGAAAGGTTCAACCCCCACCAGCCAAAGAGGACGAACGCGATGCGGTGTGACAGACCATGCATCCTGCGCCCCGCGCCCCCAATGCCCCATGGCGTAGCGGGACGCGACATGAACATCCAGCCAACACCGACAACAATCTACTCATGCTAATGGGGAATTGCTTATCATTTCTCGAGTCTCCACCAACCCCTGTGTATTGTACCTACAGTGCAGCCAAACACTCGAGTAGGACCGAAGTTTGACTGGGTAGGTAGGTGGATAGGGCGGGCCACCTGCTGGTGGTGGTGGTGGTGCTGCTGCTGGTGCATGCGTCAGCTGAGTTACTGGGCGAGAGGATATTGATATCGAGACCCACGTCGTCGTTTGGCATTGGCATTGTGGTTTTAACCGCGATGGTAAACGCGTTGTTTGTCATTGTGCACTTGGGAGGGCCGGGGAGTTGAGAGCTGGTCTTCGAGAAATGGATGAATATGGAGAGCCATGTCTAGCTGCTGGGCCACTAGTTCATCTTCTCCAGCTACAGGATGACGTGAAATTTCAGAGTCATTCTCAGTGCCCCAGATAGCTATCCACCTTCTCTCAAAATTGCGTGTCAACGCACGGGTAAGTAGAACTTCACACCGTTAACCTGGAGTGTGAGACACAAGAAAAGAAATCGTAACCAGTTGAGACCGAAGTATTTTGTATATAATCCATAAGTAGTTCGAGACAAAGGGAACTGTAAGTTATAAGCCTGACGAGGCACTGTACTGTACTGTACCCCCCAAAGAGTAAGTACTCCAGACTTCCTTCCCAACCAATTCCCGTCTATTCCTATTCCCCTCGACCATAAATGGTTCCCCCCAGAGGGTTCAGGATGGATTGGGCTGTGTTGAGATCCAGTGCTGATGTCACTATGTCAACGACGGGTTTATCGCAAGGTTGGACGGGCTGTGGCCAATGTCTTCTTGGGTGGTGCTTTAGCCAGTCTGATGAAGAGGTTAGTTCTTGCTTTCGTAATGAGCACAGTGGAGGGAAAGGTGGGTGGGTGGGAGTAGCTTACAAGCTCTGTCACTTACTGGGCTGGAGTAAACACCGAGCCACAGGCCACCGTCTTCTTTTGGTCCTTGCGTTACCGGTACGTCGTTGACAAGGAGGGAAACGGTAGAGCTAATGTATGTGACGTTAGCGTTTGGTTCCGTCCGGACTGTGGGATGCGTTGCGCATGCATTCGTACTGGCTTGTACTGTACTGTACTCGCTGCTCTCGGAGTCTGGATTGGGGTATTCCCCTTGCGTGGAGGATGATCTCCAATCTCAAGAGTGGTGGAGTATAGTGGTATAGAGTTGAGGTGGAGAGAGTAGATGTAGAAGTAGTAGAGGAGGAGGAGGAGGAGGTAGAGGAGGAGGAAGAAGAAGAAGAGAAGGTGGAAAGCACTATCCCCTCAATTAGCATCAGCAAAACACTCCCTCTCCATCTTCATCCCCTCATGACCCTAAAAGGAAAGGGGGGGGGGGGGTGCATCATACCAGAGCATTTCCCTTGCGGGAACGTGCCTTGCGCGAGTGGGGTCAATTGGTAGGACTTTTGTTTTTAGCCAGCCTGCCGCAGCACTTATTGTCAGTATCATCGTCCTCATCATCTTCTTCCTTTCTGTTAAGTTTCAACTAGGTATGGTGGGTACACTCACAAGCGCTGTCACTTACTGGACCAGCCCACATTGGCTAGGCTTTGCTCAGAACGGAGGATTTTTTCCCCTGATACCTGCTTTTGTTGAGCGGCGTTAGTAGGTCCAGGGCACGGCACTTCTCCGGTCCATCACTTTCCTCTTCATAGAAGGAGAAAGCGTGGGGCTGCAGAAGTGTCGTGCGAAAAAGAAGCCGTCATCCCACCGGGTGGTACCTACACCGGCTTGTTAGCGTGTGAGTCGGTGGAGGAGACGTACTAAGTTGTTTGGTTTGGGCATGGCTGTTTCGATTTCGTAGCGGGGTTTGGGGTAGGGGGTGAGGTCTGGTCTGGCGAGAGGCGTGAATTAGACGACGTTGACGGTTATGCTGGGCGTGAGTCGATGGGGAAAGCTGTGTGTATAGGGACTTGGTGATATGGGAGTCAGTAGAATATGGGCGCGGAAAGACAGAAGTAATGAGGGGAAAGTAGGCAACGAGACAGAATCAAGGGGAAGGCGCCAGGTTTTATTAGCTCTTGTTGGGTCGTATTCGGAGGAATCGAGGAGTCGATGCGATGGCCGAGTTCGGTGCGTGCTGCGAGCTGCGGGCTGGCGAGAGGAGAAGGAAGCCCTTGTTTATCATGTCGCATCGGTCGAATGACTTAACGCTGGCTGAAATCAAGGTCGAGCGAAACATGCATGAGAGACGCGGGGGCCGACATGGATGAAGTCGTGGCGGCGTCGTTAATTCCCCGAACTGTTGGTCAGCGATTTCCTAAACGGACCAAAGTTGAGGCGATCGACGGCCAGAAAGACGAGGGAGGGAGAGAGTGCATGGCGAAGTGCTGCGAATTGTCTTGGTAGTAGTGAAGTAGAAAGTCAATCGATGGGAGACACCAGCGGGCACTTATATTCTTTTTCTTCATAGTCTCTAATCTATATACATGGTACAACCACCAATCACTGAAATATTTTTGGAACTGCCTGTTCGTCAGGCCGCAGTCGACCAGCCCTACTTCCTCCTACTCCTGACTCCGAGAACCAATCCGATTTTCCTTCCTTCCAAATCTCACATCTCACATGGCTTTCCCCCTACAGATGAGGTGGACGCCTCGTAGACCAAACAACAGTGGGTATCATTAAGAAAAGGCGAACAACAAAAGACTTTGGACGGGGCATGAATGAATGCCGAATGGCGGGCTGCGGTGTGCGATCAACAGCCATCTGTCCGGTGTGGTCTCAGCCACGTGGCAGCAGGGCCAAGCTAGCGGTGAAACTTGGCGACAATGAATAAGACCACATCTGGAAAATGAAGCATAGACGTGGTCCGTCTCCTTCCTCGGCTGATGTGAAACTCTGCTCATTCCCCTGGCTGTGGTCGGGATACACCGCTGCCCTGAGCAAGGGCAAGGGTGACTGGGCTCTGAAACAAAGCTAAAACATTGCCGATAGAGCCGCCACAGACCAAGAACAGATGATTCAATCGGGTACAGCGATGACACTCGAACATGCCAACCCCGCGGAGTGAGGTGAGGCGATGAAACAATGTGTTTCACGCTCAAGCGACCTTGCGCCCAACGTTGCCGATGCCGCGGCCAACGACGCTGATGATCACGTCTCCATTCTCGTTCTCACCACTGGCATCGCGAAGACCCCAGCCGGGGGCCCCGAATTTGGCCAGGTCCCTGGCCAGTTGGATGGTGCTCTCGTCAGCCATCACCTCCCGGCCGACTTGGATACGACCCACGTCCTCCGATCCCATGGTCATCAGACCAAGCATGACCGGCACGGCTGCAGGGGCAACGCAGCCACCCTTGGAGACGGTCTCCAGCAGCTGGTAGGCACATCGCTTCCCAATGTCCTCAGGCGCCTCACCACCGGAGGGCGGCGATGCCACATCGGCGGAGAACAGGCACCCCGTTGACGACTCAGCGACCAGGGACAGGCCAAAGCCAAGGCCGATCTTCTTCTTTCCGGACGGGTTGCTCTTCTCCGGCGCAGGCACGAAGGGCGCCGACGACACATCAGAGAAGACGTAGGTGTCGGGTACCAGAGGGTTGAGGATGCCACGGGCGGTTTCGATCATCCGGGCATTGTTGGACGCCGAGACACCCACCGCGTAGGCCACACCACGCACCCGCTTGATCCGACCGGGGTTCATCAGGTGCAGAGTTTTCGGGAGTCGCAGCTGGTGGCCGAACACAAACTGGACTTCCCCACCGCCGCCGCGACCGTTGGGGCCCGGGTTGGATCGCTTGAGGATGCGCAGCTCGATGTTGTTGAAGATGCCGAATTGGTTGAAGAGAGGGAGAATGGCCGTGCGCACACTGTCGACGGACATGTCGCCCGTCGGGGTGGCCGAGGTGATCACGCCGGGACCCGTGAACGTCACCTTGATCGGCGCCTTGGAGAAGGGCGCCAGGAGACACAGCGGGATGAGGAAGTAGCTCACACCACGAGTGCACCCTGCGGGGAGCTCATGGCGAATCACGCCTCCACTGGCGCCGGTGCCCGTAGCGCTGCCGGTGATCAGGCCTGGCTTGTACACGACGATCGTACCCGTGTAGGAGATTTCCATCTGCGAGCCATTGGTGACGGCGTCGAGGAGACGAAGGAAAGAGATTTCATGCGGCGCGAGACCGGGATTCGTCGGGGACGAAGGACGGATTTGCGAGATGTGGACGGTCCGGCCAGTCAACGTGGAGAAGACCAAGCGATAGACGAAGTTCTTGTGGGAGGTAAGCCGAATCGGGGGCTGAGAAGTCGACGCCATTGTGTCCGGAGGGATGAGGGGGGGAATTTCCTCGAGAACGCCGTCGGGTTGGATTCAAAAAAGCCTCGAGGCGATCAGAATTTCGTGCCTGCGGTGGAACTGGATTGGAATCTTTTGGCCTGATCCGAAGAAGGGAATCGAGAAAATCTGCCGGAAGGGGAGGATGTTCCGTTCCGACTCCCGGCGTTTGGGGCGGGTTATCTCCGGGCAGAGCAGATAACATTAGACCCTGGAGTGGACTGTCGGATGATCACATACTCATACTCATCTCTGCTTCCAAAACAAAAACAAAATACAACATCCGGTATTGACCCTCCAGGAAAACCCATCGCTGCAGATACTACGGGACCAAACAATGTTACCACCGGCCTTAAACATCCCTAAATGGTATGTATAGCATTTTTGGTTGATCATATTCCCTACCCCTCCTCGCCCCCGCATTGTTATTTGCTTATCAACCACCAAAATCCCCTCCTCCCACACCCATTGACTCGTCTTCCCTCCCCAATTTCGCGTTTCGTACACACGGCTGATGACACCAAAAACAAAAACTCGCGCAGGCTAGAAGCCAACTCGCACCTCCTGCAACCCCCGGTAAACAACTACTGCGTGTACCACCCGTCCTCGCCGGAGACGGCGGGGTATACGGTGATGATCGTGGGGGGGCCCAACGCGCGCACGGACTACCACTGCAACACGACGCCGGAGTTCTTCTACCAGTACCGGGGGTCGATGCTGCTGAAGACGGTGGACACCTCGGTCACGCCGCCGGTGTTCCAGGACATCCCGATCCACGAGGGGTCGATCTTCCTGCTGCCGGCCAACACGCCGCACTGCCCCGTGCGGTTCCGGGACACGGTCGGCGTGGTGATGGAGCAGCCGCGCGCCAAGGACGCGGTCGACAGCATGCGCTGGTACTGCCGCGGCTGCGGGGAGATCGTCTGGGAGAAGCTGTTCATCTGCACCGACCTGGGCACGCAGGTGAAGGAGGTGGTCAATGAGTTTGGGGCCGACGAGGAGAAGCGGACCTGCAAGGCCTGTGGGACTGTCGCGCAGACCAAGTTCGCCGAGGGCGAGATCGTACAGCCGCCTCGGCACCCTGAGTAGGGGTTTTTTTTTCCTTCGGATTCGAAGAACAAATCGATACCCCGGTTCTGACATGCCATGGCGATGTACAATATCTGTAGGGCGGGAGGGCTCGGCTTTGATGTGTGATGTTGATGATTACGAAAACTGCGTCGGCGAGATTGTCTTATATTGGATAGCAAATCTATATCTCGGAACTTGTTGGATTGTTGTGTAGCACGGTTTGGATGGGTCCTCTTAGAGGGCCTTGATTAGGGTGCCCGCAGGCTATAGTCAAGTATCGAACGTCTGGACGGTGAATGTTATCCAGGGGAATATGGGAGAGAAGAGAAGTTGAAGCGAAAGGGTACACAAAAGGTGGCTGTCCTTCTCTGGACCAGCCGACACCAGGACACAGAAAGGAAAAAAAAAACATAACACAAAGAATGAAGGAACCGCAACACACTCGACCAAAGCTAATTGTAACATGTAAGTTTATCACAGCCGCACCAACAGAGCAGACTGCATATGCACGCTATTCCATCCCATGCTACCGAACTGTACATTGTAGAAAGACAGACTGGGTTATCACCAAGCAAAACATCAAGAAGAACAAGGTGAGATGAAAGTGGCAGGCTCAGATGTGTGGAACCGCAAAGCGTATCGTATATAAAGGCCTGCCTATGGCAGCAAAGAGCCATTACTCATTGGCAAGGCTCGTAAACTGCCATGCCTCATGAAGCATACCCTGGGTCCGCAAGACTGACTGCAATCATAGGGCCGTCGTTGGACTGAACGAGTGCCATGATTCCCGTACCAAGCAGGAAATCAGGTCAGTCCACTCCTCAGTCATCGAATGGACAGTCGATACTCTCGTGGCCGTCTCTTTCACAGAGAGCACACCACTTAGACTCGTCAATCACACCGCTCGCTTTCCCCGCAACGGGGGCCATGGATGATGTCAAACCTACTCCCCTGAGACCCTCCAGAACGGCATCACGTCCGGTCTTCTGAGGCGTTGTGCTCTCCTCGGGAGTTGAAGATGTGGAGGGCTCCGCCGTAGACGTTTCAGGGGTAGGCTTTTCATCTAGGGAACTGTCATCGTGAAGAGGCTCTTCAGGCTCAGGAGTCTTCTCCTTGTTCTCGGCACCAAACATGTTTGTGCAGCTTAGGATGTCATGACCGCCTGTCTCACAAATCTCACACCATAATGAGCCACCGTCCTCCGAGCGAGCATCTGACTCGTGCATCGTCTCTAGGCGATGGTGGGAAGCATTTGACATGGCGCGGTGGCGTGCAGAGTAGGCCTGGTATTGCCCTTCATGCTGGGGTTGGTCATGCCAATCGTTTGGCACCACCGTGCGATCCGATAGACGGTGTACATGATTGATCGTATTCCCATTAGTGAGATTTGACCCACTGGTGCTGGTGGACTTTTGGTGGGTTGGTGCGGTGGTAACGGTAGAGCTGCGCGTGCGACCACCACCGTTGATCTGCATCTGCTGGAGTTCGCGTTCGAGTTCTTCGATGCGGTAGTTCTTCCGTTCCGGGATGTGCTCAAACTCCTCTGATTGTTGCTCGAGGTGAGGGACATGTTCTGGCTGGTGGTCGGGTTGATGGTCGGGCTGTGGGCTTGTGCCGATGCTGTTCTGTTGGATTGCATGCAAATCGGGATCACCACGGCTGAGCGAGTGGATGATCGCCTTAAGGCCACGGATCTCGTCGTCCTTCTGTTCTAATTCTCTCAGGTGGTACTGTCCGTCGGTTCCGGCTGGAGCCTCCTTCGAGTCACGTTCCTTTTGGAGTTCCAGCTTCGTTCGCTCGACCTCGCCCCGCAGAAACTCTACCTCTGCTCTGGCTTCAGCTTCTCCGCGCCGTGCGTCCTCCAGACCCTCTTCAAGCTCGGAGACTAGCTCCTCGAGTTGTTTAAGCTGCCTTGCGACGGTTTCAACATCCTCGCCGCGCTCCTCCAGCTCTCGATTTTGTTGCATCAATTCTTCTAGGCGTTGCTCATAAACTCGCTCCGTTTCCGAGGCAGCCACCTCCAGAGTATCCAACGTGCTTCTAAAATCTGCCCGATGCAGGTCGAATTCCGCAGTCAGCGCTGCGATCTTCTCATTCTTCTCGCGCAACTGGGCTCGGATCGAAAGGGAGTCGGATCCCTCTAACTCTTCCAGGGTCCGCTGGAAATCCGATAGGGTGGCTGCCTGCTCATCCAGCTGGCGATCGCGGTCCAGTAGCTGCTTTTCCAGGCTCTGAACCTGCTCCCGTACTTCCTGGAGTTCTGCTGCCACGGATGACTGGTGGTAGTCAGATGTACGGGCCGATGGGAGCTCGTCTTCCGTGCTCAACCGCGACGGCGGTCGGTCAGAAGCACGGGAGGGAGCCTTCACTGGGCTTCGCGGAAAGCCATTTGTCGAGGCGTTTCTCGATGCCACGGACGGGGTTCGTAACCCCGCCAGGCTCAACTTGGACGAAGGCGGACCTCTGGGCGATTCGGGCCGGGGGAGGGACGGGCGTCTCACCCGCGGGGCGCGCACCGAGGTACCAGGGCCGATAGACTTGCTGAAATTGACGGGCCGCGAAGGGGTGGGAGGGCCGGCATTTATGCTCGAGCCCAGCCCGGAAGCACGTTTGGTGACATACTTGTTGTTGTTCATCGGCACGAAGATACCGGAGCCGGGAATAGACGTGGAGAAGTAACGCTTCCCTTCAACATCCCCGTTGTTCTTTCCCCTCCTGGCATGCTCCGAGGCGAGTTCAATACCGGCGAACTTGCCTGGTTTGCCCGCCACAGTTCCCAGGTATTTGACCGTCCCGTACATGCCGCCGGGGACGTTGACCAGGTCGCCCACCTGGACATCGTCGAGGGGTGCCATGGTGACTGAAGGCGGTCGGGTCAGGAGGAGGGTCGAAGATCGGGGATTGAGTCGCGTCGAGTCGAAGATTCTGCGGAACGGGAGGGAAAGGGAGTTGAGGGTCGAGATATAAGGCCACGGACAGGGACAGACAGTGAGTGACTTTCAAGGGACGACGGACAGGTGAAGAAAGGGATGGTCTAGTAACGGAAGAGGTGTGGGGTGGCTGAAAGCAGTTGCAGGAGAGAAGTGACTGATCATAGGTCAGTCGACATAGCTGGTGTTTAGAATGGATGCGCAGCTAGTATGAGGCTCGGAGGGATGTTTATTGCCTATCTATCCCTATCCTCTGTGTCTCTGAAGCGTTCAAGTAGGGTCTCCCAGTCCTCCTGTTGGGCAGCGAAGGACAGGGGCAAAGGCAAAAGGCGCAGACAAACGACAAATCAGACTGAAAGACTGGGGGGTGGATATCGAATCGAATCTGGTCGACAAATTTGGTTGCGGCCAGAGAGAGACACGGTAAGTGAAAGGATGCTTGCTGCTGGGATTCCAGTTGAGAGTGAAAGTGACGAGTGAAAGTGACAAGTGACGACACAAAAACAATCGAATCGGGGATAAGCTCAGGAAGCTCTGCAGCTGGAAGGCTTTCTGCCTTCAGCCTTCAATCAATCGATTCGAGCTCATCCCAAATGAGTAATGAACACACAAGAACCATGGACGATGTGCCCCACCAGTCTCAGGCTCTCAGCAGTCTCAGTGTTCCGTCACGCAGTTACGGAGTACAGTACGGAGTACACCCTCGAAACATACAATAAATCCTTCCAAAGGGGACTAGTGGCTGGGGCAATGCACGTTCTTGTTTCTGCCTGAAGATTCAGGACTCCACCGTACACCTCAATCATCTGTGCTTCTTCTCCTCATCGCTGCTCCATACTGTTAACTTAACAGTTCATTCAGTATTACTCCTCCTCATATCATCACCACACCACCTGAAATTATTTCCTTCTCCCAAGGAGACTACAACCCCCCTCAATCCACCCTGCTATACCCTGAATTGCCCTTCGTTATCACCTCCTCTTCAAGCCTCCTCCTTCCCTTGCAGTTCCGACCACTGTCTTCCGCTCCCTTACCTAACCGTTCTACTTGTCCGCTTTTGCGCCGCCAACTCCGGGGTGGAGCCCAGCCCGTCAGAAGTGGACGATAGTACGTATCCTCCTTGGAAACTAGCTCTCCTTAGTCGTTAGTCGCCACGGGGTCACCACAGCCCGTCTCGTCTATTGCTGAGTATTGTTGTGATCATCACTGCTCTTGCAAAGAGCTTCATCGCGCCTCCCCTACCTTCGCCCTTCAATTGCCGCGCCGCGCCCTTTCGCCATGGCGCAATACTTCTTCGACCTTCTCTACAGCCTCACGGATTGCATGTGCTGCTTTCCTAGCACGCCGCAATTGAAGATCAATAGTCGTAGCTTCAAATTGCTCCGCCTTTTAGGTGAAGTGAGTGTCCGCATCTGACTGCTGGTCCAGTGCAGCGTTTCCGAACAAGCCTTGATGCTGACGATCAGCCCCTACTTTGCAGGGCGGTTTCTCCTACGTCTACCTCGTCCAAGACAAAGCGACCTCCGAATTGTTCGCGCTCAAGAAAATCCGATGCCCCTTTGGCCAAGAATCGGTCTCCCAGGCCCTGAAGGAGGTCGAGGCCTACAATCTGTTCACATCGCACAGCAACATCATCCATTCCATTGATCACTGTGTTTCGACTGAACCCGGCTCCAAATTCCGCTCCGACGGCGGCGAACCTGGCTCCAAGACCGTTTACATCCTATTACCTTACTACCAACGCGGAAACCTTCAAGATGCGATCAACGCCAATCTCGTCAATCACTCCCGTTTCCCGGAGAAGAGGCTGATGGAGTTGGTGTTGGGAGTCGCCCGGGCATTGCGCGCCATGCACCAGTATCGTGTCAAGAGCGGCTCGGGGCCGACCCGCAAAGCCAAGGCTGTCAGGAGGGAGGGAGCCGAGGCAGACGCAGACGCCGCTGTTCGCAAGGCAAAGGCCAAGCGACGAGCCAGCCAAAATGCAGATGACGATGACGAGGAGAATGAGCCTTTGATGGATGACGAAGTGACCATAAGTCAGGAAGGAGTGCAGGACGGTGACCTCCGTCCGTACGCTCACCGAGATATCAAGCCGGGTATGGTAATCGCAGCGGCAGGAAGAGACTGGCTAGGCTAACTTGAATAGGGAACATCATGATCGCCGACGATGGTCGTACGCCCATTCTGATGGACCTCGGGTCGCTGGCACCCAGTCCGATCGCTATCACCTCTCGCTCGCTTGCTCTAGCGGTCCAGGATACTGCAGCGGAGCACAGCACAATGCCCTACCGGGCGCCCGAGCTGTTCGATGTCAAGACGGGCTCGATTATTGATACCAAAGTGGATATCTGGTCTCTTGGGTGTACCCTCTACGCCTGCCTGGTGGGCAAGAGTCCCTTCGAAGCTCGGAGCGAAGAGACTGGCGGCAGTCTGAGTATGTGTGTACTAGGTGGAGACTGGCGTTTCCCTGACGAAAAGTCGAGTGCAACTAAGGGGAAAGGGAAAGCTGGTGACAACAACAACAACAACCGTGACAATGCCATGGCAATCAGTGAGCCTGTGAAAGAAGTTGTGCGCAAGTGTCTACAGGTCGAGCCTGCAGACCGGCCAGACATTGATGAATTGATTCAGATCATACAAGACGTCATCAAGGAGCTACCAGATGATGATGAGGTTTCCGGAGGCTCGAGCTAAGCTATCTACTGGAGCCACCTTTTCCTATTGTTGCCTTAGCATGTTACTTGCAGATATTTGCTCTTTGATTCTCCATTACTGCCGGCTCTCGTCAGCTGTGCTGGTCGTTGGATTGCCTGGTGTATTATATGAAATGATTTGAATGTTGAACATATCTCCTTCCGCGTTAATAGGTATATAATAGTTGTATCAATATCTCAGGGGTGATCACCGACTGATAAAGGACCTGGTATGAGAAGCCAGGTTTTTCTAGAGGTTTTGTCATCAGAGGTCAATGCTTATCTATTGTCGGGAAGAAAGTTGACGTAGACGTAGAAACATGTTCCAGACCGCAGTCTGATATGAGAGACGCTCGTATTTTGTCTTTTGACTCGGTCGACCCGGGAAGACTTTCTCTCTTCTCTGCCTCCCTCATTCTGCCTCCCATTCTCCATGATAATCGCCTGCGTGCAAGCATGGCATGTACTGTACCTCTGGCATTATCAATATGCGAACCTCCAGTGACGAGGAAGAGGTACATTCCGAGCTGTACCTGAAATGTCTACATTAACCTGTTGACAACCGTTGGGCGGGCTAAGCAAAAGACGATAACGGGGATAGGATCGACAGGCAGGTTGACCCGTCGAGCTATCGATCTGTCCTTTCGATACAAAAGCAGCAGCCTGGCTTACCGGAGAGAACAGGATCCTTTGCCGACGGTCGACATCCCCGCCTTGTCCGAATCATCGCAAGTGGTTTGTTATCGCGATGGCCCGTCTCGAAGCCGCGCGGGGAAGACAGCCACGACTGGTTATCGCCATCTGCTTTTGCCGGCCATTGACACTCTCTGATAACCAAGTGGATCCATCAGCGCAAGATTATCAGAGGGCTGCCCCATCCATAGGGCCCCCGACTCCCAATGACCCCCATCCGTGCAATGCTTGCTTAAACTCGGCGTTTCTCTGCGTGACGGAATGCAACCCGAGGAGGGGTCCTTATCTGCAGACCTATGATAACGGCGACAAGAGGTTGGATCATCTACCTAGTATGGATGTGCACACGCTGATAGCAGACGGAATTGTTCCATGGTGCCACAAGCGGGGAGGGGGCCTCTCGAACGCAGTCAATAATGCTACTGAACCGGCTTCTGCGAGGGTTGACATGTACGCTGCACGCTGATTCGGTCGCCGTCGGAAAGCTTCCTCGACAACAGCCAGACTTTAATAGTCCCGGCTGCCCGCAGGGAGGGAGCAGACCTCATCTCTGACCAGAAGCAACATTCTTCTGGCTCTTCTTTCCAAGAATCTTGAAACAGGCTCGTCGGTTGTTACCAATCGCTGGCCAACACCATGGCCCCGACAGTGGACAGAAATGCCATCCCCGGCACAGTGACCCTTGTAGATCTGCAACATGTTCTGGCGACCCGCCACCTGGACAAGGGCGACAGCGACATCGTCCTTATCCCAGAACCCTCGGATGATCCCGATGATCCGTTGAACTGGGCGCCACGCCGGAAACTGCTTTCGACAATTTGTGTCAGCGTGTATGTGGGCACCAGCCGAAGAGCTTTCTGGTGTGGTTCAGCAGTATTGACATTGCGTCATAGATATACCCTGTTCGCGGGAATCGCATGTTCGGTCGTATACTCGGTGCTCACTCAGCTGTCGGATGCTACGGGCGTCTCTGTGTCGACTCTGAACGAGGGCACTGGGTACATGTTTTTATTCGCGGGCTGGGGGTTGCTGTTCTGGCAGCCATTGGCTTTACAATACGGCAAACGCTTGACATATATTCTGTCACTGGTTGGGATTTTGGTAAGCCCTTGGAACTCTTGGGGGCAGGGGAAAAGGGCCATTGCTAATACTTAATAGGGCACTTCGATGTGGGGGTAAGCTGTCACCGGGCCCACCTGCTGTGGTAGCTTAACTAACTCCAGACCAGCCCGTACATCCACACCAACGGCCAGTGGATTGCGCGGAGCATCATATCAGGCTTCTTCACTGCCCCGATCGAAGCCCTGCCGGAGGTCACTGTCACAGACGTGGTAAGTTTGATGGCATGTAACCTCCAACCGAGCTGATAAGAGAATGAATAGTACTTCACCCACGAACGGGGCACCTACATGGCCCTCTATGCATTCTTCCTGGCCGGGAGTAACTATTTCGCCCCGGTGATCTGCGGCTTCATTGCGGAATACCAAGGCTGGCAATGGGTGTTCTACTGGCCCAGCATTTTCTGTGGCGGTGCCATTGTGTTTCTCTTCTTCTTCATGGAGGAGACGAATTACGTGCGCCAGCAGCGAACCGCGCCCGAGTCGCAATTGACGTCTTCCACACGGACGTCGGAACAGAACGAGAAGGAGAAGGCTCCCTCCGGACTGGCCCAGCAGGCTGACACGGAGTGCGGCGTCATGTATAAGAAGAAGAGCTATGCCCAGAAGCTCTCGCTGCTGGGTCCGCGACTGCCCCGAAACAACATGTTCCGACGGCTGTGGCAGACGCTATACTATCTGAGCTGGCCGGTGATTTTCTACGCAGGGTGGGTTGGCGACAGCCTGGATTGGATCTTGAACGTGGCTAACATCAATAGGTTCTCGTACGGGTCGTACCTGATCTGGTTCAATGTGCTCAATGGTACTGCCTCGATTATTTTGGGTGGGGCTCCGTACAACTTCAGGTACGTACAATACGTATGATCCGAGAGACACGGATTCTGACCATGACAGTTCCTCCATGGTCGGTCTGAGCTATCTAGCCTGTATTCTGGGCGTAGTCTTTGCGTGAGTGCCCTCCAATATATGCGCCTCCACAATCACTAACAACGGACGCAGCTCGCTCTTGACCGGCCGGTTCAGCGACTGGCTCACCATCCGCCTGGCGCGGCGCAACAACGGGGTCATGGAGGCGGAGCAGCGGCTGTGGCCGTTTGCGATCTGCCTGGTCCTCGTTCCCGGGTCGCTGCTGCTCTGGGGGGTGGGCGCCGCGCACCAGGTGCACTGGTTCGGGTTGATCGTGGCCATGTGTCTGCTGGCGATGGCCAACACGTGTGGGATCACGCTGAGCGTGAACTATTTGGTGGACAGCTACCGCGAGCTGAGCGGGGATGCGATGGCAACGGTGATTCTGGTGCGGAACACGATGTCGTTTGCCATTGGATACGGGTGAGTGCTGCTCTTTTGGTGGTGTGATGGTCGTGGACTGACAGCTGGCTGGCAGAATCACGCCGTGGGTCGACAACCTGGGCTACCAGAACTGCTTCATCTCGGCGGCGTTTGTGGGACTGGCGTGCGCCGCCGTGTTCCTGGTGATGATCCAATGGGGCAAGATGTTCCGGGAGCGCAGCCGCGAGAAGTACTGGGCGATTGTGGTGGAGAACCAAGAGAAGGGGATGGGACATTAGCTGAGGCTGAGTATATAGTATATAACCCGGAGATATCCAGACAATTAATCTCAGTAGATCCTTTCACTATAGGGCATATATAACCCGAAATAGGTATCCAGACAGTTAATCTCAATAGATCCATACATCAAACATACCCTCACCTCCAATGAAACCACCTCAAAAGATAAAAGATAAAGATAAAGAACTACAACTACCCCCCCATCTTCCACCGCAACGCAAAGTTGGAATCCCATTTCGCCCGCTCCATGGCTGCATCCCACTCCCTCGCCATGCGCGCCAGCATCTCCTCCGGCGTCTCCCTCTCCTCCGAGGGCATCTCGCTGTCCCCAACCCCAACCCCATTATCCTGGTACATCTCCTCCTCCTCCTCCTCCTCCACCACCACC